ATAAACAATCTAACAGCAGTTTATGCAGACAAGTTTTATTTAGCATCTTCAACGGGTGTAAGTGAAATTTCGGACACCTACGCAACAAAGACAGAGGTAGAAAATCTTAACTTCGCAACAGACATAACGGCAAACACCGACGCCATAACAGTTTTAAATACAAAACAGCTACAGAATTTCAATAATATTAATGCTATTAATGATGACTTAACTAATAATTACCAAACTAACACGGTTCTAGCAACCAATTTTTACAATAAAACGGAGATTGACACAACTTTTACTAACTATTATACATCAACGCAGATAGACACAAATTTATCTACTAATTATCAAAATAACACATTATTAGCTACCAATTTTTATAATAAGGGCGAGGTAGATACATTAATAGCAGGTGCTGGTGGTAGCAGTGGCTACACCGATGCAGAAATTGATAATTTATTAGATTTAAGAGTTCCTAAATCAGACTTTACTGATAGGTTTTCTACATTTCCGATTATTGATTGTAGCGCTCCTACGATTATTCATAGCGGTTTAACATTAAACAACGAGACGATAAACATATCACCAACTACAGGATTATTGTTCAGTAATCAAACAGGAGGAGGAGATAAAGTTATTAGTGTATTTAAGAATGCTACAAATTATATAACTTTACAAGGAAACAAAATTAATGCCAATGCCACAAGCGACGATAGTGTTGTAGATTTGAACCTAAACCCTACAGGGAATATTAATATGAACAACGACTTGTCGGTGAATAATGTAAATATTACAACTAATGTAACAATAGGAGGTGAAATTGACATAACAAGCAATTTGACAGTAAAGGGGGATATTGAATTAACAAACACTAACACAAGTATTGAAAGATATACTAATGCTACTAAATCTAATATATCAATGGACTTATCAATTAATGAAACCGCGAACGCTATAAGATTAATTAATGGAACTAATGACGATACTGACACAAATACATATATAGAGTGCAACAATACAACAGGAGGAACAACATTTTTTAAACCGACACATTTCAAGGATAATATATATTATGAAACTGATAATTTCAATATTTCTAATAATTCAGGACTTACAATTTACAAACCAACAACAGACGCCAGTAATGTTGTAGCCATTGCCAATAATAGTGGGAAATTAAGATTTAGAGGCTTTAGTATTGATGCTTATAATACCAATGACACATCGCAACAGCTATTTTTGAATATGAATAATTCTAACGCGGTGAGATGTAATAAATTAGGGATAGGAGCTAATGCCGTTGTGGATGTTCTTAACGTTAATGGTGGCAATTCTAACTTTAGTTCCACTGTAAGGTTTAACGGCGCTACTACTTTTAACAATGAAATATTGATATGGAACAATAGCAAGTTATACAGAAGAGCAGACGCTAACAATTCATTAAACTTAATAACAAATGACGAAATAAATTTCTCATTCCAACCAAACAGAGCAACCGATCCAACAACAGGAACTATAGCATTACAACTAACCGACACTAACGGAATTACAATTAACAGAGCAGTTACAAATAATCAGACTTTCAACAGTATAGGAAAAATAACAGCAGAAGCAGATTTAGATGTGTGGGGTGGTGTTTATTTTCAACATTCGTCAGCAATTAAAGAAACATTAAATGGTAGTGATTATGATCTAGATATAAGAAATGGAGACACCGACAGAGCAATTAATTTTATCATTGGAACTATAGGAAGCACACCGGAGTTATCATTAACCGAAGCGAAAGTTACTTTATTAGGTAACCTAGAAATAACACATGATGATATAACAGGACAGCAACGAGTATTAATAAATAACCCAGATGACAACGGATGGATAAGATTAAGTAATAACAACTTATCAACATTAGATGCAACAACAACAGGTGTTGATGTTTATGGCGACCTTTCATATACAGGGTCGCTAATTCCTTCATCGGATAAAAGATTAAAGAAAGATATAAAGGAAGTAAATAGTAAGAAAGCAGTAGAATTAGTAAAATATATTAAGCCGAAAACATATCATTTTATTGATGACAGACAACAAGGTAAATCGTGTGTAGGATTTATTGCTAATGATTTTATGGAAACGAAGAAGATGCCCGACGAATGGCAGAATGTAGTAAAAGAAGGAAAAGATGGTTATTTAAAATTTGATTACACAACATGTGTGCCAATTTTATGGAGTGCTTTACAGACAACAATAAATGAAGTAGATAAACTGAAAAAGGAAGTAAGTAAGTTGAAGAAAAACAAGAGTGATAGTGACGATGCTTTAGCATCCTCAGGGCGAAGCCGTGACGGCGAACGAAGTTCGCCCTCAGGACGAAGTCGTGACTAATAATAATATTTTAGGAAATACTATTATTGGTCACCTATTTCGAAGCGTTGTTCAAAATTAATATAAAACATGTTATTCACATCTTTAGCATTTGTGTTTATATAAAAGAACGAGTAAGGCGCAAAGTTCACCGCTTGTTGATACATGTCATAAAGTGTTCGCTTGTCTACAAGGGCACTATTCTCTTCTAGGAAACTATTTACCTCGTTCATGTTCTTCAGTCTGAATATGAAAAGTGCCGAGGCATTAAGTCTTATTATAGGGGCAAGGACATTATATTTTTGTGTTGATAAAATACATGAGATGGCATTATGTCTTCCACGCGTGAACAATCCATGCAAGATATTTGAGTATCTTACAAATTTAGGATCATCGGCAAAGTCGTCCACCACGATTAAAATACTGAATAATTCCTTTTGCTTATTCTTCTTCTGGAAGTCTATTACCTTGTGTTGTGTTTCTATTATGTGCTTTAATGCAATTGGATCGTATTCTTCATAATATACTTTTTCCTTTTCGGTATCCACTTTCATTATGTCAGTAATGTATTTCTTGACTGCCCTCCATGTGTCGTCTACATGAACACTAGGGCTAAAAATGTATATCCTTTCAAATGAACCACGGTATATCTTTAAAATTAGATTTTGTATTAAAACAGATTTACCACCTGTTGAAGAGGCAACACACAGCATTCTTGCTGGTAGACTTGGCATCATCTCGTATTTACTATTCTTGTAATTGTATTTGGGTATGTCTATAGGTTCTACTTTAGGAATATCTTCTAACATTAATACTAGTTAGAAATTATATCATTTAAATATATATGGATAAATACATAGAAGTAATAAATGAGATAGAGAAATTTGATGAAATAATAAAAACTCCAAGATACAGAATGTGTTGTCGTAGTTTGTTGGATTTTCTTAAGGCATTCTGCTTTTATATAAAAAATGTAAAAAATTCTAAATGATATAAATGAGCAATGATAGCCCAGATAGCGATAAAAAGAAAGGTTTTTTCATAAACTCTAAAGGTGTATCTTGTATTCCTTGTAGATGTAAGAGGCAGTCATATCATAAGGAAACAAAGACGGTAAAAGAAAACAATGTAATAACTACTAACATTGTTGAAGATAGGCATAATATGAAATTTGGAGGAAGGAATGTTAGCCCTGATGAAAACCACATATTCAAAAATGATAACCAAACAGGAAGCGTTGAAATATGTGATACTGGATTTGGAACTCATGGTATAACACCCGAGGAATGCGAACAGAGAATAGAAATGACCGAGACAGACATTGAATGTATTAAGAAAGACATAGAACGATTGGAAGTAGAGATTGAAAAATTGAAGTTTAAAATTGATAAGAAAATTGTATAATAATATAAATTACAAGAAGCGATTCAAATTGTTGTTTGAGTTTTATCAGCTAGAAGAATTGCTAAAATAAGGTTGTAAAGAGTGATTTACTTATAATAGCGACAGCGCCCCATTTCTCCCATTTCCCCAGTGTGCCTTCCATAAGCACGTCATAAGAGCGTGGTAATGGTTAATTAGTTTGAAACAAGGTTTATCATAATTAACGAATTATGATAAATATTGTAAAATAATATAATATGACAATATATGTTGATAAAATAACAATGGATTTTAATACTGAGCATCAGCATCCCCATTGTGAAAGACAATGTGTTAGATGTAAAAAGTTTAAAAATTTAGTGCATTTTAAGAGGTATTACTATTGTAAAACGGGTAGGTATTTAACGCAGTATAGAACCACTGTTACTTGTTGTGAATGTCTTGATGGAATGAAAAAGTATAATGACAGAAGGAAATGTGAGTTAAAAACATAAGTATAATATAATCATAATTCATAAGAGTTTATGGAATATATTTCTATTATGATTACAACCTTTGAAACCAAACCTAATAAAATCTATCTACCTACTCATGCCCATTCTTGGATAGAGGAATTATTCAGGGAATTATAGGCAAGAACACTTAAAGACATGTCATGTTAGCATATTATGGAAAGTCAGAAGAAATTGTGCTTTAAATGCTATTGTTACAGGGATATAGAATTATTTGGAGAATATCGCACATGTAGCCGTTGCAGAGAATACTGTAAGAGAAGGTATGAGACACATCGTGATCTAGTGGTGGAACAACAGAAGAAATACTATCAGAACAACCGCGACAGCATTCGGGAGCAACAGAAGGAATATTTGAAGGAATATAGGCAGATTACGATCAGATGTGATGTGTGTGACCGCGACATAAAAAAATGCAAGAAGGCAGAGCATGAGAGAACTAAAAAGCATTTACTGAACTTGGGAAAGTGATTGACACGTTTGATTGAGATATTGAATGTGTGAATGACTTGTGCTGATATGGGAATGATGTGGGGAGTGGTGTGGGGGTAGTGTGGGGGGCGCCCTTGGGGTGAATTCTATTCTGGGAGTGTTATCCCCTAACTTAATGCGCACCCTGATGCGGCACAAAATCTTCGTCATGACACTGTCGCTGAGGACAAGCTCACGCTTCTAGCTAAGCAGCTAAGTTGTAAACCCAAGCCCAAAAGGTCCTCTCAACTGCCAGAGCCCTGCACCATTGAGCGCTGTGTGCCAGGAGGCCAGCAGCATGCGTGGCACGCTGGGAGCTGCCCAAGCTGCTGGCGCCTTCAAGGAAGTGTAGGAGCTGGATGGGTTTAGGTTTTAGGGTTTAAGGTTTAGGGTTTATAGGGTTTAGGGACACAGGAAGCCCATTTAATTAGGGGGGTGGGGTTACCTGTTTTGATGCGGGCTACATCGCTGCAACCTATTTTTGACACGGGCAAGTACGCTTGGGGTACGACAAAAAAGGACCAACAAGATACCCTGCATGTCACTGAATGCGCAAGTCTACCGGCCACGGTCATTTTCGTCCATAATTAATTGTTCCCAAGGAAAGACTTCTTAGCGGCGACGCAAATCAAAGTCTCTGTCTGTGACGGTTTCATCCGATTGGCCGTTTTGCTGCTGTATAGAAACCACCCGCCAACAAACTGGAAACCTTGACCTTTAAAGGCTTCCGGAACGGTCTCAGACTGAACTGCCCCGACTCGTCGTTGCAATGTCCACAAACTTGTCCGACATGCTAAGCGCCAGAAGAGACTGAAATGTGGCTACCCGGAATTGTCTTCAAGAACATCATAAGGAATTGATTCGGGAGGTGAAATGAGGCAACCCTCAACGCTAGCATTAGTTAAAACGGGTTCAAGAAGGCCTTTCTGCATCAACCATCCAAACAGTGTCGCAAAAAACTAGACCCTAAAACCCTACCCCCCCCCCCCCCCCCCCCCCCCACCAAAAAAACAGCCTTGCAAATCATCAACGCAATGCGCTCCCACCTCTCCAGCAGGCAGCGAGACTATGGTCTCAAAGAGTCGGGCTTTTGAAGGCCCCCAGGGGCTAAAATCTTCGTCAAACCCTGCACCCAAGAAACTTTCAGAATTCAAAGCCGTGCCCCGGATCGTGCAGATCCACACCCAACCACGCGCAGCAGAAGGGTTGAAGCATGATGCTCGGGTGCCGATGGGTTTGAGGGGTGGAGAAGCAACTCCTGAATGTGTTACGTAATTCTGAGGGCTGGCAACGGACATCCACACATCCTATACTGTACTGAAATCAAGCCTGTAGCCCCAAAAAAGTCTTCATTGACGGCCCTACCCCAACAGCAAGCATACCTAAACCCAAAAAATCCCAAAACTACACTGTAAGCCTTTTTGTGATCAGTGTTGCATCTTGGCCCTAAAACACGGACTGAGGAGGCCAGAACCCCAAACCCTAACCCTAAAAACCCTAAACCCCCAAACCCTAAACCCTAAACCCTTTCGAACAAGAGCCGAACCTCGAGCCAGACTTCTGTGTGCGTGGGAAAAGCTGCAAGCAGGCCTCGCCAGGCTCAGGAATTTGGTTCTTCAGGAATGGGTTTGGGGCTTGCGGGGTTTCAGGGTTTTAGGAGATTTTCGGGTTTTGGGGTTTAGGGTTTGGGGCAAGGGTCTAGCATTTGGGCAGGAGAGCAGCTGGACGGACAAAGAAGCCACAGATTGACCGCTGAACGCGCAGAACCGCTGAACCATTGATCATGCCAGTCCCAGGTCCACCACCCCTAAGCCCTAAACCATAAACCCTAAGCCCTGCACCCTAAACCCTACACCCTAAACCCTAAACAACCTTGTCAGAATGCTCTATGGACTCCGGCTCCAGCCCTGATCATATAGGGGCCCTGCTTGCACTGGAGTCACTGGAGTGGGTGCTCTGAGTCGTTTACGAAATACCTTAAATGTCTCATACATTCATACGTACAAACACATACATACACACATACATACATACATACCTACATACACACACACATACGCACACACAGACAGACAGACAGACGGGCGGACGGACGTACATACATACATACATACATATACATATGTACACATACATACATGTGTATGTACGTCTGTCTATAATAATAAATAAATAAATAAATTAAATAAATAAAATATATATATATATATATATATATTTATACTTTTGTACGTACACGTCATGAGCGGGTCACAGAGGTTAGTTATTGTTCAGGCTCCTGTCCGGCTCCTGCATCAAATTTTGAAGCTGGGCAGCATGCCTGCCAAATGGTGCCCTGAGGGGGCGTATAGTCCAGATGGAGCCACTGCTTTCCCGCCGCTTTGCTGCCTAGGAGTCGCTCTGCCACACACTCAGAATAGAACTGGCGACTTCGGCACACACGCGCGCACACGCCTGGCCTCATGTCCCAAGCTTCGGGTTCAGAAATTCACAGTGGGCCTCCTTTCTCAAAGTATCCGCTGTGTGAAGGCAAATACCGCCCAAAGCACCCCTGAACGCTACGCCCGGATCAGTCTCAAATTGTATGGCAACGGCCCAGATGCGTTTGTAGGAAATTACTGTGGATAGTCATGTTTAGCCTCTTGGGAAATCACATCGCTACAAGCCTGGGCCTGTAAACCTTCGGGCCTTATAAGATAGATGTATAGTGAAAGCAAAATTGCTCTCAACCTTGCATGACTATCCCTTTTTGCACCCATACACAAATTCTGACCCCCAAAAAACACGCTCTAAACCCCAAAGAAGCCCTAAAAGCCCAAAACCCCTATATATAACCCTAAACCCTTAAGGCATCTTGAAACCTAAAGCAGCCCTAAAAACCCCAAACCCATATAACCCTAAACCCTTAAGGCATCTTGAAACCTAAAGAAGCCCTATCACTCTACTCCCCTTAGAACCTAAAACATAATATTCTCAATATCCTCTTGGGTTTATATGAACAAAAAATAATTCCCAAGGGGGATATAGCTATAACAAGCCCCGGGGGCTGCCGGGAGGAGCCAGCGCCACGACGTCGACGGAGCCGATCAGGGGCGCACCTGGCATCCAAGTGGGGAGGCATCCAAGCGGGGAGGGGCGGGTTTAGGGTTTAGGGTTTATAGGGTAGAGGGTTTAGGGTTTCGGGGTCGGAGGTTCTTTCGTTTAGGGGCTTCCTGTGGCTCCTAGACGCTGTACAATTACGTGAATAATATGAGTTACAACCCCATAAATGAGAGGTGTAACCCCCCCCCGAAAATAGTAAATAAATGGAGCCCCGGGTCTAGGGCGCGGCCATGGGCTTGCTTGTTGGAGGTTCACTGCCCGAAAAAACCATGTGATCCACTCGCTAATTTTGCCAGCTGGACCTTGCAATGCCTTACTCTGCAGTCGCTGGCGCCACTAAGCCCCTGAAGAGCCCTTCATCATAGCCACGGTTTAAGGTTTAGGGTTGAGGGTTTAGGGTTTTGGAACTCGAAAAAGGAGCCTTAAACGAGCGGTACACCGTCCTCACAACACACAGACAACTGCTCGCGCCTTCGGGTAGGTCGAACAAGGCTTCGAAGAGCCGAGTGACCTGCCGGCCGTCAGCTTGCCAGGGCTTAGGTTGTTTTTAATTTTAGTCTTTTTCGAGGCTACCAGGATGCCATGCTTTTGACAAATCTTCGATCCACAGAAGCGTGGTTTAGGGTTTAGGGTTTAGGGTGTAGGGTTTAGGCCCCCCTACCAAACAACAAAAACAATCAAGGGGTACACATGACCTCTGGCCGGCAGCGCAGAAACCAGGCGAAGTTGCCTGTGGAAGAACCCCCCGCCCCTCCCACATTCCTTTGCTGCGACCCGGAATGAGCCCAATAAAACCCGCAATTTGTCCCGGAACTCAACATGGATCCCAATCTAGCCCTTCCTTCAGCTGCAAACCCTACATGTACCCGTTGAACTCCGAACCACTCCGAAAATCGATCTTGGGCATGTGCTGAAGCGCCAACTCCAAGGCACAGAATTTCTGTTGAGCGGCTTACGTTGGGATGTTCCCTCTCATACTACCAGTCCTGAATAGGGATTACAATAGGGGATGCTATACATCCCTATTAAGGACTGCTAGTATCAGGTGAAAGGTTGAAGGGTTAAGCGTTTAGGGGCTTAGGGCTTCGAAGTTTAGGGCCTACGAGGCAGTTTCCAGTGTCATTCTCACATACCCTTAAAAAGGTGAAAACCTCCCAGTACAATACACCTGGTTCTTAGCACAGTCTGGAGGAGCCTCACCCCAAGCACCTGTCAAACCCACTTTTCGCCCCCCCCCCCCCCCCCCCCCTGGCCACCCAAACCCTAAACCCTAAACCCTCAACCCTCAACCCTCAACCCTAAACCCTAAACCCTAAACCCTAAACCCTAAACCCTAAACCCTAAACCCTAAACCCTAAACCCTAAACCCTAAACCCTAACCCTAAACCCGAAACCCTAAACCCTAAACCCTAAACCCTAAACCCTAAACCCTAAACCCTAAACCCCACCGTGGCAAAGCCCAGCGCTGGCGCGCAGGTCGTTGGCAGCAGCAGATCGCGGCAGATGGTGCTCCCGGACCTGGGCAGAGCCAGAGCCTTCTGAAGCGCTTTAGTAGTAACAGAAATAGTAATAGTAGTAGAAATATTAACAGTAGTAGTAATAGACACAGTAATAGTAATAGTAATAGTAGTAGTAATAGTAATAGTAATAGAAGTAGTAATGGTCATAGTCATAGTCATAGTGGAGTACTAGCAATGGCAATAGCCATAGCCATAGCCACGGCCATGGCAATAGTAATAGTAAAGGGTTGAAAGTCCAGCCATGGTTCGCACGGAAGTCTCGGCAGCGCACGTCAAGGAGAAACCCCGTCTTGGGGATGTCGAGCCCCGAGCCAGAAGGGTGTATCAGAAACCCCTAAACCCTAAACCCTAAACCCTAAACCCTAAACCCTAAACCCTAAACCCTAGTCCTGAAAATGTCAAGTGATCCTCCTTTCCAATGTGTGGCTGGCGGCTTCGTCTAAGTTTCGCAGACCTGGCGAAAGCATCCTTGGCGGCCAGGGCAGCGATACTCTCGACCCCGTAAGGTTTCGGGTTTAGGGCTTGGGGTGTGTTTAGGGTTTAGGGGCCAACATGAGCCAACAGCATGGCGAGACAGTGCATGACAGAGTTGCTAACAAGTGCCTGAAGAATGTACGGCGTGTGAAGGGACAAGAGTCCTAGATTTTAAACCCTAAACCCTGAAGCAAAGCTGGCCGGGGCTGACGCCATCATGCTTGCAATGCCCTTCAGGAGAAAAAACGCCCCCAAAAGTAGTGAGCTTGATTTGTCCAATTCTCGCATTCTAGCAGGGTTTAGGGATTCGGGTTTCGGGTTTAGGGTTTGCGAAACTTGTGGTATAGGGGATTGCTGCAAAGGAAAGGCCTGCAAAACCTGTGGCTTGTAAGGGTTCATGTAGAGATGTGTCGGGGATCGACTGGCTCTCCCTGCCAAGTCCATGGTGTACATTTCGGCATTCTCCAATTCTGTCATGTACCACCGAGGAGCCTATGTAGCCTATGCATGGAATGCTGAAACATGTTTTTTTTTCAATCACTCCCTCTTGAAACGTACCAAGCATCTGCAAGTCCCGAAGAAGCAGCTGCAAAGCTTCAGATACGGCGTCAGCTGCCAACACGTCAGTCAACACAACATATCCTTCCTCAGCCAGCGAGGATTTCCAGCTCTTCTCTTTGGTGCTGAAGAACTCGGGCACCATCCTTGGTTGCACGGCTTCCCTGTTCCTAATAAGTTCTGACCGCAGGCATCTGTACTCACTAGCACCTCGTGAAGATGGCACGTCATCATCCGAAAACAAAAATGAAGTGCAAGCCGTGGGTTGTTCAACATGGGCCAGGTAGCAGAGGAGGGTTCCATCCAGTGGCATGCGGAGAGTATGTGTGTCCCTGGTGGACGACGCGGGAATCCCATGCTAACAGCGCAGACTGGTGGGCATGGCCTTGGCGAGGGCGTGGGTCAAGCTGCACTGCCCGGCTGACGAGCGAAGGGTTTCGCACCTCAGCTGCATGTAGACGCCCTCGGTCTTCGGGCCAATGTCCGGATGCTTGCCAGCGTACATTGAACAAGAGTGTTGCATTCCTATTCAGGTTGAAGTTCTGTATGCTCAACGCAGAACCTTGAAGCGTTCAAACCGTCTAGACTTCGCAAGACACGGAACTTCATTGTTGAAGCTATGTGCTCTGCATCCTTCGGCTTAGGAAAATGCAGGTTAGCTTGGGATGTGCCCCCTTACACTAACAGTCCTTAATAGGATTATAGTACCCCCCCCCCCCCCCATTATTATTATAATCCCATTAAGGGGCTGTTCGTAGAAGGGGGAACATCCCAAAGGTTAGCCTTCTTGCATCTCTGCGCCGCAGTCTTGGCAGTGCCCCCGCTGCTGAGCCTCTCGAAGGTGCCATCCCGGTGCGAGCCGGGGATAACCACGAGGGACCGGAAGGCCATGGCTTGCGCTAGTGAGCCCAGACAGGGACGAAGGAAGCTGCCGAATGGGTTTCGTGTTTAGGGTTTAGGGTTGAGGGTTTAGGGTTTAGGAAGGGTTGGGGGCGCTGTAAGATCATGCGAGTACTTAGGTGAATTCCGCTCATCCGCAACCGACTCGCTGCCAGCGTCATCGAATCGAAGCCACGGGTCCTTCTCCCAGCATGAGTGCCCCAAGCGTCTCAGAGACGACGACATCCTAAGATTTGCAGAAGCGTTTCGAGCTCCTAGTGAGTCTATGACTGATTCACTCGCAGGTCAATATTGAAATTATGTGTGGGCACAGTGCTCTTCAGAGCCCACCAATAAACCCCTCTTGCCCCCTCATGGCTTCCTAGCACCCTAAACAAGCCCTAAACCTTAAACCTAAACTCTAACCCTGTTTGCAACTGAGTTCTATGGCCTGCCTGAATGAGAGACTGAAAGGCCCGAAACGCCAACAAGGTTGCAAAACAGCAAAACTGTCTTCCTAATGGGATCTCTATACTGGCCTCGTGCGACGGATCTTAACTTCACTTACCATGATCCGAAAAGTACAGCAAAGAATTAAGTGCCCTTACTATGTTTACTTACCAATTTGACTCATGATCAATAACCCCATAGCTGTTACATGCCTCCCACACCCTGCGTCCAAGAACATCTGAACAAAGACCCCATAGTCTACTGGAGTTGGTGAACTTGGGTTCGTAGGTTGGCGTAGGCCATCAAACTTTGAAGGAAAGACCTTGCTACTGCCATCTGGGCAAACTCCCTAAACCCCAAGCCCTAGTTAGTCACTTCTTCCGCAAGGAAGTCTGCACTCCCAGAATCAGCTCTCAACTCCTCGCTCAGCTGCACTTTACTGCTGAGGGCATGGAGAATCCTCGGCTGGTCCGACAAAGCAGACGCGATCTCCATACGGAAAGATGGGGCGACACCCAATTTTACTAAGCCCCTGACACCTAGAACCCTTAACCCAATTCCCGCATACGAAGCCCTTAGTCCTAAACCCTAAACCCTAAACCCTAAACCCTAAACCCTAAACCCTAAACCCTAAACCCTAAACCCTACCCACAGACACAGGCTCCCTGAAGGCCAACTCCTCAAGGAGTCGTGTGCTCCGTGCGAGCCCCCTAAACCCTAAACCCTAAACCCTGATCCCTGAACCCTCAACCCTGAACCCTGAACCCTAATTGCGAGGCGAGGCACTGGATCTTGTCCTCCTGGCATGGTGGAATGCGTCAGAGACTCTTCGCCCGACTCTTGCTCTTTTGCTTGGCTTGGAGATTGTCATATAGGGGCCTGAATGATTAGAATAAGGTTTTGGGGGTTACTATTCGTTGCTATTAGTATGATGGAATGGGAGCTTCGGGCCTACAGCCGCGAGGCACTGGCTTGAGGGCTTCAAGGGGCTTAGGGTTTAGGGTTTAGGCTTTAGGAACCCTAGGGTTTAGGGTCTTGCTTGAAGCCACAGTGTTTCAATTGGTTGCCATGCCGGGCTGACCTGCCCATTTCGTTGAGCATTCAGTCTGGCCTCAGCCAAGCAAGGCATCGGTGGAACACGAGCCAGCAGCAGGGAATGACACAACCCAGAGACTCTAAAACCCCTTAATTAAGGAATATACCTTAGCTTATAATAGGAGCCCTAGTATGATTTAAGGTATATTCCTTAATTAAGGGGTTTTGGAGTCTCTGGGAAGTCCGAGTCAGTCTGAGCCTAGCTCGCAGACCTAGACTTGTCAGATTTCAAGGTGCATCTTCTCCAAGCTAACATAACGACTCGCAGTTCCTTCCAAAGCTTGACCATACACTCGATGGGGGTTTCCGAAAATATTAGAGTTCGGGGGCACTGTTTTGGTGTTTTAAGCTTGTGTGATGTCTATATGGAACCCCCCATCGAACACCCATCCTAAAGCTGCCAACATGGGTACTTCCCCTCTTATACCCCAAATAGAATAGAAGCCCCTATAGGGGACCCCCAAAAAGGGTTCCCCCATTTTCGGAAAACCTCCCTACCGTGGGGCCACACTGCCGCCTGATGCAGGAAAGCGGCCAGGTCCGCCATGTCTTTGGAAGCCTGGCTAAGGACATGAAGAACACATTTTCCAGAGATCTGGAGCCTTTTAAACCTAAACCTAAACCCTAAACCCTAAACCTCAAACCGACAAGCCCTGGTGCATTGTCATGCCTCAATGGCCACCACGGACTCGGCACCCAGTTTCGCTGCCATCAATGACAGGAGGCCGCTTCCCGAGCCTGTTTGAGGGTTTAGGGTTTAGGGTTTAGGGTCTAGGGTTGCTTTGTCGGGCGTAGTTCCTTTCTGGGTTCGTATAGGGATTCTAGCTTTCGTACATTACAAGGCAACAATATTACACGGGAGCCTTTAAGGGATGTTCTGAACTCGGGTCGAGGGCTTGACGATTTCTCAAGGATTTTGGCCATCATTTTGTCCTCAACCAACTGAACTAGCATGTCAGCGAGAACGGCAACAAAACCCATTGCGCTACACACGACGCCAAGCTGAAGCGGACTCCACACTCCGTCCTGCTATTCCGGGGTGACAATCAAAGTCAAACGAGGTCCGCAAGAAATCATGGGGTCAAGACACCTATGTCGATCACGCGCTTGCCCTGGACGACTGCAGCCAGCGCATCCCAGTAGAATTGATTTCGGTGCGAATCATTCCTTGACAAAACCAGCTTCATGGCTGCGCTTTCTGGGTGAATGTAGTGCTGCCAGCATACAGGTCTCTGGAGTCATTGGGGAGCAGAGTCATGCTGCTTCGCTTTGCTCGTGTGAGCGATGTCTGAGCGACTTGGGACTGCACGAGCCTTTCAAAATACCCGCCGGGCCCAAAAATTATCTACATTGATGAAGCTGAAATTAAAGCGTCAATAACTATAAGCAGAAGCAGTCATATGCACGCATATTTCTGCGCGCAGTAAAGTTAAACCTCCAACTCACGGCGGGCTGCAGCATGGCGAAGTGCCAGTCGTTGACGGCCTACCGATGTGGAGTTTCAAGTGTCCCTACCCACAGCTACCCTTACGGTAAGCTGTTCCACTCCGGCTTCATGAAAGTAACTGAAGCAATGCAAACGACTTAAGGAAATCAAACTATGGAAACTGAATTGCCTTGATTACATTACTTAAATTGAGTAGAATCAGTCAGGTTGGCTGTGTCAGGGTTCAGCTGAGACTGCAGGGAAAACACCGCGTCGACCTGGAGGCAACCCGAACTGCATGAACCCTAAACCCTAAACCCTAAACCCCAAACCCCCTAAACCCTAAACCTTATAAACCCTAAACCCTAAACCCTGAAAATTGTTCTCTTTGTTGGGGCCAATAGGGTTACAAAATCAACCCCAGGTGGCCCTCAATCAACCCCAGCTGATTGTGAGGCGCCCTAGTACCCTAAACCGTGAAGAGCCTCTATGAGCGATTCGTTCCGCCCCTTCAAGCGCGGAGGAACCCAGTGGCCTGGCGACTTTGGGGAGGTTTAGGGTTCAGGGTTTATAGAGTTCAGAGTTCAGGGTTCAGATTGGGGAAATTTATTTGGGGGGGGGGGGGGGGGGGGAGGGGGGGTTCTAGCAATCAGATTCAGGGCTTATGGGGTTCAGTTGTTTAGGGTTTAGGGTTCATAATATTTTGGAGGGTTAATCCTTAAAGCATCCAATCCCGTTCGGAGTATGGCTAGTTGAGGATGACAGGATCAAGTGGCGAGACTTGCTCAAGATGCACAAAATGGAACCTAGGTTAGAAACTGGGTTCAGGTTCTATGATGCTTTGGGTCCGCGCACACAAGGGGACAGGAGCCATGAGAAAATATAGGGGCCCAAACAACCATTGCACAGGGCATCTAGGGTAGTTTCTACTCTACAAATTAAGTCTATGGGTTGGGATGTTCCCACTAACAGTCCTTCATAGGGATGTAAGAAGGGGGTACTATAATCCCCATTAAGGACTGTTAGTATAAACGGGAACATCCCAATCTATGGGGTTTATCAGGGCTCATACCATTGCGAATTATTTGGGGCTCACGTGTCGCAAAAACGCCAAGGTGGGAGCCTCGGGTCATCGCCTCCTCGTAACCTGCCCAACAGCGACTTCGGACATGGAGAGGCCTTCTGGGATCTGCCAGGGTACTTACAGCCACATCTGTGCACATAAATAAATAACAATGAAAATAATACAAGTATACTTAGTATAATATAATATATATATATACATATACACACAGGGTTTTGGGTTTAGGGTTTGGGGGTTTCGGGTTCCCAGGGTCACGGTGTGAGCTGCAAGCAGGATTAGGCTTGGGGACTGAGCCTGTCTAGTGGGTAGCTCCCTCTATTGGGGTTTAGGGTTTATAGGGTTAGGGCTTAGAGTTTCGGAATTTGGTCCCCATATAGTGCGGCACCTTATAAACAGGATTCCAAAAGGGACCCTAGTTTAGAGCACCGGTGTGAATGGGGCTTTACGAAAATGGGCCCCAAAGTAGACCCCAAGTAGGATTCCCTTACAACAAGGACCCCAAATTGTAAACCGCCAAGCCAAGTGACGTGTCGAATCCTCGTATTCATCGCCGTCGTCGCACCCAGGTGGGATAAAGGAGTCCTCAGTCAGTCAGCTAGATTCAGCTAGATGTCCCACAATAGGGGGCCCCCCGTTCAAAATCACAGAATGATGTACTCCTTACAGGAACTCCACGCAGGTACCCCTACTTTGCAAACCCCCCCCCCCCCTTGTGCAGTCGCGACCTGAACTGGCCTTCCGGCCCCAACCCCCAAAGAGCCAGAATCAACAGGGCCTGCAAACCTGGACATGCATCTTGGCCTCGTATGAGTCTTAGCAAATGAGTCGTTCGCAGTCCCCTGGGTTCGTGCAGAGGAACCCAGAGAGGTACCGTTGACACCCATTAAGGAGTATGGGCTCTGGGAACCGTGTGTCAACCAAGGAAGTCTTTGCATCTCGGCGGCGGCATACTTTGGTGCCTTGGGCATCGCAGTGTCTGCCTGGGCCGAACATGCTTTATGATTTCAAAAGAAGCTTGGAAACTCTAGGGCGGCAGAAATTCTTCCATAGACTTTATTTAGAGCTGTTGTCAGAGAAGGGTTCCGATTTCTTACGTGAAGCCATGATCACAAAGTCGCTCTTGCTATAAAATCAAGTCTGACTCAAGACGCCTGCAAACGGATCCTCCCGAAGCCCTCACAACCTGACATCCAATTCACCAAATCTGCCAGATCACTGAGATGCGGTTTTGAACCTGTTCTGTTCCTGGGCTCCCTGAAGGGTAGCTCTTCTAGCAAGACCGTTTTGTTAAGCGAAAGGGGCCCTAACTTACAGCAATTCCAAATTGCCGGAGCTGGCTTCCATAACCCACCAGTTCGCAGCAAGGGGCGGCTGCCGGACGCTTCGGTCGCCACTGAGGCTTCTCCTGCCCGATGCCACTACTAGACGAATTGAGCACCCTAGGCCCAATAAGACCTCAGCAGGCTTCTGCGCGTCGAGTTCCGCGCCTGGAGCCTCAAGCCTGTAAGCTCCAGGCCAACTTCCGACCCACAACACTCACCCAACCGCATGCGCCCGACGTATCCGACTTCTACGTCGGAGAGGAATCGGAAACTAAGACTCCAAGGTGGGAGTTCTTTACCCGTTAGAGCATGAGCAAAGAAAAAAAGGTTCCTCGGCAGTTCGCGTTTTGCTTTGACTCTTGCCGACGACCAGCTTCTAAACCCAACGCTCTCAAGGTTGCCGAAACTATACATACCCCTAAACCCTAAACCCTAAACCCTGAACCCTAAACCCTAAACCCTGAACCCTAAACCCTAAACCCCCCGAAAACTGCACCAATGTTGGGGCACTATTAAAAACCATAATGTTGTTCCTGGTTGGGTGGGTTTAAGTTTTCATAAACATGTGAAATGTTTTTCAACAGCGACAATGACCCAAAAAAACTAAACACAGCTTACCTACTGACCTACTACATCACTGGCCCAGATTCTGCCTGCAATGAAAAAGCAACGAAATGGCAAGTGTCTGAGTGCTCCAAACCGAACGCCAGTGTGTGAAAACCCCAACTCAGCATACCCTAAGCCACTCCTGTTTGACTCCGGACCCTACCTCCCCCTAAGCCCTAATTGACCCCTAAGCCCCTGAAACCTGCTTGCCTCGAGGGCCTTACTATCCCTTACGAAGCCCCAAAGCCCTATGTAAGCCCAACCCTGCACACCCTGAGGCCCTAAATTCTGCGAGGTCCTCTTTCTGCGACTTTGTCTTGCCCATGGGGCGAGCGGCGAAGGGCACTGTAAGCTGCTGCCCATACAGTGATTTCCGAGAGGTGAGAAAGTTCTTCAAATCGAGTAAGCATGGGCTTGACAGCTGGCCCCTGAACACCTTGAGCCCTCTATCAACCCTACATAAACTCGACCTACATAACCCTCAACTGAATCACTGGATCGCTTCAGCTGGCTTGTGTTCGTCTGCGCCTTTGGCTTTCGGGGTGCGCTGCGCTAGAGCCTAGCACGAGCCTTGAAGCAGGAAGCAGGAGCAGTGTTAGGGCCTTAGGGCCTTAGGGCCTTAGGGCCTTAGGGCCTTAGCGCCTTAGCGTCAGGGCTTAGGGTCGTCTTTGAGGAGGTGTGTGGTTGGTTGGATGGTTGTTTTTCCGGGGGGGGGGGGGGGGGGTCGGCAATGGTGTGTGCTTAGCTTTTTTTGGTTCATGTTTAGGGTTGTGGGGTCTATCTAGGTTTCAAGGTTGTTCTTTGCCGCCTCGGCGACCGCCATTTCCACACTACACCACGCCCTAAACAACCGAAAGCCCTCGCAGCCAAAAACAACAAACTCCGATGCGCCCAACGTGCTGCCTTCAGGATGTTCAGGCCAGCCCTATGCGCAAACTCAAGCACATCCCAAACCCCTGCAACCCAAACCCTGGAAATGAAAAGTTTAAGAGACATTGCATGGCTCGAGGAACCGAGGCGCGGAGCTTTGGAACTTGCAACCCGCCAGCACAAATATCCCAGTCCCGACCCCCTACTGACAGCCTCGGCAATGGCACGACCTCGATGACGCAAAGTTTGCTTTGCTTTGCTCTCGCAGAAGCTTCGTGTGGCGATTGGATAGCTGGGACCAGCAACTGGCACTCCAGAGAAACATGTCAAGAGCTGATGGATGCAACAGGGGGGGGGGGTGTCCCTCTTCAAGTGTTCCGTCGGTTTACAGCATTTTGGCATCAGGTATCTGCATTCCACGTCTCAAGGTGCTTTGGAAGCTCTCTGATGCTGTAGCTGAAAGGAAACGTTCAAGGGCAGGGTGCGGGGTCTGGTTCGGGGCAGAATCTGGGCAAGACTTTAGGGTTCAGGGTTTAGGGTTAGGAAGCATCGAGCTCCCCTTCTTGCTTGTGCTTGGAGCATGACTGTGTAAGGCGGGTTGGGTCACTGGGCACACCCTAAACCCTAAACCCCTTGGGTGTCGGGTGTCACTCTGGTGGCATGCAGGAGGCGGAAACGCAGAATTCAACTCAGAATCTGATGTGGTGCACTCCATCAACTTCGAGGGTGTGGCTTTTCAAGTGTTCACTCGCTTCACAGGGTCTTCAGCATTCGCGTCCCGATTCTGCTCGTCATCATGTCACAGCTCCGGGCAAAACCAGGGACCCCCCCCCCCCCCTCCCCCCCGAACCCTAAACGCCATAGAGGCCAGCTGAGTGTCCAACCAAGGAGTTCCAAAGCACGGCCCCACCTTGAAGCGAAAGCAAGGAAAGCCTAAGCTTTAACTGTAGACTCTGTAGACCATTCAGCCTGCCTCTTTTTTGGTTTTGGCTAAGCCGGGGTGGGGCGGGGGGGAAGCCCCGGCCTTAGGTTTGAGGGCTTAGGGCATCTTAGGGCTCAGGGCTTAGCCCATGCTATAGGAGTCCATGTCTAGTGCACTCCGATAACCTCCTCGTCCGAGGCCTCAGGTTAGCCCTTACAGGGCTCCGGGCTGATGAGCAGAGTCGCAGGCGGTTGCGACAGCCTCGTTTCAGATTAACACTAGAGGGTCTCGGGTAAATAGTTGTGTGGGCGTACTTTTCCAATTGTGCATATTAAGGCTTTAGGGTCGGGTTTAGGGTGGACATGTGTGGACTTTCGCTGCCAACCCTAAACCCTAAACCCTGAACCCTAATCGATTTCTTCATCAGCCAGGACGCACTGTACATCGCCACATCAGGACCTCGGCAGATAATTAGGGCTCGTGCTGTAGCAGGTGCAGCACTTCGTAGCCCAGTAGCCATATTCTAATAAGGGTACTCTTTTTGGGGTTGGTCACTTTTTTGGAAACCCAGAACCAACAAAAAGGGTTACCCACTGGGCTACCAAGAGCAAGGAAAGAGATGACAGCATTCAGCTGTGTGAAAGGCCACAGGAAGCGCAACACACACTTCAAGATCACCAGAACGCGTTCCCTGGCCGCAAGAAGGATATCCCGTCTGAATTATCCTGACATCGGCCGGCAACCACACACCCATTCATGAACTAACGACGATGATTCACTATACGGGGTTTCCGACAATTGGGGTACGTACCCCTTTGGGGGTAGAATAAGGATTGTACGATTTTGTGGTATATTCAGGGTCCCCCCCCGTCCTATATTTGGAAACTCCTTATCCCCCACAAAGATGTGTCCAAACTAAGAAAAGAGGTAGTCTTATAGTGGCCGGCCAGCGGCCGGATCCCTCCAAAAGGCCGACACCTGCCACAAATCCCACCCTTCCTCGAGCCCTAAATGGGGATTTCCCAAAATAGGGTCCCTTTGAGGGGATTCTATTCTATTTGGCGTCCAAAAGCGGTACCCCTATTTTGGGATATACCTCAGATTTGAACTCTTGTGAAAAGCTGGGCGTCCCCACGTAGAGACATGGTTCGAACCTCGCGGAGCAAGGCCCAAGCCAGCCCCTGCGCAGTCTGTAGAGATGTGGGAGCTTACGAAAACGGATTCCCTCATTATAAGGACCCCAAAAACAAGGTACCCCTAAATTCGAAAACCCCCATGTAGTGAGATTTGTAGGCAATTCCTATTCTGGTTTGGGGTGCCTCATCCGTACTCTCGTTCGGAGCCCTCATGAAGCAACAAAAGAAACGCCTTCCTCTCAAATGCATCCATATGCGAGGTTCATGGTTCAGAAAGGAACCCTACAAACCCTTGACAGTTGAGGGGCTCAGCAGCAGCAAGGCTTTGGGATGCTTCTGGCCGAACGGGGTGCGGATGGCTGATGGAAGGGGAGTCTGAACCACAGAGCAGCGTTCTTTAAAGCAGAGTTCAGGGCTTAGCGCCGACGGGCGGCTCTCAGGGTACGTGGACGGTGCATAATCTTTCATCGCCGCATCTCAGTACCGCGCTGCGTGATCTGACTACATCTGTGCTACGAGCACCCACAAGCACGCAGCCGTACGCCTGACTTGGGATCCCACACAATTGCTCGACCAGCCAATGTACGTCGTTGTGAGGCTCGCGATCCTGTTCGATAGCTTCTCAGCTGTCTCTGGACCTTCTCCAGGTTTCCATCCGAACCCCGCTGCACTGCATCTGCTGCAAGCATAGGCGGACTTCGCTCCTCTGGCGTCGGCTGGTCAATTGCTGACGCCAATTCAAGTTTGACAAAGACTCTCCTGACATGCCCTGCGAGTAGCAGAAGTTGCCGGGCTGACCGCAAATGTCCGCATCACGCAAGCCAGAGTGCCAAGGTGGTGTTCATCCGGGTTTGTCGATGTCACCTGACAAGCAAGGTAACTAATCACACGTTTCATCCATGTCGTTCAAAACTGTGCATACCTCGACTAGGTCACAAGCAGTAACAAACAGCATACGCCAATACTTGATGAGCTTTGGCTTGGCCAACAAACACCATACGCCAATGTTTGATGAGCTTTGTCCAAAGAAACCCCCCCCCAAAAAAAAAAAAAAACACCTCCGTCACCCTCCACGGTGTGCAACGGGGCGAGGATATCTGCAAGCGCCGGAGGTAGCGGTGCGTGGGCGGTAAAGTTCGCCTCGTTGAGGTCGAGATAGCCTAATGATCGAGGGTGTGAGAGTTGAGTGTTCAGGGACCATCTAATATGAACCTGACTATGGTTCAGTGTGCCATTGCAGGAGCCCAGACATTGATCACCACCGGGACATGACTCTTGGTCTAAAGGTCAGAAGCCAGAGCAAGAGCCAACCTTCTGAAGTTGACTTGTGCCCAGCGCCCTGAACACCAAGCCAAGTGACTGATGCGTGCGCAGTGCAGAAAAAGACGTGGGCATTGCAGTAAGCTGCCCTTGCGCCTAGCATGGCATCCAGTAAGATTTGGGTGCATATTGTAAGCAAACGGCGCTGACAGCCATGATCTGATCCCCAAACTCCGTGAGCCACGGCCATTTATTGTAAACGCAGCTCCTGGATTCATGATACTACAGAAGGAGTTGTGCATTCTCCGGATCCACTAAGTCCCGATTTCAAGGCTACAGCATAAGCAGCAGCACACCTGCCATATGTTCGATCACCAATCAAAGGCCGTCCCAGATGAGCCATGTGCACACCTTGGCTGGAGGGGGCTAGGAGGGTATGCTGGGCTTTAGGAACCTGAACACCCTAAACCCTAAACCCTGTGCGGTTCGAGGCCAGGGCTCGGATTTGATGCGTGCGGCCCGTGATCGGGTGTGCAGAAAGCAACATCAGCTCAGAATTCTCGGCCTGGCCCACACAAGTCCGTGGAGTTGGAGGGAACCCCCTTAAACTTACTTCCCAAATATCCATTGGGCAAAAAGTGCGAACTTTCAGAATAAGACTACCTTGTAAGAGGCCAAAAGTTGAAAAGTTGGGTTTTGAAGCACTACGTAAAGGGTATGTATAGGGGGATGTACAGCTTCATCGGGTGCTTTGCATGATGCCATGGGCTGCAAGTCCTGATTTCTTTGGGAAGAGGGGCTTGTGTAGCAGATTGAAACCTCTAAAGCCATCATGAGGTTGCGAGGTGGCCAGGCCAGTGCCTTTGATCTGAGGACCCGCGAGCCTCCCCTTTTAAGTGAGACGAGGGTTGCAGGATTGTTTAGGTACCGAATAGGGAACTTTGTGTGAATCCAGCCGGCTAGGCACATACAGGGAACGCAGCAAAAGCACTGCTAGGGGAGCAACGACGACAGTTCTCGAGCATTGAACTTACACCCTTGCTCTCAAGAACGAGCCGTGCCAAGCACAGCGGCCTCGTCATCCGAAAGTGGAGCCTGAAAGCGATTGAGAACCTGCAGCCACAAGCGGTTCTCGAATGCAGCTTTGAAGACGTAAACTGGCCAAAAGCTTATACAGGGAGAGAGGGGGTGGAGGGCAGGAAATTCTGTTGGCTTCCGTGGAGCTGCCTCGCGGACGCCCTAAACCCTACCACTCACCCTAGAGCCTGCAAATTCAAACAACCCTAAACCCTAAACCCGAAACCCTAAACCCTAACTTCTCAACTGCCATGTGTTCAGGCCTTGTACTCAGTCCGCGCTTCCCGGCCGAGGTCGTTGACTTCGCTGCGGCTCGTAAGGCCGTCCTCCAGATGATCTTTGGGCGTACCGGTGGTTTAGGGTTTAGGCTTTAGGGGTTTGGGGGGCTACTTGGAGGTTCAGGGTACTTATAACCCAATTATAACTGTAATTGGTTTATAAGTGCAGCTATAGTTGGGTTATTAAGTACCATGAACCTCCAAGTACTGCGGGTAAATTGCCCAAGCTTCCGGAAAAGGGAAAAAGCAAGATAGGAAGAGCGTGGGTGAACTGCTCCCGCTTCGGTAAGACAAGACAGAAAGCGGATGAGCTCAGAAAAGCACCATTCTTATGCACCCTGCCACCACCACCACCACCACCACCACCAACACCACCGCCAGCGCCAGCGCCAGCGCCAGCGCCAGCACCAGCACCAGCACCAGCACCACCACCATTGAGTCGTTTGTTGCGTGGAGTGGGTTTGGGGTTCATGGTTCTGGGTTTTGCCAAAAACCCCTCAATCCGGGCTTTGCTTCTCCAGGTTCCAAGAAACTTAAGTACAGGGATGATGTGAGGCAGCCAAATTATCTCCACTCGGCTACGAAGCCCTCAGTCAGGGGCAAAGACCGGCGCTGGCCCCCCCCAAAAGCCGCTCTGCCAAACAAACTCGAATGCGACTCTCTTACACCAAAATAAGGGAGATATACAGCACCTATACAGGGCCTACTATAACCCATCAAGCACAAGCCACAAACACCCTAAACCATAGTAGCGAACTGCTGGCAGGCGGCAATCTCCAGAGTAAGTAGCGGCACATCAACGAAGCCTTCCGTGTCGACCGGTCCGAGGCTTGTCCCCTCACCTCCAAGTTGAGAAAACCATTAAGGTTTAGGGCCGGTGTGGGTTTAGAGTTTAGGGTTTCTGGGGATTTAGGGCCTTTAGGGTTTAGAATGGTTTAGAGTTTAGGGTTTATGGGGCTGAGGGCCTTTAGGGTTTTTTGTCAAGGGTTTATGGGGCTGAGGGTTTAGGACCTTTAGGGTTTAGAGTTTATGGTTTATGGGGCTGAGGGATTATTAGGGGTGCCTTTGTGGGACAGGGGGGGGGGGGGGGGGGGGGCGGGGGGGGGGGGGGGGGCGGAGGAGGGTCCATTCAAGAGAGAGTCTGCGAGATAGGGGTTAGGGTTTCGCTAGGGCTTACAGGGCCGTAAGACTCAGGCTGGTGAAGATCTAGCATGGCTTAGGGTTCGCGGTTTGTACTCTGTTTTAACGGGTTCTCGGTTTCAGGGTTGAGTCAGGTTTGTGTAAGTGCAACTGACGTGTGGCCTCCTCCTCGCCCCCCCCCCCCCCCCTGGGCGCCCACCCTGAACAAAACCGAAGTGCAACCGGGCGTCAAAGACAAACATATGCCTTCTGCACCTTGACGCAGGAGTGGCTTCAGGGCTTCACATCTGAGGAGAGCTTCTCGTTTCTATACTTTGCTGCGTTAAGCTTTGATTTTCGACGTCTGCTGTCGCAGGGACTTTTCCATCACGGCAGTTCAAGGAGATGTCTTGTCAGGCGATGCAAGGGAAACCCAGCCGATAAGCCAATAGCCTCGGAGATTCTCCCCTAAACTTGCTTTGAGTTGCGATGATCCGCCCCATTCTCGCCATCCACTCTACAACACGCGTATGAAGCTGGGGTAAACCATCTTGCACCGGCCGTTGCAGCTGGATCTGCTTGCAACAACATGATGGCAGCATGCGTTGAATCCAAATGAAACATCTTCCGGATGAAGGGACCCTTTTGAGCAACGGACTTTGGATGAAGGGACCCTAAACCCTAAACCCTAACCCCTCAACCCTCAGCCCTAAACCCGAGTCTGTCTGATGAAATGCAAACGCCAAGAGGCCAGCCGACCGGCCAGTTGGGCCTGCAGCCAACGTGTAGACAGCGACCTCAGATACTGGGTTTAGGGTTTAGGGTTTAGGGTTATACTTGGAGGTTCATGGTACTTATTAACTTATTGTAAGGGCACTTCTCACTGTACTTATCCCCATATTAGGGCACTGAAGGGGCTTATAAGTAGGTTATAAGTACAGTTATCAGTGGCTAATAAGTACCATGAACCTCCAAGCAGACATATAGTGTATAAAGGATGCAACGGGAACTGAAGAAAAGAAGGGGAAACGACCCCCTCCCCGCCCCAACTCGCAAGATCGAACCCCGAAACCCGGAGAAATCATCCTTGCCTGCACCAGCAGCTACCGGGCCCGCTGTGAAAGCCAAGAGGCTCGGCATTTCCAAAGGCCACCGGAAGAACGCCTCTTCAAGCAGCGTGGTGCGAGCTGTGTACATGGAGCCCCACGACAATGGCCCATGACCCCGAAATCCCCAACTCTCAGCCCGCCTCCCGCACCCTCGCCGTACACAAAGCCCTACTTCAGGTGTGGGCTTAGGCAGGGATGGGCAAGTGGAGCTGACAGTTCCTAGAAACTACACACTCAAAGTACTCAGAAGCCCCTCTAAGGCCTACAAACCCTCCACACCCATCCTCTGCTCCAAGCTGGGCACAAACCCTACAACCCTGAACCCTACAAGGTTTAGGGTTCTTAGGGCTTTTGTTCGCTCCCGCATAACTAGCTGGTTGAACGCAAGGCAGGGTTTGGGTCTGTTGTAGGGTTTAGGGTTTAGGGCTTAGGGTTTAGGGTTTAGGGTATAGGGCATAGGGTATAGGGTTTAGGGTTTAGGGTTTCTGAACCCTCCCCCGCTCCCCACACCGACCTGAGGTTGGGAAATCCAGGCGCGAGGCTGGGAAGAGGCCGTCCCTGCGCCCGGTGAGGCGCAAGGCAAGCTCCGCCACGAATCTGAGGGTCATAGGGTTGGTTTTTTTGGGTTTAGGGTTCAGGGTTCAGGTTTTAGGGTTTAGGGTGGTTGTTTTGATTTCGCCCGCCTAGCTGAACTGTGTTTGGGGATTTGGGGGGGGGGGGGGAATGTAAGGAAGCTGGGGGCAACCTGGAATTCCTCAGAGTTCATGAAGCCCCATAAAGTGCCCTGCAATGGGGAGATGGGCCTAAACCCGAAAACCCAAAACCCTAAACCCTAAACCCTTTGGAGAGCTGGGGTCATTAAAAATTCAGTCAGGACGAGCGGCGATTCCGTCTTGATGCCCTCGGGCTTGTTCGCAGCAAGCAGTCCTTCCCCTGCACCATGACAAGCTTCCGTTCGGAGGCTTAGTTGCAGATGGTTCCAGCTGGCTAGCTTTTGTGTAAAGTAGCCCGTTCTTAACTTACTTTTGCAGCTCTCGTTTATCAACCCTAAACCCTAAACCCTAAACCCTAAACCCTAAACCCTAAACCCTAAACCCTAAACCCTAAACCCTAAACCCTAAACCCTAAACCCTAGGCTGGAGGCCTGTGCCGAGAATCTCTCCAGGGTAGGCTCTGTCAAGCCGCGGCGGCGGTGAACTCGGTGCATCCAAGGCATGTGGCCGTGGACCAACGTGGAGAGTGAGATCTCACAACCCTATAATTAAACCCTAAACCCTGAACCCTAAACCTGAAACCCTAAACCCTAAACCCTAAACCCTAAACCCTAAACCCTAACTCAACTTTTACGTCTGAGGAGAGTTGCATGTTTGCTGCTGCTGGGCTTGCGATTGAAAGCTGGGATCAGGGACGCTCTTAACCCTGAACTGATGCGCTTACTTCAGCACTTGGCAGGCACTGCCCTTTTCTTGTGATTGTGATAGGATTCGGCCCTGTACCGTGCACCCTCTGCTTGAAGCTTCGTGAGTATGTACAAGCAGAGTTCGTGTAGGGGTATAAGCGGTAAAGCCACCCTTGTAGCTACCGCACGCCTATACCTAAGTAATTCAACCCTAAACCAGAATCCACCGGGCAAGACACCTCCTTCCACGAGACTCTGCCCGCCAGAGCATGGCCATGTCTCTGAGAAATTGAATCGCCTCATCGCAAACGCTTGGTGGGTGTCAGCTGCAATTCCAGTTCTTGTGTGTCGTGTTTTTTAGCTACCAGGCTGCTCTTCACTGGCGATGATTCTCCGACTCCGACTACACCAGTCACTCATCTATTCTTGGACCGAAACCGTCCCGGAATGGAAGGCATGACCAGCAACTTCCTGCGTTGTTCACATGACAAGTGATTCCTTCGGCTGGCATGGCATCTGCAAGAGAAGACCTTACAAACAAGAGAAACAGCCCCAGGTCAAAACATTGTTCAAATGCACCCGAAGCGCGGCATTGCGGCCACAGGCGTCGCGCACGGCAAATGCTGCCGTGCCCACCTCACCAGGTAGTGACACTCAATTCGCTTCAATACTACTATTATGAGTATGATTCTGATTATCTCATTATGACTAGTATTAGTATTATATGCTTACCTTCGAATGTTTAAGGAAACATGATACATGAGTAACTAGTTCTCTACATTGGGGCTTCTGTTTGGATCCTACTACATCTAGCACGGCACCCTTATAATAGGACCCCAACAGGGACCCGAGTTTAGAGAACGACCCAAAAGGAATGAACTGTGCATCTTGCAATAGTGGGCCGTCAACGGACCCCCTAAACCCTAAACCCTAATCCCTAAACCCACTGCGCGCACCTCGACCGCCCCGGGCAGAAGCTCCGCAGCCGCCATTCCTCGTAGAAGAGACACGGCTGGGGCCTGGCAAACACTGAGATGAGGATATGATAAATATAGCAATCGGATTTACGACATAGTAAAAAAAGTAATATTAGTATATATATATATATATATGCATGCATATGTATTTATATATATATAACCATGGGACCATGTAGTAAGAATATAAGATATTGAATAATAACTTTCTAATAATATAACAATTAGAGAAATATAGCCTTGTAGGTTTCTGCATCAGTGGTGCTGGATAGAGGTACTAGAGTATGCGGCCTCCGCCAATGCTATTAGTTGGTGTTTCCAAGCGCTTGGAGTTTGAGCCTACTGTGCATCCTGCGGGCTAGGCGATCTGCCAGAAGTGGGGCGTCATGAGCCATGAGCTTCCTGAGAACACTAAACTTGACCCGGAACCCCGAAACTGAATACACAGAATCAACAACACCGATCATGATCATAATGGTAGTGACAAGGATGGCGATGATGCTGCTGATGCTGAGAATACAGATCCAAAACCGGGCCAGGCCTAAGCTTCTTTCAGGGTGTGTGCCAGGACTGCACAGGCTGAACGCCGAACCCCCTTTGTTGCGATGAGGCGAAGGGGTCCATCGCTTCTGCAGCAAAAAAAGATTTACAAAGTCTCCGTTCGACGTAACGCAGCAACCAGGCTGCCCATGCAGTCGCCCCAGCGCAGGCAGCCACGGCCGCGCCGAAGGAAACGCGGCCAGGTGGGGAGGACTCCATCTGAGGGGCCGCTCTCTGTTTGGAGGGGTTTATGGGATCCTGCGTAGAACAGACCCACTCCATCTGGGGGGTTGTTCTCTGTTTTGAAAGGTCGTTATGGGGATCCTGTTTAGACAGCAGCTTGGGGGTTAGAGGATCGCTCAGGGTATCAAGTTGAAGGTACAGCTTGCAGGTTGAAGGGCGCTTGAGTGCACAAACGGGAGTCGTGGCTTGCGTCTTTGACTCGTCGTCCCCCGCCCCCCAACAATGTAAAATCATCGAGCTCAGTTCAACTCGGGCGCAACTACACGTCTGCTCTCCCTACAGGGTTTCTGCAGGGTCCTCCACCCATAGAGGGTTAAGGGTTTTCTTGCCACCCGCCTAGCTGACCTTACGGCCACTCTGCACGGAACAGGGTTTAGGGTTTAGGGCTTACAGGGCTCCCTTACCGGAACATACCAGAACCTTTAAACCCTAAAGCCCTAAAACCCTAAACCCCAAACTCTAAACCCCTAAGCCCTAAACCCTAAACCTCTGAATGCCGCCATGGCACAACACAAAGGGCCATCTGCCAGGCCAGGCACGTCCCACAAGCGTTGACGGCAGAGCTGTAGCTGAAGGGATTGGGCAGGACCTGTGTAGGGTTTAGGGTTTAGGGTTTAGGGTGTAGGGTTTAGGGTAACCTAGGGTGCGCTGTGGGACACTTGTCTGCTTGACAGCATTCGACAGGCTGGGGCAGGCAGGATGACATCCCTGTAGATGCACTCCAAATACTACTAAACTACTACTAGCAATTTGGAAAACATTTTCCTTTCTTGACAGCGTATGCCGCATGCCTGGACTTCCCCAAAGCGCCCACAAGAGTGTCCTGTAGCCCCACAACGCAGGGTATATAGGATGCATATAGGCCACAGTCCCATTTCGTGGCTCTCTCTTGCCCTGACCCTTGCCCCTGCCAATGCAGCCTTCCGCATCGGCATCGACCAGAAGAGTTCGAGTGCCTGGGAAGAGCCCCCAAGTGGCACGGAAACCTGCAAACTCTTCAGAACCTTCTTCGGTTTCAGCTAACCGCTTCCCCGTTGTACTACACGTACCCCGAATTATAAACACACTTTCCGGAAAATCCTGCCGAAACCGACCCCGCCTTTTAAACCCAACCAACATCCTGAAGCTCCCTTCCCTCCCAGCCCTCCCTTCCCTCCCAGTCATTTCGCAGCACTTAGCTGTCTGTGAGCCTGGCTCTCCACAGCCTACCTCACTACTCATACGATCTAATGATCGATCTTGTGTCTTGCTTTATGGGTTTAGGGTTTAGGGCTTAAACCCTCCAAACCCTGAAGCCTAGACCCTAAACCCTTTGGACCCAAAATATGACATATGGATAACAAACATTCCCGTAATATTAAAAATACATTTCGAGTTTCCATAAAAGGGGCGGGGGGGGGGGGGCGTTTAAATAATAGGGGGAAGGGATTCAGCTCCCGCCCCCAGATACTTTAAACCTCAAGCCTCCTTCGAGCCTCGTTCTACCTGCGGTCACAGATACAACATCTTTGAAAGACTGAACCATGAAAGGGTACCCCTGGGCTACCGAGAGGAGAAGAAGAAGGAGACGAAGAAGAAGAAGAAGAAGAAGAAGAAGAAGAAGAAGAAGAAGTGACCCAACTTGTCGGCGCCTCTCTCCACGCATTTCCCCGGTCGAAGGCACGGATGCCGGCGCTGAGACCTCATGCGGACTGTTGGTAGAGGGTGTAAGAATTGAGGAGTGGCGACTTTGAAGTGGGGGACTGCAGCTGCAGCTATACTTGTAAAGATACTTTTTGAAGCCAAGAATGGCTTTCAGGGTTGAGGGTGATCCAAATGTGTGGAGTCCCCACAGCCTACAGAGTACTCATGTAGTACCTGCATATGGCCAGCATTAGATGTCAAGACAATGCTCGCTTTTTTGACGTGAGGGGCATTGCAACAGGGGCCGAAAGACAATCATGGACAGGACAGACTAAGTGACTATACAACGTTTGCAGTACCGCTGTTTGGGGAATGAATTAGGGGGACCCTTGGGGATATAGACCCTCTGAATAAGGTCGCTGTTTAAGAGATCCAGAAGAGGGTTAGGAAGGGTTCCCCTTAAAGAGTCCCCTTCATCCTACCTAGGATCTGTGATCCCATGCTGTAGGCTGGGCTCAGGCTACAGTACTTTCAACTCTCGATGGCTTAGGTTCACAGACCGAAGCTCTGGAGCCGAATCCTTTGGATCTTCAGTTTAGGGCTTAGGGCTTAGGGCTTAGGGCTTAGGGCTTCGGGCTTAGGGTTTAGGGTTTAGGGTTTAGGGAGGTTCGGGGGGGTGAAGCTTGGCACAGGATACATCGCGACATGGACAGCACAAGGCTGAGGCACCGGCTGATTACGTTGGATGCAACGCTGCCTGTGGTGGGCAGGAACCATAAGGCTGCTATGCTCGCGGGCTGCCTACCAGGCCGAATTAGGTTGCTTGGGGGGCTGCTGCGTCTGAAGACAAAAGAAGGCATTTCAGAGATCCCGAGATGGACATACGCGCGCCTACAATAGCTTCTGCGTCAATCAGCATCCCAAGGTGCCTCGCGCCATGTGCAGCAGCAGCTGCGGTGCCAGCTCCCAGCAGCCGGCATCGCCCTTGATCCGGGAGCCAGAAAGATTCTTCGGGAATTCGAATATCTATGACATCTAGGCTCTTGTGTTCTTTTGCTGTCCTCCTTTGAGCTGCGACATGCCACTTTATGCAGATAAGCCTCGCTGACGCTGGCGACCTCCGCAAAAAAGCAACGATAAAACAGAGTCGCACCTATCTCAAGCCAATGCTTTTGACGAAGGTTTTCCTGTACATGTCTTGTGCTGCCGTCATGCAATCATTCCAAAAACTCCCCAAATTTCTGCGAGGGGCGGAGCTGTAGCTGATCACATCAGGCGCTAGGGCAGCTGGAGGCATGGCATCGAGAAGGCCTTGAGTGAACTTAAAGTGCCTTTGCCTGGTTCGCACACAACTTAGTGATTAGAGCGTACAGAGTGCTCACAACTCGGAAGAACCTGAGCATTCATAGTGCCTTGCGGTTTCTTTTTCAGAATAGTGGTGGTCGGCTTCGAGATTGATTAGGACTTGTCGCTTTTGGCTTTATGGTACCTGACCTCCCATGCTTACCGTTCTCTCCTGCCCAGCGGAGATCATGAACCAGCCTTCAACTGGACCCAGAGTCGGTCCTACATCGCCCAGTTTCCAAATAAACCCTAAACCCTAAACCCAAAACCCAAACCCACTCTCGACTCTGCTTGGAGCAGGAAATCGAGCAGCCCAGGGCCAGGGGCCAATGTCCAGCAGCCTCGTTGAAGCGTTGGAGTTCACATGGGGGTTTCGGGCCGGGGATTTGGATTGAACACGTCGGAGATCTGAAGCGAGTTCGCGAGGCTTGGGGCGATGTGTCATGAGTGGGATGGGATCTCTTGCGATTGAACAGGGGAGGGAGACGTGCTGCAGACCTCCGGTTCCGAAGCTGCAAATGGGGCGCCGTACTGGAAGTTCCTTTGGCCTAGCTACCTTTATGCCAACAGACACAAAGAAAGCAGTGCACCACGCAGAAATGGCTGAGACATCTTCCCGGGCAGACAAGAAGCCTTGCAAGCTCGTATCGCGGCGTTGTATGCGAACAAATCGCCGTTGAAGCGAGCTGCGCTCATCTCTTTCCTGACTGTGAACATGTGTGAACCACCAGTTCGGCAGTGCTAGGAGGCGTTGAATGCGGTACCGGTTAGCGTTGTGATGGTGAGCGCTTAAATCCACTCCCGCCCCCTCCCCTCTTCTTCCCCCTCCCCCTCACCCCTCTCCTCTCCCCCCGCTGTCTCTTCCCCTCGTTTTCTCTGCCACTCCTTCCTCTCTCTCTCTCTCACTCGTGTTGTCTTCCAGCCCTTTGTCGGCACGAAGTGACCAGGCCCAGCAGCGGCTCCGCGCACACGTTGTCGCACGTTGTCAGAGATGGCATGGGATCACCAGCAGTCGGAGATGGTATGACAATTCACTGAGCCGAGATGTACATCTCAAGAGAAGCCTTCCACTGCCACGTACTTGCAGGAAGCAGAAGATCACAGGCCACCCTATAAAACCCTAAACCCTGAACCCTGAACCCTAAACCCCACAAACCCTATACCCTATACTTCCTAATTTCGGTCCAGGCTCAGCAACTGCATCGCGACGTGCCAGCAGCCTGCCCGCGCTCGTGCGCGACGACGAGCTACGAACCCCAACTTCTCACTTTGATCCTCCTCAACCCCTTCTGAAAACTGAACTATCTACACGGCAGCATTTGATCTGATCGGAGCTATACTGCTAGTGCTTGCCGGTTCCGGCCTCCTTTCGCACACGCAGTGATGGCGCTCGTGTAGCTCACGTTGTCCGGCAGCATCTTGACATCAAAGATCTCCTTTCATCCGCAAGAAGCAAATCTGATCCCCGAGACTCTTCATCCCATGGTTTCTCTGCTTTCGCTATGGAACTGCAGGCTGTAACCTCCTTGCGCAGCCCACTCCAACGTCCATGAATCAGTCACCGTCCTTACCCCTAACCCTGCCCTGCAGGTGTCCATCTTTATTAAGGTAGTTTAGGGTTCGCATCGGAAGGCTTTCGTAGGAAGCCTGAATCTTCATCCCTAAACCCTAAACTCGTGTTGCCCTGTTGCACCCCAAGCCTCCTGGCTCTCTACGCCATGAAGATCTGTTGACGGTTTCGGTGTGAGTAGCTTCCTAGGTACAGGCTAGGGTACTATACAATAGTTAGTAGGTTGCCCGGTAACCTGGGATTAAAAAAGTGCGCCTGTTTTTGCTGCAAGGGGTTTTAATTACAAAGCAACCTTAACTCCCAAAACAGGGGGAGTAAGGGCACTACTGGGCATCCCAGGTAGTAGGCTTCCCTTATCCACTAAGGTGCCCCAAACTTAAGAAACCCCCATGTCGTTGGGGGCTTGGTGTGGGTCGCGCCAGCGCGATTCCTGGAGGAGAGCAATCGCAACGAGCCAGGCGGAGCCCACAGTGCTGATGGTCGAAGCCTGGGTCGATAAAGCACTGAAACCTATTATAACCCTTTTTTAAGCACGGACCTATTAAACCCTAAACCCTACACTCTAAACCCTAAACCCTAGAGCCTAAAGGTTTAGGTACTGCAGAAAGGTACCCACACACCCAGAGCAGCGTTGAGTTGAGTTTGGCATGTTTGTAGCCCTGAAGTCTAGGTCTAGACAGACTTATATACATTTGCCTGAACACAGAGTCCGTCTGGGGTCTTCGGGGCCGGGGCTGGGAAGGGTTTGGAACCCGCATCAATGATTGTCCGGCCATTACGCCCACATTTCTGAAATCTGAATAATGTTATGCTCGGTGAGATTTTTCCATCTTGCTGTGGGGGCTACCCCACACGCTAGCTTTCATGCTTTCACGCGGGCGGCCCCCAAAGTTCTAGGCAGAGCTGAGATATCGGAAGACTTTCTGCACTTAGACTAATGATCGGGCTGTAGGGCTGGGAGGGGGCCATGGGGAGGAGGTAACTAGAAGCTTGGGAGCTTGCGGGAGCATCAGGGGGAGGGGATCACTGGGCTTCCTTCACCCCTTTGAATTCCTTCCAGGACCAATCTAAACCGAGCACAAAAACTAAACACGAGCCCGGCGGCATAGCTGAACTTGTCCGGGATCACCTGCACCATGTTTTCAGCTGACATCTTGTGCTGTGGGCAGCCAGAACTTCGAGAACTCAGGCCTACACACAAACGCGACAGAGCGCTGTCTTTGCTGAATGCGCGCGGCCGCATGACCGCTCTTTCCACACCCCTGCTCCTGCAGCACTAGGAAGGTACTGGTGCCTTGGCAACATCCACCTATCATAAAGCCACCGTCAACCCCACACAAGCCCACCAAACAAAAGGGAGCATGCGAAACGTACCACATGTCTCCCAAGGCAAAAGCTTGAGCCAGCCTGCAACTCAGGCATCCCGCTGAGTAGCGCCAGAGCATGCTGCCAGCGCTCCTCCTTGGCGCAAACGTTGATGACCTGAGGCGGTTTAGGGGACTTATAGGGTTCTGGCGAGGGCTCCATGAGGTTTAGGGTTTAGGGCCTAGGGTGGACTGCACAGCCAATGTTCTAATATCATAGCATCCATAGTATCAAATTATCTGTATGGTGATATCTTTTCTGTTGTTATTTTAAGGATGAGCCTAGACACTGTCCAAAAACGCAGCTCACGTCGCCGCTCGTGCTGATTGCTTGCATACAGAATCGAGGCTAACCACGAGTGCAAACGAACCACATCTCTGAAGCCTTGTCCAACTATTGGTTAGGGTTTCGGGTTTAAGGGTTAAGGGCAGTACCATGAATGCCTCAAAGCTATCTCCAATGATGCCGGCGGGCGGTACTGAAAGTGATCCTTAGCTGTACAAGGGAATCATTGCAAAGTCGCCGCTGCAGCGTCTTCCGTAAGCGCGCTCCTAAAGGTGTAGGAATCCTCGGCCAGCTACAGCCCCTGTTCAGCCCAAGCTGGAAAAGGTGATGTGTGCATCTTCAGTAGGCTTCCAACATGTCTTTGCCGAAGGGATGGGATGGCAAGCCTTACACCCAAAAACATCCCGGAGCACAGTGCTCTGGCGAAAGCCGGCAAGCATTTTTCCTGGTAAGGACGATCATGCCCGCCCTGCCATTCAATTGCGACCTGCAGGCGCCTGCTGCTTTCCAGACGAAAGAATCCACACCCCGAAGGTTTTGCAGCTGCTCGCCGGCACCAAACCCCCCCTCCTACACCTACACCTACTTCTACAAGCTGATAACTTCTTGTTTTGTTGACATGAACATACATGAACTTCTCCCTCATGCCCAGCAGAAATGAACTCTCTCTCTCTCTCTGGTACTCGCGGCCTTGAACATGAACCCTAAACCCGAAATCCAGTTGAACCCAGGCTCACATTTGGCGTCATCTTGGCTCGCAGCATCTGCGACAGCAGCTCCCAGGATTCGAGCCACAGAGCGGCCTCGGGAGCTGTCATGCTCGTATACGGATTATATATCTCTCTATAAACATAACAAAAAACAAATTTCAATCAATTAACAAATAAGTAAATAAACCAAATATAAATGTGTATATATATATATATATGTGTGTGTATACATAAATAAGAAATGCATGTGTATATATATATATATATTCTACTGTATTTGCACAATATGATATTCTTATTGTTGGAGTTATTATATTAATCATGCTTCCCGATTTGATCATTTGGATAAGGTTATTGACTGATTGAATTTATTACGATGTTTCAGGTTAATATGTTCTTGGAAGATGTGTGAATGGTACAATAGTAAAATTAAAAGAATACGTGGCAGAAGTTTGTGCATGTCTGAATGTCGCGGTCTCCATTAATTCTGGCCCCAACTCAGACTCGAGCTGCAGTCGGAGTATACAGTATAGCATAGGGTTTTGACCGCGCAGCATATCTGCCTGCTAATTTGCCCGCCTTCTGGCACGCACTGATCGCCACACCGAAGCTCACCGAATTTGGCACGCAGTGGTGCCGCTTGATCGACTCAGTAGCGTTTGGGGGCCGTTCATGGCTTACGCCTTTATGAGGGGGCTAAGAGGTGTTTACTGCAGTATAACCTAAAGCTGAAGACCCTGAAGCACTCAAGTGTAAAGCACTGGCGATGCGTTCCGGGATTTCCGGGTCAGCACAACAAATTCTTGGATATTCTAGGTCTTCTTAGGTGGAGTTCTTTCACTCTACACCCTGACCCAAAACCCAAAACCCAAAACCCAAAACCCAAAACCCAAAACCCAAAACCCTAAACCCTAAACCCTGCACTTTATGCCCTAAAGAACTCAAACTCTGAGAAAGTAGGGGCGGGTGCCGAGCTCGGCCTTCCTGAACACAAGGGGCACTTGCCCTAGGGTTTAGGGTTTAGGGTTTATTGTCCAAGGGTTTACGATATTAGGGGTACCTTCTTGGGGTCCTGATAAGGTGATCCGGGGCGACATTGGGGGTCAGAACTTATAGTAACACCTCAACCCCTTTGGAACTCTGCATGAGCCTTCCCAAATTATTGGCCCGAGAATCGATGAGCGCATGGACCGTACTTTACATGTGTCCAAATGGGAACAATGTAGAAAACAAGCCCATTGAGATGCCTGCGCATATGGCAGTGATGAAAGTGAGTAAACCGGAGCTGCCACTGAGCCACGGAGAAGATCTCCAGCGCTTGCTGCCATTGAGAACCTTCACTGCACTAGGTAACGCCAGGCGTACGGGAGTCTGCAAGAGAGGGACCTACACACCCCATGTCGAGCAAGTAATCGTCAGGGCTGATGCTGCAAGGCCAAACCAGCGAATACATGCTGTCAGGGCATGAGCAAACGCTGTCAAGGCTTCACCCTTTTCATAAGAAGGGCATGAATAAATCTATATACACAATATATATATATATAACATATATAAGAAAAACACATCATGTTGGATGTAAAACATTAAAGGTGTTATACTGTTTTTGTTGTGAGTACTTGTCTTTAACCTGGCCCTGGCGCCTTGAGTGTGCTGTTAAAGGTGACCCAAAGCCCTGCAGTTCGCAGATTTGCCCCTTATGGGCGATGGTGGTCATCATGTCATGTTATAGGGTTTAGGGCTTAGGGTTTGGGGTTTAGGGTTTCTGCTGCATCATCTGAAGAATTAGGGTTTTGGGTTGACCCTTACAGCACCGTCTGCCGCTTAGGCTTTTGGATGTGGGGGAAGCTAGCTGCCACATCCGAAATCTTCACTCCCGGCCGGCAAGCAGAAGCCAGCGTGCCACTAGGGCTTCTGGGGTTTGGACCCTAAACCCTAAACCCTAAACCCTAAGCCTCATTGCCCTCTGATCCCTCATCCCTGCCTTTGCCGCAAGCATTGATGGCATCGTTGAAATGGTAGATGTTGGAGCCTCGAGGGTTCCTACCAACCCTGAACAACCTGAAACCTCATGACCCCTTGCAGCATAGTCTGTGGCCCGTTGAAGGATGGCACCCTAGATCTTCAACCCTGAACCCTAAACCCTATGACAGGGACCCCCAGACTAAGAGGACCATCTTCCGGAGGAATGAAGCAAGCAATGACACCTCTCACCCGTGCGCCGATATCAAGTAAGCCGGGGGGGCGTATGCCGCCTTCTCGGAGGGCCTTCCTTAGACTTGGGATTATAGGGTTTAGGGTTCTGGGTTTTGGGTTCCGTAATCTCCTAACAACGCCTCTTTTAGCACCCGCACAGCTGGACAAACCGCTCAGCAGGTCCCGAAAAAGGGGGTTAGGGCGGAGGGTTTTAGGGCTTCATCCTTGCCAGAGCAAGTCGTGGAGCCAGGCATCAGCAGGTGGATGGCAGTGCACGCACGCCTGGCCTCTGCTAGCTTGTTGAACGTCCGCGTGGCCGCCTACAGCGAGTAGGGTTTTAGGGGCGCTTGGGAGGTTCGATTTCGCCCGAAGCCCTCAACCCTAAACCCAAAAGCCTAAACCCTTGTTGTACATTGTATATATTCTTTCTGGCTACGACGAGTACATAAGACGGAAGAAGTACCTGGCAGCAGGCTCCCTGAACACAGAAAACGCGACCTGCTGAACCAGGGACTGTGAGGGATGAGGAGTTTTGACTCAGTCGTGCTACCCTTTGGAACCACGAGGCTCCTCGGCCCAACTATCTGACAGGCCTTCGGTGACTTCTTCCATTCCTTGAAGAAAGGCTGCGCCACGCGTTTGACCTGTCAACAGCATTCATGGAATGCGAATGTGAAGTTCGGCGTGAAGGACGTTCTAGCAAAAGCACCGTGTCGCTCTTTGCATGAACACGCCTTCATAGATTAACGGGTTCGACTGAGCCTAGTTAGGAGATGTTCTCAAAGCTCCGAGCCTACGTTGCAACTTCTCCTGCTCGCGAACACCCTGAACCCTAAACCCTAAACCCGAAACCCTAAACCCTAAACCGCCTAAACCCTAAGCCCTAAACCCTCATGCAAGCCAGAAAGCCCCAGCCTCATCATAGGATGCAGCAGGGCCCAGGTGGAGCAACTGATCTTCCTAAAGAAAATCAAGTAAGGTTAGGGTTTAGGGTTTGTAGGGTTTAGGGTTTAGAGTTTATATAGGGTTACTAGGGTTTAGGATGTAGGGTTGACGGTTATGAGGGCGCCTCGTGGTGACCATGCTCTGGTGTTCCCAAAACCGACATACTCAAGGCAGCCTGGACCGCGTCACATCCTGTAAGCCTGAAAAGTAGACCCTCAAACCTACACGTCTTCGCAGAACTTTCTTTCATCCGGCCTTCTTTTCGCACGTCCACGTGGGGTTTAGGGTAGATTGCTTTTTAATAAACCACGGGCCCGCGGCCCCCACACAGAACTGAAATTTCTGAAACAACCTTGGCCTCAAGCCTCCTCTCATCCCACGTTCGACCCTACCCGAAAGCCTCTCTCCAGCCAGATCTCAAGCCATGAGCCCAACCTTAAACTTCCTATAAACTTTGACCCTAAAGCGTCTAAAGCCTGGACGCACTATTTTCATCTATTTTCCTGCAGTTTCCCTAGAGCTTAACCCCAAACCCTAAACCCCAAAAATCATGAGCCTGACTTATCCTAACTTAGGCTACCTCCTGAACTCTCAGCAGATGGCGGCTGCTTCCTCCGAAAAGCGCCGCATCCGAGTCCTCGCGGGAACTGGGTTTGGGGTGAACTTGTCGGGATTTTGGGAAACTTACCGTCTCTGAAGCCGTTGATGGCTTAGGCCCATGCAAGCGCAACAATGTAGCTCAGGACTCCCTATAGCGATCGCTCTCTGGGAAGTAATATACCTATTCAAATCAACGCGATGCAAAGCTGAGCACTGTTCAGAGGCAGGCCCCTCTTGGACTGGGCATTTTCTGCATGTCGGACTTACCTGATTCCGACACGGTGGTCTGTGGTGAGACCGTCCATGCCTGTCAGCGATCGCTCCGTGTCACCGTGCTGTAGGGTCTGCAGGTGACTAGGACCATGGTGGTCTACTCGAAAGGCTCGAGGGTGGTCTGCGTTGTGTGCCACTCATGCACATAGCCGCTCGTGGTCTCATAAGGCTCGTATGCGGTCGTGCCAGGAGAAGCAGGTGGCGCTGCGAGCATGCCCAAGATGCCGCTTCCCTCGAGCAGGCTGAAGATGAACCTATACTCCCCTTGGAACCTTCATAAAGATCATGTTTTCTAACATCCTCTTGGGTTTTATGTAAAAAAATAAGAAATAATTCCCAAGGGGGGGGTATAGGAACTGGAAAGGCTTCATGTTGTCGAACTTCAGCATGGCCTTGATTCCATCTGGCAGGTTCGTCACCTCCACAGTCTCCACATACTCCAGGGATTGGTTCGCTGCTGTCAGGAGCTCAACGCCTGCAGTAGCCAAAGGATTCCCGGCCGCCTGCTCGAAATGACCTTGGCTGGCCCTTAAATCCCTCTGAAAAAATTCCCCCCAAAAAAGGATCCTCTTATACCCAGTATAAGGGAAAATTGACAAAATGTCCCCAGGGCCTACCTAGTCACCCAGCTCTGCGAGGGTCCGGTACTTCTCCTGAAGCTCGTGAAAGCTGAAGTTCAGCTGGGGGATCGACTTGAACACCTCCTGCGCCATGTCCGAGTCGTAGGCCACGCGGACATCCAGCGCTCCCCCGGTAAAGAGCCCAAGGATCTTCTCAGTCACCGCCAAGGCGTTCTCATGCGGGGTGTACTGAGGGCTTTCGGGGCTGGGGCATGCGAAGGCACATGTCTCATTCCAACGGCACTGCTCCTCCTTCCAGACGGCCAGGTCATACTCCAGGCCATCCTCCGGTGCGAGGCAAGAGGCGACAGAGCAGCAAGGTCCACAAAAAGAGCATTCCTGGCAAGGCACCTCGAATGTACCGCACTGCGGGGCACTGGGCGGACTGGGGCTCTTCTCGATCTGGTCACTTTCCACAGATTCTGCGGGGGCACTGGGCGAACTGGGGCTCTTCTCGATCTGGTCACTCTCCACAGATTCTGCGGACTCTACGGACTCTACGGACTCGGGGCATGCAAACGAGCAGGATGTATTGTAGCGGCACTGCGTCTCCTTCCAGCGAGGGTCCTCCACACCAGGTTCCGGTGAGAGACATGTGGCCAGAGTACAGCAAGGGCCGCACCAAGAGCATGACTCGCAAGCCGCCTCAAGTTCACCGCACTGCGGGCCACTGGAGCTCTTCTCGACCTTCGTATCAGCCACTGTTGTATCCAAGAGGGCGCTCTCAATCCGTGACGGGGTGTGGGGTCGACGGCTTTTGGCCTGGTGGAGAAGGGCCTTCTCTACGGCATCCGTCATCGTGGCGTCCAAGAGCCATCGAATACCAGTTTTGGCTTGGTCCCAGATGGACTCGTTCGGGTTGGCCATGAAGTGCTCGATGCTGTTGCTCGCCGAGACCGTGAAAGTCACGTGGCCGACGTGATCCATCATCCGTTTTAGTGATGCGTCTTCCTGAGTCCGATTGGGCACGATGGGGCCCTCCATCACGATGGTGACATGCGTGCCCCAGCTATATGCCTTCACCGAGAAACCGCCTGCTTCAAGATAATGTGCCAAGCTTGCTGAGAGGTTGTTGCATAGATCGGTGAAATTGGTCGCAGCCTCCTCGCTGGTCGCTGTGACATTCACTTGCAATCCATAGCCTGCTGAGGCATTGTAGCTTGTATCCTCGCCGTGGAAGAGCATGTAGGAGGAATTTTGCTCGGTGTCGAAATGGCCCAAGCTAGGCCCCAACGAAAAGGTAGCCTTGAGCGGAGTAAGTTCCTTGCTCGGCTTCGAAGGGAGCTCACTGTCGATCGACTCCATGACCACCTGGCAGTGAGCCCACTATAGGGGCCTTGGGAGTCATTATTGTCTCTGTATAAAGGAACCATAAAGGAATACTATTAGTAACTGTTCCGACCCTATTTTACAGTGGGAGCGCCCTAAGGCACCTACCCCTGCAAGAGGCACAAGTAAACGCGTCTGTGACGTCACAGCTTGAAACATGTGTCAGAATGTGGGCGTCACGCAGGGCACAGCAAAACGTGTCCTGTCATATGATGCATCTCACACACTCAGCGCTTAAATCCCTTCCATGGTTGCGTGATTTTGTTGCTAAGGTGATTCGAGTTCGGTTTCCCCTCCACCACCCAAAAGATTGTGCTGCCTCTCCGGCCTCCTCCCTGTTCCCCCATCTTCCCCCCTCACCTGGGTCTTGGGTCTTGGAAGCCTTTGGTGGGGCCTGCAAGTCTGTGGTCGTAGGAACTTCTTCCGAAGCGCGGAGGGTGGCGACCTCAGCCTCTCACGGGTGCGGGATTCTCAGCAGTGTTGTTTGCTTAAATCCGGACACTTGCTCAGAATCCCCCAAAACCCTGTTCTAATTATTGAGCCCCCCTTTAGTATATTTTTCGCCTGGTGTGCAAGTCTATACTGACGAATATGAACTCTCCATCACGCCCGGTCCAGGCCTCCGCTTTTTCTTCCGCGTCGAGAAAAAGGCTCTCCCCCTTCTGCACCTCCCTCTCCAGGTCAAGTTCTGGCACAAGTGGCACTTCTTCCTCTTCCGGCACGGCCGCGGCCTTCGCGCGGGGGGTGCTGGCGGTGCCGGGAGGCATGAACTCCACGAAGTCCTCCCAGTTCTTGAAGGATTCGGCCGGGCTCGCCGTGGTAACCGCGGTATTCGCCGTAGTGGCCAGGATCCCTGTAGTGGTCCCAGCTTCGATCATGCCCGGGGTGGTTGGAGTAGGCCGCAGGAGCTCGAGCAGGCCGAGGTCCTGCACGAGGCTGCCCAGCACCTTGAAGGGGCGCACGTTCGTGAAAGTCCATGTAACCTTCATGCCCGGGAGGTTCTTGACCGCAACGGACTCCAGCTTGTCCAAGTCATAGGCAGCGGCCTCCAGCGCATCTGCGAGCGGCTCCGACCACGGCTTCCCTGACATATTGTAAAGCAGCGGGTGGCCCGCGGCAAGACTCTTGATCTGTGCCAAAAGGTCGTTATAGCTCATGTTGAGCATGGGCACAAGTCCGATGAGCTCACGGCGCTTCGTGTCGTTGTACGACAGGCGCAAGTCGGCCGACGCACCCTTGAACATCTCCACCAGCTTCTCCACGAAGCCGTTGACCATTTCTTGATTCTTTTCGTTGCGCTCCTTGCAGTAGTACCAGCACTTCGTGGTGTTGAAGCTGCATTGCCCGTCCGCATAGCCCGGGTAATCATACTCTGGATCCTCCGGCTTCAGGCAAGCACTCAAGCTGCAGCAAGGGCCCTCCCAGCTGTACTTGCAGGGGAGCTCATCCGCGCTGCAATTGCCGTGGTCCACTTCAGATTCATTCACTTCCGGAACAGGATTTTGAACTGAAGCCAAGTGCTGGAGGTGTAGGGCGACGACCTCCTCCAGGGCTTTTACGAATTTATGAAGCTCAGTAGGGTTGGGAATTTCGGAATTTCTAGGGGTTTGAGGTGGCTGTCGGCAGGTTACAGAATTCAGGTGCAGCACGTCAGGGTTTAGGGGTTGTCTGCATGCCCTAAACCCTAAACCCCTAAACCCTATACACCCTTCGTCTCCTCCAAAGCTTTTGTCAAGGTGACGTCCAGGTCCACCCGCAACCCCTGCAGGAGCTCCTCCAACATCGGTGCATCCTTGTTGGCCAGCCTTGGGGGCCAAATAGGGTTTAGGGTTTAGGGTTTAGGGTGAAAAAATGGGGTCATATAACCTATACTACTATAATTCCTAGTAAGGTATATGAAGCATAACATTGGGGACATATACCCTGTACTACTACAATTCCTACTAAGGTATATGAACCAAATGAACCCTAAAATTGGGGTCATATACCTACCCTATCCGACTATAGTTCCTATTAAGGTCGATGAAGCATAAACCCGTTTAGGGTTCCTTTCGTCCCCAAGGAGCAGCATGTCGGCATCCGCGAGGGTGGATTCCGTGTAGTTGACATGCTTGATGTGCGTTGCAAAGAGTCCCATGTGCGTTTCTGCACCTTGGCAGCAAAGTAACCATATGAAATCATACTAAGGGCAGCCTGTTTGGGGGTCGGGGTTGGGTATTTTAACAAGGGAACCCATAACCAAAAAAAAGGGTAAAGGGTACCACTGGGCTACCAAGGCACCCATGGGCCAAGGTCGCTGGGAACTCGTCACGGTCAACGTCTGGTCATCGCAGGAGAAGCGCAGCATGTGGGGGTCTAAGCCAAACATCGCCAGGGCATTCATCAGGGACTCGGCTTTCGATGCGAAGCGAGAGCAGCTGAAGGGATCGATAGTCGACAGGTTGACCTCGAGCCAGTACATGCCATGTGGATCAGAAGCTGTGGCGCCTTCCGTCGTGATCACGAGGTTCGATGCAGCCTTCGGCACGATGTCATCAAGAGTCGGGCCCACCTGCTCGACGGCGGAGACTGTGGCCCAGGACTCTGACACCGCCTTGGGAAGAGCCTTGACTTCGGAGTCAATCTTTTCAACCGCCCCTTCCACAGCAGCCTCGACTTTTTCGTAGTCCTGCTCTAGCACGGGGGAGAGATCTGCCTGGGAAACATCATGCCGGCGGCTGGCCGAAGTGGTCGCCAAACAAGCAATGAGCACCGCGAATGCGCGCATGACGGTCGCAGCGCAAAGGATTTTTGCAAAAACACGATGGGGTTTGAGAGGTTGGTTTAATGCTTTAGCTGCTTGAGCCGTTGAGCGTTGATCATCCCCAAGGCTCACGAAACATGCTTGCAAGCAGTACTGGTCCCGCCCACCCACATCGCAAACAACAGCATGTCCTGATGGTGGCACCATGCCATGGGTTTCCTCCATGACAGCGCTTCCCAGCCCCGGACAACCATGGACAGCTGCTCTGGAAGGCTTATGGATCGTTTTAAACAAGTGTAGCTTATTCAAAATATCCATCGACCCCTCCAATATGCTTCGGACGTAGATGCTTTACAGGGTGTAGTCGCTGTAGCCTCAGAATGTGGGGTGGTGCTCGGAGGTCTGTTCATTGGGATTTACACCTTTCGCCCCAAACCCCAACAACCCTGTCGAAAGTCTTGCTCTACACGGCTTTCAAGGCTCTGCATGAGCCACAAGTGCGACTCATCACTGCAGATTCGGCACTCGGCAACTGCTCACGTAGAGGAAGCAAAGCAAACGAGTCTTGTCGTGCAGATTTTTCTCTGCCATAGCGGCCTGCGATGCGAAGCATCTGCTTGCAGCCTCAGGAAAACTCTTGATAGCTTGGCCAGACAGCCAAAAAGCCCACACCGCCTCGACCTGTGCATCGTGCCAGGACAGCCAGGCCGCTTGAATCAACATCGGGGGATTGAGACTAGTGGCGGCTCGGTTAAACAAAACGTACCAACCTTCATTGGGATTTATCGGAAAGCCGGCCGTCAGATGCTGCAAGTCAAGCGTAAGGACATTGGGTCCTATGCAGTTATGGAGCTGGCGCTTCTGGCCCAAAGCTGGCTTTTTGCTGATCCGATCTGATCCGCGCACACTTACTGGGGCTCATAGTAAAGGTGGACCTCGTAGGTAAAGTCAACAAGGCCGTTGTCCTTCATCTTGCCCTTGAGTGGGCCCTTGTCCTCATTTTCGGAGTCGTAGATCTTGAAGTCAGAGTCTGGCATCCAAGCCTGGTCGAAGCCCAACCTCTTGCGGCCCTCTTTCAGCACGTCGTTGACGTCTGCATCAGCCTTGATCATGAAGCGGCAGCGGGCACCCTGCGCGGGGGCGGTGAACTCGATCTCCACCACGTCACGGCTCAGGACGGGTGTCCAGGGAGTGGCGGAGGCACCAGCCTGTCCGCGCATGGCAGTGCGGCCCTCCGTGCTCGGTGCCGCGCGGGGGCCCACGAAGGGCCAGGAGGCGCCCAAGAAGGCGAGCAGCAAGACTGCGGGCAGCAGGCTCGTCTTGGCCATGGCGACGGATCTCAAGAGCTGCGGGGGACACGTTTTTCTTGAACCTCGTAGCCAAGGTGTGCATGCGCCACTGAGTTGCTTGAGTCGACGAAAACCGAGTCAAAGCACGTGCGGCTGAGCGCGCGGACGTCCGCCAACACGCTACGCCGAAAACACTCAAACCCCAGAAAAAAGTTACCAAAAACGGAAACCTCCATGCTTTTTGAAGCTGTTAGGACCTCAGAAGGTCAAAACTGTTCCTAAATGCCTATGCTACGTCGGATGCTGCAAGTCAAGCATAAGAACGTTGGGTCCTATGCAGTTATGGAGCTGGCGCCTCTGGCCCAAAGCTGGCTTTTTGCTGATCCGATCTGATCCGCGCACACTTACTGGGGCTCATAGTAAAGGTGGACCTCGTAGGTAAAGTCAACAAGGCCGTTGTCCTTCATCTTGCCCTTGAGTGGGCCCTTGTCCTCATTTTCGGAGTCGTAGATCTTGAAGTCAGAGTCTGGCATCCAAGCCTGGTCGAAGCCCAACCTCTTGCGGCCCTCTTTCAGCACGTCGTTGACGTCTGCATCAGCCTTGATCATGAAGCGGCAGCGGGCACCCTGCGCGGGGGCGGTGAACTCGATCTCCACCACGTCACGGCTCAGGACGGGTGTCCAGGGAGTGGCGGAGGCACCAGCCTGTCCGCGCATGGCGGTGCGGCCCTCCGTGCTCGGTGCCGCGCGGGGGCCCACGAAGGGCCAGGAGGCGCCCAAGAAGGCGAGCAGCAAGACTGCGGGCAGCAGGCTCGTCTTGGCCATGGCGACGGATCTCAAGAGCTGCGGGGGACACGTTTTCCTGAGCCCAGATGAAAAACTGCAGCCGGTGGAGCTTGAAAGGCCATGCCCCATTATGGTGCAATACTATGCGGCAATACAATACAGTCAATACAGGGCATGTCCTGTCAGCCGTCCTGTATCTTGACTGTCACGAGGCCTCTGTACAGATGCACGTCAAGCCGTACATCCATAAAACCATGCATCCATGCTGCCCTCGTTCTCTCTCTTGCTCTCTCTCTCTCTCTCCCTCCCTCCCTCCATCCCTCTCTCTCTCTCTCCCTCTCCCTCTCCCTCTCCCTCTCCCTCCCTCCCTCTCTCTCCTTCTCTCTCTCTCTCTCTCTCTCTCTCTCTCTGTCTCTCTTTCTTTCTCTCTGCCGCTGCTTGCGCCACATTGTTGTCGCATCCATTGGGTTGCAGGACTCGGGCCGGCACTGTAGCTTCAGCTCAGGTGTATGCCTATGTAGCTCTCAGTTCTCACGGTCATCTTCAGCACTTGCTTAGCAACCCCTTCCCTTTGTGCAGTTTCACCTGTTCACTTCGTACTCAAGCCAGAGACGCAGTGAGGTGCATATAGGCATTGTACGATGTATAGCGCCATCACTGTGCATCTACACAAAATAAATAAATAAACATGTGCATAAATATAAACACAATAACATATACATACATACAGACATACATACATATGTATATATATATATATATGTACATATATGGTTGTGCAGATTTTGCGCGGTGGCGGCCTGCAATGCAAAGCCTTTTGCTTGCAGACATTGGAGAAAACTCTCACATCGTGAGCTGGCAGTTGATAGCTTGGCCAGACAGCCAAAAAGCCCACACCGCCTCGACCTGTGCATCGTGCCACGACAGCCGACTCAACATCGGGGGAATGAGACTAGGCGACTCTGTAAAACAAAACGTACCAACCTTGATTGGGAAAAATCGGAAAGCCGGCCGTCAGATGCTGCAAGTCAAGCATAGGGACGGGTCCTATACAGTTATGGAGCTGGCGCTTCTGGCACGAAGCTGGCTTCTTGTTTGTCCGCACAAACTTACTGGGGCTCATAGTAAAGGTGGACCTCGTAGGTAAAGTCAACAAGGCCGTTGTCCTTCATCTTGCCCTTGAGTGGGCCCTTGTCCTCATTTTCGGAGTCGTAGATCTTGAAGTCAGAGTCTGGCATCCAAGCCTGGTCGAAGCCCAACCTCTTGCGGCCCTCTTTCAGCACGTCGTTGACGTCTGCATCAGCCTTGATCATGAAGCGGCAGCGGGCACCCTGCGCGGGGGCGGTGAACTCGATCTCCACCACGTCACGGCTCAGGACGGGTGTCCAGGGAGTGGCGGAGGCACCAGCCTGTCCGCGCATGGCGGTGCGGCCCTCCGTGCTCGGTGCCGCGCGGGGGCCCACGAAGGGCCAGGAGGCGCCCAAGAAGGCGAGCAGCAAGACTGCGGGCAGCAGGCTCGTCTTGGCCATGGCGACAGATCTCAAGAGCTGCGGGGGACACGTTTTTCTTGAACCTCGTAGCCAAGGTGTGCATGCGCCACTGAGTTGCTTGAGTCGACGAAAACCGAGTCAAAGCACGTGCGGCTGAGCGCGCGGACCTCCGCCAACACGCTCCGCCGAAGACACTCAGACGAGGCCCGAGCAAATCTTATAAGCTCTGAGGGAGGCACCTAGGACTCGAAGTGCACAAGCTTCAAGAACAAGGTTCTTGGAGATTTAAATGAATTTGCTCCTTTTTTTTGCAGAATTGCGCTGATGACGCTGGGTTAGAGGTGCAGCTTCAAGCCCTTCTTGATGGACTGCAGCTTTCTCAGGGCGTAAACTTAGGCGAACTCAGCCTAGACCTGGACGAAGCAAAGCACTGGAACATGGCGCGCCTTTTTTCGCCTCGGTGCGACGTCCTCAGGCCTCACCGGCTCTGAATACGTATCTGGTAAAGCTCCTCCAGGTTGCGCATTTCCCTAGGGGTTTAGGGTTTAGGGTTCAGGGGTTTAGGGATAAACCCGGTAGCCCTGAATGTACACCAGGTTTGCGGTTTGCAAAGGTTTGCAAGTACACTCCCTGCCGAAACACCGATTGAGTGATGAGGGTATTGGATGCCTATCTCCTCCATTTTCTGCCTGCCTCCCTCCCTCAACCTCTTCGTCTTCTTCTACCTCAGTCAGGAGGGGCTCTGGGGATTCGTTGCAGACAGCCCCCTCCCCTCGGGTTAAAAATTCTATGCGACCTGCTTTCTGCTAATGGTATTGGCCTGGTGTAGCCCAATCTAGTAGTAGAAGTTCAAAACAGTTTTCCGACTCGTTTTGCTTCTTCTGCCTTTCGAAAGCTCGCCTGAAAAGTCTTCCCAGCCCTGTAAACACTCAACAAGCAAAAAAAACTTGCCACCTCGACTCGACTTTTTGGGTTTCGAAGATGGCGACCGCGCAAGGGTTGGCACTTCTGAGCTGCGAGGATCCCAGAAAAACGACAGCTTCAAGTTTCGAAGATGACGACGGGCAGCGAACAAAGCACGCTCCTGAACGAGGTCGTCCCGCTTTCCAAACCCAAAAAATGCTCATGTTGTAGCCGCACCCTTGAGGCAATCCGTAGAACAAGAACGCTTTCAAGAAACAGAGTATCCTAATTATCCTAAACTTTAAACCCTAAACCCTAAACCCTAAACCCTAAACCCTAAACCCTAAACCCTAAACCCTAAACCCTAGTTCTAGAAGGCTTCAAAAGAACTCATGGAAAAGACCCCTTCCAGCTCAGCAGCCTCCTCGCCGCAGCGTCTGCAGTGCTCTTGCTGGGAGGCTGCCAAGCAGCGGGAGCAGCTCGAAGACCTGGGCGCTTGCTGTCCGGGTTTAGGGTTTAGGGCTTTGGGTTTAGGGTTTAGGGTATAGGCGGTATAGGGTTCTTGCCACCCGTCCATGGGGCCAAGCAGACCAGGAAACCGGGGCTTCAGGAACACAAGCCTGGAGACTCTGCATGGTAGCTGCCTCAACATCCCCTTTTGCTGAGGCTTCTGGCGCGATGAGATCTTTCGCAGCAGCCAGTGGCAGCGTTGAATGTGGTCAGGTCCTCAGTGATCAGGATCCCGCCCCGATTGGGGGAACGCTGTTGGCTTAGCGTATGTGGCTTATGGAGACGAACAGGCCGCTACGATTGCCGTTTCGAGAACTGCCTAGCTGGGACTAACTGCCAAGTCCTGTGACCTCCGATTCTCAAGCAGGCTGTGTAAGAAAAGGCTTTATAGAGTACAGTAGGGAGGCCCAAGGCGAGATGTTGCTGGTGGGGAGAGTGGCTGCAGTAGCTGTCAGGCAAAGGGCTGGGTTCACAGCTGTTGCGCACATCTGGCCCAGAAGCGACCTCAGCTGCAGACTAAGAAAGCTGGAAACTCCGACTCTGCGCCCTCCAAAGAACAAGATGCAGGGTTTGGGTTTAGGGTTGTTTTGCTTAGGGTTTATAGGGTTGAAGATTTAGGGTTTAGGGTACGCCTACGTTCCCCTTGTGTATCCGCGGGACAGGGCGATATGCCAACAGCTCCCTCGCTCCAGAGCGGCGACGGCACTGTTGTAGCTAATGACATTCGGCACGCACCTGCCAGGCTCTGACTTTCTGCGCTACCATAGGGTTCTTAAGGGAAGGCGATTCAAGGGGGGTTCCCTAATACTCCCCACTACTCCCTCAGCTTCCCCAAGGTTCCCTAAGGTTCCCCAGGTACCCACCTTGAACCCCCTCCCTTAAGAACCCTACAAAACAGCCGGCTGCCAGATATTGCCTAACAGACAATCCTAGAGCCTGGTGCTGCCCTCGCACCATCGATGCAGCGAAAGGCACATGCAATGCCAAACACGCACACCAGCAGCAACGCGAAGACAGAACATTGGGATGCACGCCCATATACTAACAGTCCTTAAGAGGGATGAGAATAAGGGGCACTATAATCCCTAATAAGGACTGATAGTATAAGGGGGAACATCCCAAACAGAAAATAAAAAATGAGACAAGGAAGCAATCGAGCACACACGCCGATCAAAATCAGTTCAAAGAAGAACATCTGCATTTGGGGTATTGCCCTGTTTGCGGATTCATGGATAGTTGTAAGCATACATATGGCGCTACGAGTCTCAACAAAGATGCGCACTTAACGGAATAGAGCTGAAGTTCGCTACTTACAACCCCAGTGTACCAAGCCGTGAACCTCCAAATGGATGGGGTTTAGGGTTTAGGGTTTAGGGTTTAGGGTTTAGGGTTTAGGGTTTAGGGTTTAGGGTTTAGGGTTTAGGGTTTAGGGTTTAGGGTTTAGGGTTTAGGGTGAGGCAGCGCACGCCTCAAAGTCGGCATCGCGAGAAGCAGCAGGACGGCTGCTTCCCAGCAGCTTTTCTTTTCCTTGAATGCATTTGAATGCATGGGGCTACGGGGCATGGGGTGGTATGTTTGTTCCCCAAACTCTTGATCCATTAAAATGCGGTGGCGTGCCCACTTGTTCTCTCTCACTTTTTGGGGATCTGGAGTACTCTCCGGCATGGGCACCATGCTGAGCCGCGAGGTTGAAACGAACAGTCTCTAGTAGGGATGATAATAAGGGGTACTATAATCCCTATTAAGGACTGTTAGTGTAAGGGGGAACATCCCAAGGTTCATCTTGCAGGTCTAGCAGCACAAGCACTGACGGCGCTGCTCGCGCCGACAACATTCGGAGTGCACTGCTGAGTGGGCATCCTGGTAGGCTACACGCAAGACTTGCGAGAACACGTCTGGGGTGCAAGACAAAATCTTGCACCTACCTATACACAAGAATCCGCCGAGGCCTCGGGCCGAAGGTGTATAGGTTGTCAGAACAGGCACCCCCCTCCAAATCCTCTTCCCAGACCCAAAGCCACTTTTCGGCCCCCTTTTTTTGCTTCAAATGGGTACCCCCCCTAGGAGAGGAGGGTCCGCAAGCGGATGTCTCGCCAGGACCAGAGGCAGTTGCAGCCCATCCCAGCAGGGCGCCCTTTCGCTTCTCAGGCCCCAGCTAACCAACCCATCCTACCCCGCCCCCACCCCCCCCCCACCCCCCCCCCCACCCCCCCCCCCCCACCCCCCCCCCCCCCCCACCCCCCCCCCTACCCCCCACCCCCCCCCCCCCAAAACCACGTCCAAGCCACTGACACCCCTTTGGACGTTCCAGAGACAGCTCAAGCCCCTCCCAGCCGCTGCCCCCCCCCCCCCCTGCCCCGCCCCCCCCCTCCCCCCCCTCCAGAGCCACCACAGAATATTGGTGAGCGGGTTTTAGACTCACGGCCGGGGATGCATTACACGAGCAGAAGAATCTAAGCTTGAACCTAAACCTTAAACCTTATAAGCCCGAAGCACACCCAAAGCGTGAACCTTGAGCCCTAAGCCCTCAATCCTAAACTAACCCTCAACCCTAAACCCCAAACCATAAACCATAAACCATAAACCCGGAACCCTTTTTGCTTCAGGGCTCTTGTGGTAGCCCTGAACCCGGAACCCTAAACCCTAAACCCAACCCTTATTGCTTGGGGTCCAGCGCCTTGGGCGCTGCGGAATCACCATGCTCACGCGGATGCGCTGGGCCGGGCCGAGGCGGGTCGCGTAGCGTTAAAATTAAAACAAAAACTAAAGCAACTTTCCTGGGTCTGGGCCTGACGCCGACTGCGGTCCCACCCTATACGAGGCGAGGATCTTGAGACAAGTTTGGAAGGGCTTGAGACACATGTTGGCTGAACTAGTCTGACAAACGCCCGTGCGTCCGTGCATGCCTGCGGCAGTCAGAACCCCAAAATGTGCAGTCAAGCAAAGAACAGGGGCGTGCCCAGAATACTCTCGTGGGTGTGAGCCGTTTAACACTTTTGATATGGGGGTTTCCGAAAATAGGGGGCTCTTATTATCAGGGAATCCTATTATTTTGGGCTCCTAGATTCGAGGTCCCTAATTTTCGTTAACCCCCATATAAAGTAGGGTTTATACAACTTGTATCCCGAAAAGGACACCCAACATACACACTCAGCAATATTAAAACGGACCCTTATCTCTGCACTCACCAAGAACAGCAATGTAAGCCTTGCTTCACGTAGGGTTTACGCGGTGGCGCCCGGGCGGGCCGAAGCTTGAGCTGGGTGCAAGCCAAGCAGCCAGGAAAGCAGGTGCAGTGCAAACTCCCATTCGCCGGCCTCCTGCCAGATCCCGTTTTTAGGCTCCAGATTCCCCCCTAAAGAGGCCCTTTATAGGGTTGAGTATGGGGATGATAAGGCCTAATCGCCCATGCCAGACTTCAGACCGCGATGTAGGTACTATTTCTTGGAGCCTTGGAGCCCTGGGGGATGCCTTCCGCCAAACGAGATCGCAGCTCTTTGGGGGTTTAGGGTTTAGGGTTTAGGGTTTAGGGTTTAGGGTTGCACATCAGAACATATATTCATAGATTCATAGGTTCATCAGCGGCTTAGGTAGAACCCCTACTACACAAAGACCCAAGGCCACTAAACCCATTACACCCATTGACGCTCAAAAGCCGTAGACCCTAAACCCTAAGCCCTAAACCCTATACCCTACACCCTACACCCTAAACCCTAAACCCTAAAACCTAAACGCTTCGGCTTCCAGGATGTCGTTTATATGCGGGTTCCTCTTCTGGGGTTCCTATAAGAAGAACTCTCGCATTTTGGGGTGTATAGGGGGGTACCCTGTTAAGGGAAAGTCCTTTTTTTTTGAGTTAAAGGTTGGCTTTCGGGGGGATGCAGGGTTTGAGCCACCTGCGCTGCAAGTTGAGGGTTTAAGGCATACTCGGCTACCTGGCCGTTCGGATGACCCGTCAACACTGAACCCCACCCCGCCACTCTCACAGTGCTCGGAACTCTCCAGATCCCATAATGCGGAAGCCGAAAAACCTCCCTTAAAATTATCTCGATGTGAGTACACGACAGAGACACAAAATACACCTCCATCAACCCCAAGCCGAGCTTCACGGGGCTTTAGGGTTTACCTCGAGCAGCCTTGTACAAAGCATAGTTCAGGTACATCTTCCTTTCCTTTTTGAGGGTACGTAGGTTACTCTAAACCCTAAATTTAAACCCTAAACTACATTTAGATTACCCTAAACCGCCGAGCCCGAAACCCTGCAAGCCTCACAGGAGCTGATCAAGGACTGGAAGGTGATGGTATCGGGAACCTGGAGAGTTGGGGTGGGAGGGGGAGCAACTCTGGAGGGCTGAGGGTTTTGAATTTAGAGGTTGTTCTTGTTTTTCGCTCCCGCATCGCTGGCCGAACCGCAGGCAGGGTTCAGTCTGTTCTTGGAGGGAAAAGTTTGCGATGGTCCAGTTGATCTTTTTTGCTGAGGGTGTTTACGCGGGTGTACTTGGGAGGGTCAGGGTTAGTTGGGGTTCAAGGGCTCAAGGTCCTTCGGGCACCGACCCGAGAGCTCAAACTGCAACCTCTAAATACTACAAAGCCGAGGTGCCGTTTGGGGTTTAGGGTTTGCTGGGATGGAGGCACAAGCTACTCTAAGTTGAGCGATGGGACAATGGGGCACTGGCATGCAGGACTAGGGAAACTGGGCTCACTCAAAGCGAGCGGAAAAGGTTCAACAACACCACGAAGTAGTTCATTGAGGGAACCATGCAGCAAGTAATTACTCAAGAATCGATTGGAAGAACATGGCGCCAGCTTGAGGCTAGGCAACCGGGGTCTGCAGCCAAGTGACCACCCGTCTCGACTCCATTACCTGCCCAGCTTGCCCACAACGACGTCAAAGCACAAAGGCCTACAAGCCCCACAAATCCTATACACCCTACAAACCCTGGAACCACATTGCCCTCCAAAGGCCTGGAAGACGCACCCCAAGCCGGGACGATCATCTATAAGAAGATGATGATAGAATACTGGTAATATAGTCATACGGCAATATAGTAGTTCTATCACATTTGGGTAATAGACTAGCTGACCTCAAAACTCTAAACCCATTTTGCAACGGGCTTTCGGTCACCGCCCGGCTGCTGCAGAGCCAGAACCCCATTGGTCCCGCGCCAGTCTGTCGTGCACTCGTGTCAAATCAAGGAGCATGATTACAAGTTGCGCATTCCTCACTAACGACTAACCGCATAAGCAGGTACTGATACGCTCGATACAATTGTCGATGCAGGGACTGAAGACCCCCATGACTGGCCTGTTGAACCCAGTCTTGCATGCAGTTCAACCAACGGACCAGCGAACTCAAGTGGGTATGTCCTAAATAGGGTTACCCAAAACCCAAAACCCTAAACCCTCCCCTTTTGCACCCCAAATAGAGTAGAATCCCCTCCCCCAAAAAGGGTACCCTACTTTCGGTCCTTGCCAAGCAAGCCACAGACTGAGGGCCTCATGTAAAGCACAACAAACAGCTTCCACCCACCCTCCTGACCCTCAACCCTGAACCCTGAACACTGAACCCTAAACCCTAAACCCTAGACCCTAAACCCTAAACCCCTTCAAGAGACAGCTCTGGGCCTCCAGGAGTCGCAGCGCCGTCGGCCAGGCAACGCCCGCTGCGCACGCGTCGATCGTCGCGTTGAAGGCGACCTGGTTTAGGGTTTAGGGTTTAGGGTTTAGGGTTTAGGGTTTAGGGTTTAGGGTTAGGGTTTACGGTTTTGGATTTAGGGTTTACGATTTAGGGTTTAGGGTTTTAGAATAAAGGCAATATTAAAGAGATGCGACTTATATTGAAAGGGGCTGCTCGCTCTAAAGCATTCGGGAGTGAGTAAGGGCACTGTTGAGCATCCTGCAGTAGTGAGGGGGGGCAGGGCTTCGGTCTTCTCGTTTCGGGGGTCTCTCGGAGGAGGTCCCCTAAACCCTAAACCCTAAACCCTAAACCCTATTCCGGCGCGAGGAGTTTGCAGGCTTCGGCTGGCTCGGCGCCAGGGGATTTCGTTTCACTGTTCCTGGCCACGTCGCGGCCGGTGCACAGATCCCCTCTCCCAGTTTATATCCCACTGTTCTTTGAACCACCCGTGACAAGAAGAAGCCAACTTTTGTGTAAGAAACGAAAGCAACTAGCAAAACAACAACGGCAAACACCTCCCGACCTCGCCACGCGGCTGTATTGGGCAAGATGCGTCGCTCGGGCATCGCGAAGAGGAGGTGCATGGCCATCTGCCAACTACCACTCCTGGGAGGCACCAAGCTTTCTGTGGGGAGAGATGGGGAGAGGTTCATCAATCTTTCTACAAGGGGGAGGGGTTACCTAGGCAGTGTAAAAAAAAACCCAACACGGCCGATGATTTCACGTAAGGGCCCTTACTTAGGAATCGTGGTTCTGAAGCTTGCGTGTTGGGGTCTCATTTGGGGGTTCTAGTTGTGCGACTCAACCTTCGTTGCATCGGAGGGGTTCCCCACAGAAAGGCCCTCTGTATTGGACCGCCCCAGGGCCTTATGCCATACGAGGGTCTTGAGACCTGTGAGCTCAAGAAAGTATGTGGTGTGAACCTTGGCTTTGGCTTGTGTTGCTATTTTTTGGGGCTCTTGTGGGGAGTTAGTCCAAAGGTCCTCTGGCAGGCGCTGATGACGCTGCTGTAGGATATGACATCGGCCGGGATGGCAGCCAGCTCCATCGCTTGCAGCAGGAGAAGGCTCTCCTAGACATTTTTTTGCCACCCGACTAGCTCTCCTAGACTTGAGGTTTAAAGGTTTAGGGTTTAGGGTTTAGGTGACTTGAGCGGTTGTTTGCAGGCTCAAAAACTCGGAGCATTCATAGTGCATGCACCTGAGGACGAATAATCTACTGGCCAAGCATATTAAAAACACATGGTCTCTGCACAAATCAGGGCCGGACACAAACCCTGAACTTGAGTTTGAAACCTCGGGGTTGCAGGGTTTATGGTTTAAGGCTGATTTAGGGTAGGTGCAAGCCTGACCATACGAAGGCGCCAGCAACCCACCCAATGGGCTTATGGTCTTGCAGTCCTCGAGGCGTCCTGCCTTCTCGCAGGCGCTGATGGAAGCGTTGTAGCTGATCGTGTCCTGCTGTCTTCGACCCACACCCCCGAAACCGTAAAAACCCTGGTTAAGGCTTTACTGGATCATGCTGGGGGTAAACCGGCCGGTCGACCCAAGCTAAACTAGACTTAGGGTTTTGCTATAGAGATTATGACCCTAAACCCTAAACCCTACACCCTAAACATGTCCAGGCTCGCATGTGGGGCATTCAACCTTTCAGCCTTCATTTCCAAGGCCGTGGATCCTTTGCGACGGCTGCAGAGTCCATCAGCTCCAGCACTCCAACAGCTTGCCTGAGAAAGCAAAACTCTGAAAGGTGCAAGCGCCGAACCCCCCTCCCCTTCGGTTTAGGGTTTAGGGTTTAGGGTTTAGGGTTTAGGTTTAGGGTTTAGGGTTTAGGGTTTAGGGTTTAGGGTTTAGGGTTTAGGGTTTAGGGTGTGGGTTTCGGGTTGCAAAGGGGTGTGGGTTGCATCGTTGCAACCAGCCTAGGGCCTGGTGCTCAGGGTAAGGTCTAGAGTCTATAGGATCTTCTTGAAGGTTCATGTTACATAGAACGGCCCCTTGCAGCAACATGCAGATGAAGGGAACTCAAGGCTTTCTGTAACCTTGGGCGAGAGATAGGGTTTAGGGTTTAGGGTTTCGGCTCGCGCACCCGCACAAGGCAGGCAAGGACTAAGGGTTTAGGGTTTAGGGTTTAGGGTTGAGGGTTTAGGGTTTTTAATGCTCAGGCAAGCATCTCCCATCGACCAGCCTTCTCACATGCCGAGATCGCTGCATTGAAGCAAGCCTCCGCGCCAGTGTGCGACGGTGCTACCGGGAGTCCTAGATGCCAAAAGAATTTCGGGTGTTGGGCCTGGCGTGCAAACGTGCAAATACAAAGAGTGTTCCTAGTCTACTAAAACAAATTAGAACATTCCTCCTTATAAGGGCAATGTAGTTATTTACTTTTTTACTTTTTGGGGCTCTAAAGCAAACAGTAGTAATTTGCTCCGGCTCATCACTGTCGAGTCGAGCGACATCGTGGACAACGCCTGCGTCCGACAGCTCCCGGAGCAGTGCCAGGCCCTCTTGCCAAAGGCTCCCTGAGCTTTAGGGTTTTATAGGGTTTAGGGGTTTAGGGGTCTTAGGGTTTTAAGGGCTTTAAGGGTTTAGGGTTTTAGGGTTTTAAGGGTTTAGGGTTTTAGGGTTTTAGGGCTTTTTTGGCACCCGCATAGCTGGACGAACCACTCCTAGGGTTTAGGGTTTAGGGTTTACGGTTTAGGGATTGGGGGCCTGCTAGGAGCAAGTATAGCTCGATGAATCTGATTCAAAATCCATGCTGGACTACTTGGTTAGTGGCGGTTGTTCAGACACTCGGGGGCCACGAGCCCTTCTTTTCATATACCTGGACCCAGACGGCTAACCTTTGGTAGGATGTCTGAGCCTTGGGAAGGGCTTCCTGGCATGCATGAGCACATCCCTACCAGTACCTACTGCTTTCAACTCTGCATTAAGCATATGATAGTCGGGGTACCCTTGTTTGGGTTGGTTACTTTACAGGGGAACCTTGAACCCAAGAAGAAAGGCAAAAGGTTTCCACGGGGTTACCACCAAGCAAGTGTCAGAGTTAACAGATCAGCGGTCTGTCCCTCGACGAACACGGCAGGACTATTCTGGGGGCCATCTTATGCTATCACTCTACTCAGGCCGTGTAAAACATGAGTCCCCTAGCCCTTTTTTTGAACCCGGAGCTCTATACCCGAAAGCCTTTTTAGCCCAGGACTGCTGAAGCCCATGCAAACGATAAGCAAAAAGACATGTAGGACAGCAGGTATTCACCCTTAACCCTTTTGCAACTGGACTGCGGACAACAAAACCCTAAACCCTAAACCCTCAACGTTGAACCCTAAACCCTTTTGCCAAGAAACTTCGCCCGCCTCGATAATATCCCTGTGAGTCAAGGACGCCCTACAAGCCCCCCGTACTCGTGATAGCAAGGCTCCCAAAACACCCTAAACCCTAAACCCTAAACCTTATAAACCCTAAACCCTAAACCCTAAACCCACACGATGCCCGAACCTTGAGCCAGGATTCCTCCAGCACATGCGGCGAGCGTGCTGCTGTAGCTGTACGCGTCCAGCCGCGTCCGGGATTCTAGCATGTCCTCGGTCAGGAAGCGACAGCAAAACAACTGCATGGGCTTTGATTTTCAGTATCCTCAGAAGGGCACCCCATATGTACACTCAAGCATGCTATATACACTCATTTTTTCGTACGATGTTGGAACTGGGAGCTATATATGGTCTCCGAACTCTCTATGTTCTACGCGCGGCCGCCTGAGCTTAAGCACTAGGCTGGCAATCTGGGGTCCCACCACTCCCGCCTCCATCTCCTCACATTCTGAGCTCCGAATTGCGGCCGATGCATTGTAAGGTACTTCAGGAGTGCGATAGCAGGCGGCAGACATGTTAATAAGTTTGAGGCGGCAGTCGAGATGCTGTGAAGACAAGCAGGGCCATTTGCCACTGCTCTGCCGAAGTACATGCCACCATAGCCGCATTATACCTTGAGCGAAGGGGGGGGAACCCTTTAGGGACTCTGGGGCCCCAGAATGAACCAAGGATGAAGAGACGAGCATGGAGGCCCAGAAGAACCGCACACTAGCGACATGAACACGATTGTTACGTGATGCAAGAGCTCAGGGAGGGGCCGAAACACCCGAGTCTTACAGTTTTGCTTGGTGGCTTTTGCAGGGCGACCCAAGTTGCAACCATGCAACAACCCTTTTTGGCGTTGCCCAAACTCTAGCACCTACCAATGCGGAAAAACAGAGTTCACCTTGGGGCTAATGTCGGGGTTGTACTCGATAACCACGAATCCAGGGCTGGCAGCCCACGAAATGGTGGAGCTTGTGCCAGTTACTGGACTGCCTTCCCTGACCCCATGCCGCCACTCACACGAAGAAGCTCTGCAAACAGCCCCTGTGCCAAAGTCTCGTGCTCAACAAGCTCGGGTTTCCGCATGCCATGTTTTTGAAATTCTTTTGGGGGGAGGTGGGGAGGACTTGTGAGGACCTCTGCTGTACAGGGTCCGCCCCGTACCCCATAAACACTTTCACAACGCATGGAGTGGGGGGGCCAGCATATAATATTTAATCGGAAGTTCTCATGGGAGGTCTTCCAAGCCCAACAGCCCTGGAACCCGTAGGCAACTGCAGCGTTGCTGGCGTGAACGCATTGGGCTCTGTGGAAGCAGCAGCCATCAGTTCGAGCAGGCTCCTCGGCTGCTGAATCCCATGCAACATGGACATTCCTCTGGTCTTCGGTGAGAGGCCCTTCGTATTCCCTGTGAGCAAAGCCTCCGAACCTCAACAGAATGCAGCATCGAAACCAGCAAAGGCACAATGCTTCTGGCCAAAGGCTGGCATGAGTGCATGCACCTCGCTGGCGTTGGGCATAGGGATGTCCCCCCTTGTTAAGGACTGGGGAAAATCCCAAGATGGGCAGTGCAGAAGCTGACTACAGGTGCCAGGAAGGCCCCAAACAAAGCCAAGAAAACGTCCCCCTAACCCTGAACCTTTGGATCTTGGGCTGGCAGGACCTTGCCCTGAGACATCCTGGCAGTTGCGATTCTGGCAGTAAAAGGATGATGTAACAGTTGAATTGCGCACACCACACATGAAGATCTCAATCGCCAAGCTACTTATAAACATAGATTCTGGCGAGCACCTGAAGCTAAACAGGGCTTCCGGTTGCTTTGCCACACGTTGCAACGTTGTCTCGCGATTTGCTTCTTGGACTCCGTGAGGTGTCTCTGAGGATTCGGATACGGCCCTTGCCGTCAAACCCGACCGTGATGCTGAAGATGCAGCATCTTCCCGCGGGTGGGAGTTGTGCAAGCCTCTTGCCGCCAGTCTGACTGCTGCACGGAGAGCAGATCTAGCCTCTCCTGTCATGTCTGCTCGAATGCTCCGCCTTTTGCCGCAAAGGAAACATGAAGTGGCAAAGGCTGCATTTGAAAGATCCCGGCGTCATGTCCTAGAAAGGATGCTAGCGCTGATCAATTGTCAGCCTCTCTTTCGGACGAGTCGCCAGAGGAAAGCAACAAAGAGCCTAAGGCCAAATCAAATACCACGATGATCCCCTTTCTTTAATAAGTTCATATTGAGATTACCAAGGGTGCAACGGACTCCGGCCCGCATGACCCAAAAAATAGCCATTCTGATGACGTCTGAGACCGCTGCTGACGGCGCTGCTGTAAGACACCACATTTGGCGTCACACTTGCATCCTCAAGGCAATGGAGGTGTGGCTTCGGGTGGGGCTTTTAGGCCTTCTCTCAATACCGAAAATTCAGCATACATGGCCACAATAATAACACGGAGACGCAACACGAATTCCGGGAAGTGAAGTTCTGAAGGGTGTGATCTTTTTCTGCATGCCTTTTGGGTCTGCTTTTTCAGAACCAGCAACTCAGGCAGCCGAAGGGCAGACATCTCAAACAGGAGGTGCAGAGCAACGGGCCATTGGCTTGCTTTCTCGCAGGCACCGATAGCACTGCTGAAGCCTGATCGCGTCCATCAGTGAGGCAGTGAGGTGGAATCTCGAGCCCACCATATACGCACTAGCTGTCACTAGCATGAACATTGCGGTTGTTCGAAGGGGTCGATGAGTTTTGGCGGCTGCCTATATAAAAAACACATATAATGGCACAACGGCCACGCGCCCCCCTCCCCGCTTGAAAGCTACACTTATAGTTGGGATACACACATGTGGATTATGTTGGGATATCTGTATCTTATACAAGAAACTTAGTTTAAGTACAAGGTAAGTCTAAGTCAAGTACCCGTGTACAAGTGCCCTCGGAATCCTTGTTCCTGCTCCACTCTAACTGAGGCTAGGAGCTGTACACATTTGCATCCACAGAGGCTGAGCCCATGGATGACCAAATGTGTAGCGCCAGCTGCCACTGTGCCTCTTTCCTAGGAGCTTGCTTCTTTTTTCCCTCTCTCTCTCTTGCAAAAAAAGAGGCTTGTGCAGTGCCAAGCGTGTGAAGGGGCGCCTAGCTCCTACCGACTTGACAATTCAGGGCTTTCAGGGTTTGCTGGGGGCTGAGAGTTTAGGATTCAGGGTCCAATCCAGTGGAAGGATGTCCCCGGGTTTTGAGCTACCCTCCTGATCTGAACCCTTCTAGGCTAAACCCTGACCTCAGTAGCCTGTAGGGGGGAAGTGGCGCCTTCCCGAATGCCCTTAACCCTAAACCCTAAACCCTAAACCCTAAACTAAACCCTAAACCCTAAACCCTAAACCCTAAACCCTAAACCCTAAACCCTAAACCCTAACCCTAAACAACCCTAAACCCTGAACCCCTTAGTCAAGGACTCTCACAGGCACTGATCGCCGAGCTGAAGTGGAAGATGTTGGCCTCCACCTGACTCAGCCACTCTCTTAGGGTTTTAGGGGGTTTAGGGTTTTAGGGGTTTAGGGATTAGGGGTTTAGGGGTTTGGGGATTAGGGGTTTAGGGGTTTAGGCGTTTAGGGGTTTAGGGGTTTAGGGGTTAGGGGTTTAGGGGTTTAGGGCTTAGGGTTTATAGGGGTCCAGCGTAGGGCTTTGGGGGAAGTTTCTCATCCCCACACCACACCCCAACCAAGTCACCGGCATCAACCACCCCACCCCCTCAAAGAACCCTGCTATCCCAGGTGCCAGTTCCCTAGATTAAGGTCCATTTCGGAAACTCATACTGTAAATCTGGGTTTGTCCTTCTCTTACAAGCCTTGTCGCGGGTTGGCCGCGGGGACCTGTTACAACCCAAACCCAAAGAATCACAGCCATCTAGCTACGAATGCGGACACTACCCGTACCATCACATTAGCTACGTCCCTAGACGGCGCATGCCATCATGGCAGTGCTCTCAGAATCCGTTGCTGTTGTCGTAGTTGGTGCTGCGGATGCTGCATGCGCTGGGCTTTCCGAGCCTCGTTCAAGCGCATCATGCGTAGAGTCTGCCATGCCAGAGACGATCTCAATGCTTTTCCCAGGGAGCTCCTGAAATCGATGTTGTGTGAGGGGCATGCGGAAGTCAGGGCCACTAAGATGTCCCACAGCAAGCTGTGAAGAAGGCTCCAAGATCTGAAGCTTTAAAGCTGCAACATTTCGATGAGAGCAAACGAGGCCGAGCAACAGTGTAGCTGTTGCATCACGAGGGCTTTGCCGCCAAGCAGGGAGGAACGGCTGCAAAGCTCCCACAACCTGCAAAAAAGTGACGGGGGGCACAGCGCTGCCGACAGGCAAGCACGTGAACATCATGTGTGATCTAGAAGCTATCAGATGAACGCGAGTGAGAACTTGGAGCCACTGAGGAACACAACTGCTGTTGCGGGCGGCTGCTGAGAGAGTCGGTTTACTGAGGCACACCCATGCGTGTGCAACGCTTATATAGTTTCATATAGTATAATATAATATAATATAGTATAATATAGTATAATATAGGATAATATAGTCTAATATAGTATAATATAGGATAATATAGTATAATATAGTATATTATAGATATGTTCCAGCTTCTCAGTTGGCCATAGATCCCAAACAGCTATGTTTAAAGCATTCGAGTTCGGGATGTGCCCCCTTATACTAACTGTCCTTCAGAGGGATTTTAGTACCCCCCTATCCGAAACCCTAAACCCTAAACCCTATTATAATCCCCCCCCCCTAAAAGGGGGACATCCCAAATTATAGGAATCCATCAACTTGTAAGCATCGGATGCCTTCCTCCCCCGCGTCCCAGATCTCAATGGCCTAAACCCTAACCCTAAACCCTAAACCCTAAACCCTAAACCCTAAACCCTAAACCCTAAACCCTAAACCCCAACCCCTAAACCCTGAACCCGAAGCCTGCTCGTCGGTTGGCTGGGGCCGCAAGGAAAGCAGAGACACTGCTGCTTCGGGAGCCATCGCTCGACCATGGCTTATAAGGGGTTCTTAGTTGCTGAGTTCATATAAGCCCCCCAAATAGTGTACAGATTCAGTTCTACAGGGGATTATAGTATCCAAAAAGTGTAAAGTGTGCTCACTCAGCTACTGGGGGTTTAGGGTGAGCCCTCAGATTTCAACAAGCCTAGCTGAGGCTCGGGAAACCCCGGATCCCTATCGGAGACACCCAAGCCTCAAACACTTAAGGCGGGCTCCTTTCCGGGTTACGCTTTCCGCGCGTGCAGCTACATTACGGCCCTAGACCCTGAAGGAAACTGGCTTGGCTTCATTAGTTCAATTTAACGCTCTCCTCTCCCAAAATGCTGGAACCAAGCCTGGCACGACTGCCATCCTCTTGCCATCACCAGGAACGATCTGAATCCTTACCGCTTAGCCCGATAATAAACAACTTAAACCTCGGAGATTTGAAACGCCCTGAAGCCTTGGTCGGATTTCGGGCTCTGACTGAGGCAACAAAGGGCGTCCGAAAGCAACAGAAACTCAATTCTCAGAAGTAGCCCCGAAACCCTAAACCATGTTGGGGGGGGGGGGGGAAACTGTTAAACTTCATTAGGCCTGCTGTTATTTGGCCGTTGATGGTCGTTGGTTGCCTCGAGCAAACTCAGGACACCATGCAGGTATAGGGTTTAGGGTTTAGGGTTCAGGGTTAGGCTGTTTTTGGCATCCGTCTAGCTGTTTTTGGCACCCGTCTAGCCACGCACTACGGGGTTTAGGGTCTAGGGCCTTAACCTAGGATGGCCCCTAAAATCCTGAATTTGATCCTCTGAAACCCAATAAGAGAAAATATCAGAAGAGATCCCAATAAACCTCAATTACTATACATATATATATATAATATATAAAAACTAATGGATTCGTCGGCATAGACACAAACCTTAGTCGGCAAGGTACAAACCTTAGTCGGCAAGGCACGAACCTTCGTCGGCAAGGCACTTCGTCGGCAAGGCACACATGTGCCTTGCCGACCAAGGTTTGTGCCTTGCCGACTAAGGTTTGTGCCTTGCCGACGAAGGTTTGTGCCTTGCCGTTTGTGCCTTGCCGACTAAGGTTTGGGTTCAGCGTGTCTTGCCGGAAGCTTAGTGGGCAAGGCACAAACCTAGGTTAGGCACAAACCTTGCAAGGCCCCACCCCCACCACCCCCTCCCCTCCCCACCCCCCTCAGCCCCCACCCCACACCCCCCCCCACCCACCCCCCTCCTCAAAATTTCATTACTTAGATTGACGTACATGAGCTGCTGAACCCTAAACCCTAAGCTCTAAACTCCAGATCTGCCCAGGATTCGACAACGTAATGCAGCCTCTTGAGCGAGCTTCAACAGTTAGGGTTTAGGGTTTCGGGCTTCAGTCTGGAATACACGCTTCGTTTATCGGAAGCCTCGAGGGTCTGAATCAGGGGGATCTTGCTTTTTTTGTTGCGCGATTCGCGTGCGCTTGGCGATCGTCACGGACGTGACATCTCAGCTCATGTGCACATGGCAATGAGGTATTGACACAATGCGACAACACCAAGAAACCAACAAAAGGAAACAACACATGCTTCTCCATGCAATGCCTAATATAGGGGTCGGAATAATTAATAATTGCTGATAATGTTCCCTTAAGGTCCCTTGGTAAATGGACTCTAATAGCCCCCAATACCTTGTTCTAACTATCAAGGCTCCTACAGCATCCCACCTCGGCGGGCAGTGGGCCCCGATGAATTGAGGCATGGGAAGACCTGCGGAGAAGATGGTCGACAACCTTCATAAGGGTCAACATGGCAGCCTGGCATCCTTCTACACACAAGAACAAAAGAACAAAAGGGCAACGCTGTACATCAAGATAATGGTTGGTTCTACGGATGACTTACAGTAACTCATGGTTCGAATTCAAGGCAGTCCTTGAATCCTTGAACCTGCAACAGTGTCACCTGCAGAAGCAATACATTGTGGCCGCAAGCACAGCTGCAAGTCCAAGCTAGAGCATCTGTCAAGCTCATATACAGTGAAAGCTTTGCATGCGTAAGACTCAGGTAGGTCCACTTAGTCTCTCAGTTTCCACACTGAGTTTCCGCGGCCACAAGATTAAGTTTGGAACCCCAGTGAATCGCTGCCGTAGACTTAAAGGCAACGCGCATAGCACTGAAGCAAAAACAACTTGCTTCACCTTCCAATCCCCAGTACATAAGCAAACTTGTGCAGATACAGCACCCCATCTGCTTGTGGATGTCTTCTTGGAAATCAAGAATCAAGAAAGGAGGGAGCAAGGTTCGTTATGGTAAGCAACTGAGAAAGTAGATCGCTACTGAGCTGTGAAAGGCTAAGAGAGAGCAGTTTCAAGCAAACGAGGCTAAGCATTACGCATGTAGATGTGGATGCATGGCCTGCCATCACTTCCCGCATATCCTTCATGACATCTGACCACTCGGATGCTTGCAGATATCCGCAACCATCGTGTCGGCTGTGCTGCAATGAGGCTCAAGATTCCCAAATGATACGTATTCAGAGATTCATCATTCCCTGCTTCTGCTGGCTAAGGCAGCAAACGGCTTACGGTGGGACGGGGCTATGTCACTGTTGCATGCAGTAGTGGCAGAACGTGCAGCTGGAAACGTGAAAGGCGATGGAAGAGACTTGAAGCACGTTCAGCAAGTTAGCTCCGAAACAAGCCCTTGGCATTTGACCTAGACTGAGATGTTTCGAGCTGCTACAAAGTTGGTACTCCCGAAAGGGTAAACAGTAGATGACAGGTCACGGACCACAAGCCCAGTCTTAAAACTATTTTTGAAGCTTGAGACCTCTTCGCAGCCACTGATACGTAATTATACGAACTTGAAAGATCTGCACACAGACCGACTCGCTCCTGGATCAGGTTTCGCTCTGATCACAAAGCTCTTCTAGCTTGTGTGGCTTGCCCAAAAAAAGCATGTATGGTGTCCCCAAAGCCCATGAACATCTGGTGAAAGATAATGGTCAACCTGAGGGCCAGTACGCATGAAGCCAATATAGATTGCATTTTGACCACGGCGCATGACAAAGACATGCCAGAAGAACAGCTTTCAGGCTTTGCAAACATTATCTTTCTTAAGGTTTAGGCGATGCACCGAAATCGAAATCTCGGCTTGCGTAGGGCATTACGCCAGAACCGTGTTCCAAAGCGAGACGTTGCTTTGTGCTGTATGCAGCGGTCCAGCGGCATGCACGTAGTCACCAAATTTCAGAGCAAAGGAGTGCCGCAAGTTGCTGCTTCTCAGTGGCAATTTACTAGTCGCACTACTATCCCTATAGCAGTACAAATGGCAGTATAAATAGCATGTACTTTACCTTCCGCGTTGCCGACTAAGAAGCAGCAAGAACTGCGACAGCCTTGCAAGGGCCGAGCAGGGGATGGAGGCGGCGCTGCCTCCCGTGACTTAAAAGGCCTGCTGAAAAACACAGTCAGCGACTAAGAATGTGTGTTTGTGGTGGAATATGTTGTAGGGGGCAATGTGGCTGTTTATCTAGCTGTACGAGCCCTCTGTACCACACGCGGGCGCGCCAAGCACCGCGAAGCAAACTCGCTGGAACAAGACGAGCCGAAACCATACGCCTCAATGGCTCTTAGACCAACACGAGAACCTACAGGACAGGCCAAGTCAGTGGGAAGGTGACACCAGCTGGCCGAAATACAGCGGGCATCTCAGAAGCAGCCTGTGAGCTCGGGTCTGCATCGTAAAATCTGATAAGTCGCAGGTTGCCACTCTCAGACAGTGTCAATTTAGTGGTCTAGCAGTCATCATGCCTGCGTCTAGAACGCTTTTTGCATACTATGAGATCATAGATGCACAATGATGCACATGTACATCGTGCATATACACTATATACCTAGACGCAAGCGAGAGAGAGTGAGAGAGGATGGAGACAGGGAGAGAGGTAGAGAGAGCATCAACCCGAAACAGAAGCAGACCCCTGCCCACATGCAGTTTCCTTTGAAAGGTGGGATTGGCGATTGGCCGGAGTAAGCGCAACCCGGGTCCTACTGTCCTGATTTCTTATTTAAGGGTTTAGATGAAGGCGTTTAGGATCGGCGTCGACTCAAAATTTGTCGACACGGGGCTCTGCCCCAACCAACTTGTTCACCCAAGGTTACGTGTCGTGGCTTGGCAGTGTGCCTTTTGTGAAGGTGAGGAGTGGTGCTGCTGCGGGATTCACCTGTGAACTCAGCCTGTCTTATGAAGAGGCCCTTGTAGCTGGAAACCAAGCGGGACGCCTGTTCACCAACGACAACTATTCCCAGGCCCACCACCACCTGCACCACTTCCACCACCACCACCACCACCGCCACGACGACCACGACGACCACGACGACCACCACCACCACCACAATTACTACTACATACTACTACTTACTACTATATCTACTACTAACTACTACTAACTACTACTAACTACTACTAACTACTACTAACTACTACTACTAACTACTACTAACTACTACTAACTACTACTAACTACTACTAACTACTACTAACTACTACTAACTACTACTAACTACTACTAACTACTACTAACTACTACTAACTACTACTAACTACTACTAACTACTACTAACTACTAACTACTACTAACCACTACTAACTACTACTAACTAAAACTAACTACTACTAACTACTACTAACTACCTCTAACTACTACTAACTACTACTAACAACTACTACTACTACGACGACGACTACTACTAATGCTAATACTATTACTACTATTCCTACCATTACCACTAACGAGGACGACGACTACTCCTCCTGCTGCTGCTGCTGTTGCTCAGGAGCTTCTTCTCCTGCTCCTACTCCTACGACGACGACCACCACCACTCCTCCTCCTCCTCCTCCTCCTCCTACGACTTCTACTACCTCTACTACAGTTACTACTCCTGCTTCTACTACTGCTTCTGCTCCTGCTGCTGCTGCTGCTGCTACTGCTCCTGCTCCTCCTCCTGCTACTACGACTACCACTTCTACGATTACTTCGACTACTGCGACGACGACCACCACCACCACAACACAACACAACAACGACGACAACAAAAGCGAGGAGGCTGGGGGGCATCATGTCAAATCCAGAGGGTCAAGCTTTCGCTGCCACACCTTCAGCAGGAAAAGGCACTGCCAAACGTTCCTTTGCCAGTGCCTAAGGCATTGGCTTCTACCTGCACCTTAAACCCTAAAACCCTAAACCCTAAACCTTGATGTTTGCACAGGGACTCAAAACGTCGCGGAAAGAACTACCTCCCTGGTCTCAGAGATCCGTTCGCTCGATTTGGGGCTGGGGCTCTGACCTTGGGCTGTCTTCATGTCTTCTCACCCATGCAAATAGGGGTCACTAGGAGGGCCAGTTGTTGTTGTTGACTTTTGATGCTATAAGTCTATAAGTAGTGAAGTTCCCTTGGAAATACTTGATTTAGCTTCGTACAGTCTGCAAGTACTCCAAATACTGTTTGCCGTAGTGCGCCTGACACGGAAATGGCACAGGTTCGGAGTTCAGGTTGGGAGCCCCGGGGCTTTGGGAGCCCTAAACTCCTAAACCCTAAACCACAAGCATCAATTTCCCATGCCGCAACATGACCGGATTGCAACGTTGTGCCCTAGTAACTCGTTGGGTTGTTTAGGCACTGCTTGATAGCGAAGTTTTGCTGTCTCGTAGTATACATACATACATACATACATACATACATACATACATACATACATACATACATACATATATATATATATATATATATGGATTGCAGTTACCAAACGGGACACCATTATGACAGAAGCGTGTTGGGCGGATCACGCAATAGACTCTGTATATGTTTATGTATGCATACATATAAAATAAGTCGATACATCGGCACACACACAAGGAGTGATGCTGTTAATACCCATGAATCAGCCTAAAAAAAGAAACAATACCACTGATGAAGAGTGAAGATTCACAGCAATCATGGCAACAACTACTTAAAACCTCCGACCCCTTCTCCGAATCACGAAAACGCAGCCCAAAACTCCGGCCCCCCGAATTTTACAGGGTCCTTAAGGGAAGGGGGCTATGTAACCCAGGGTTCCTAATTCTTTCCACGACTACTCCCTCAGGCTCCCTAAGCTTCCCTAAGCCCTAGGTACCTACTCCCCAAGACCCCCTCCCATAAGAACCCTACAAGAATTGCTAAATCGTGTAAACTCACTCTGCCCTGGCCCAGTCGCATAGCAAGTCTTTCTCCAGATCCGGAACAAACACGCAGAGACCCGCGATTTTGGGGACCTCTGGCACAGCCAGGTTTCAAGGATCAAAGGTTGCTTTAAGGGCACTGCAACTTCTTGTGTAGGGCGTCACATTTCTTGAGGGGCTTCATGGATCTGTGAGCCACAAGCTACACCAGAACCGAAACAGAACTCAGCAGTATGCTATTCAGAACCGTGCTCACCGCTTCCCCCGAATCTCACATACAATCCTTATGCCTCATGATTATAGGGAGGGTTGAATAGGAAACTGGGTTTAGTGTTTGGGCCCGGCTGCAATTCTCAAACCCAGCACACCTTGACTGTGGATTCCTCCACTTGGGCAAGTGGGAGAGGAGGTTTCATGGTTGGGAGGGGGGTGGGGAAGAGATTACGAGGCTTGGAGGTTTATATTTGGGCTGCACTGATAAGGTTTCAAGGCTTCGGGCTTCAAGCTTCACAGGGCGAAGGGTCGTGTCAGGGGCTCCATGGGTAGCGCTCCTTACTTTTGTGGTGCGGCTTGAAGTAAGGTAGGACCTGAGAAATCAGGTTGGCGAACAGCACATTACTCTTGACCCTAGACCGTAAAGCTTATAACCCCCCAACAACTTTGAGGACTTCCAGCGCGGTTGCTTCGGGTCTGTTGGGCGTTCAAGACTTTCTACGGCCGTAGCCCAGTCCCAGGTGCAATCATTCTCTCGGCATCAACTTTGGCCGAATCTTCCGCGAACATCTGGTGCGCAACCTCAGGGAAAAGGCTCCCAAAACCCAAAGCCCAAGCCCCGCAAACCTGGAGCTTTCTCAGCTGGTGGCTGTGAACTTTAAGAACAGACAAGTTGGATGCTGGAGACCATCCTTCCCATGGTACGTAGTTGTTATTACAGTTTTGGGGCGCGACATGGCACGAAGCCGTTCTCAAGATCAAGCCAGGGTGCTGGATCCTGTTTTCACTAAGAAGTGCCGCGGCTTTGCAGATAAGGCGCGTGAAGCAAACCCGCGAACAACTCCAGCTGGAGCGGGTGCGTCTCACCTCGGCCACTGGCTGAGTTCCGGCCCCTCCTGCAACAGCCTCAACCCTAAACCCTAAACCCTCAAGGTGATCCTCTTGAACCCAATGCTCAGCCCTCCTTTGCATCGACAAGACTCCTTGCTCAACGACTTCTGCCGTGAATTGTGGGGTTTTGGGGCTTCCGTCCTGAAACAGCCCCAAAAACAGAAGCAAAACACCCAAAGGACTTTGGTGTAAGAGGGTTATGTACCGAAGCCCGGGTGCGGAATCCTAGGAAACTTGCAGAAGCATGCCGAAACCTCCACCCCTATTCAACAGTACCAGTATTAGGGGATAGGATTAGGGGGAATTTTGGGGATGTAGACCCGCTGAATAGGGTCCCTGTTTAAGAGAGCCAGAAGAGGGCTAAGAAGGGTTCCCTTTTAAGGGCCCCCCCCCCCTTATCCTACCTCGGAAGTAGCTAGGTTGCCATCCTTTTGTTTGATCGGTTTGCAAGGGAACCCGAACACCGTCACTGAAACAAGGACGCTACTGGGCATAGCCATAAGGTAGACGAGACAAGGAAGGTTTAGGGTTTCTATAGGGTTTGGGGTCTAGGGCTTATAAGGGTTAGGGTTTAGGGTTTAGGTTCTTTTTGCCACCCGCCTAACGCGCTGCAGGGAACACCCGAAAGCACCCAAACCTCTCACACAGGAACTTTCCAAATCGCTGGATGCCAAGGCCGAAGGTAAAGCAAACGCCCATTGAAAAGCCTTGCCATGAAAGTGGTCTCAGCGGCTCCAATACGTGAAGGTCGGAGGAAAGTATCGTTCGTTGCTGTCCTGTCCGTCTTGGCCGATCGTGCAGGTCGAGCACTGCGGGCTCACGGGGCTTTCAGTGGTTGATGTCAAGTTGACATTGGGGTTTAGGGGTTAGGGTTAATGAGGGGGACAGGGCCATAGATCACACATAGACCACACACACATGAGCACACAGTGAATCGCGCACGACTGCCCCGCTGGCCGATTCGGACATCCTGATCCCATTATGGAATTTCTCGCCATACCATAAACCAAAAGCCCTTCAAACCCTATAAATCCTGCCGTTAAAGCCTCAAGACTCAAAACCCTAAAGGCTTTTGGAAGGGCCGAGGGCTTCTGGAATTTCCGAATTTGGGAGGATTAGAGATCCTGCATTCCCTTGGCTGTGGGCCAGTTGGAGCTTAAGAGTCAACACAAGGCGCAAAGTTTTCGGGCTTCCGGGCTAGGTCCAACATCCAAAGCCCTCAACCCTTCATTAGGGTTCTTGTTAAAGGCGCCTTATTGAGACCCAGAATGAGGACCACAAAGGACCCCCTCAGTAAATAATGAACCCTTTCCGTAGACTCCACCCTGCCCCAGGTAGGGCTTTAGCATCTAGATGCAAGTTCGGCTTTTAGGGCGTCAATTTCATTAGGGCTTCAAAACTGATGTAATATCGAGGCGCGCTGAAAGATGCAACTCACGTACGTAAACCTACACACCCGGTCCCGAAGGACTTTGACCAGCTGCGACGCCATGTCCTCGGCCGCTCTGACTGCTGACTCTACGCATCCGGAAGTCTGCCCATGCGAGGCAACTGCACAACAGAGTTTGGACGGCCCTTTTGTTATTTGTTCGACATGTTAGTTGTCCAGTAACCTGGGGGAATTAAAGGTTAACCTTTGGGAATATCAGAGGATTCTATTAACCCAAAAAGGGTTAAAGGTTCCCTACTCTACTACTAGGACGTTACTTTTGGCCAGGGGAGCACAAGAGATGAGCATCTTGGGCTTTAGGGATGCAAGGCGCTGCTGCTCTTACTGGGGCTTCCGTCAGCTGGCTTTGGCCACCACACTGGACAATCCCAGAACCTTAAACCCAAAAGAAGGCGAATCCGAAGCCCAAAGCAAGAAGCCCTCTCTTGAAGGGCAAGTCTCGCCACCGCCTGCCCGCTCGACGGCTAAGAGCCTAGGCTGTCATGGAGCTCGTCCTACAGTATGACGATACTGCCTGTTTGAACTGCCTCTGAATTCTGTGGCTACGCAGCAGCCTGAGAATCTGCCCAACCCCCGCCTCCCCGGCCTCCCACACACCGACTTCCTTAAGCCCTGCTCTACACACTCCCTCAAAGCTGTCCCGCTAAGCTTGAAATTGCATGGTCAGGAGCCGCCAATATGTACTCAGGATGGCACCTGGAGCATTCTGGTGATCCTCCCTCGAAGGATCTGGAAAGTATGGTTTAGGGTTTCGGGTTTAGGGTTTAGGGGATGAGTTCCCCAGCACAGGGCACTACCCACCTACCCAAACCCAGCAACAGCCCAGAGAGGACTAGCCACAAGCTAGGGTTGGATGGGTGGGGGGCTGAAGGGAACTCGAGGTTAGCCTACAGGATTGTCAAGGTATTCGGGCTTATAGGGCTTAGGGGTAACGATGCAGTTGAAGGCATCATACTCAAAGCAAGCCATGCATGCCGACTAAGATTTCAGGGGTCTGCTTAGCGCTTGTCCGTGACAGGGCCTAAAAAACCCTTGGTGTGCCCAAATGGTTGGCATCCCAAAATGTCATAAACCCAACAAACGCTTCAATGTCGGGGGTGCTGCTTCCCAGAAGCACCCTCCTCACCCCTCCAGAAACCTGAGAGAAGGTTTTCACCCCAGGCTTTGCGCCTGAACCCTGGATGCTTAGACCATGGTGACCATGGCGTCGCCTCAACCCTGGATCCCACGGCATCTTGTTTAGGGTGTCGGGGGTTTAAGGGCTTCTAGGGTTTAAAAGGGGGTTAGGGGTGGGGTTTCATGTGGCTTGTAGCAGATGTCGAACCGCCCAGGAAACAAGCTGTCAAATCTTCCACAACCGTTCTGCGCCATGATGAACGTTTTTTTTTCGGTCCCTGCCCGACAAACATGATCCAAAGGCCAAGCCATATATGCAACCCATCCCAAGCCAGCCATCCTAAACCCTAAACCCCACCGCCGCCTACGAAACGCTGCTTGTCACAAGGGCGGCCGTCTGCGTGGTACGTCCTCGGCTCGTTGATAGGGCAGAGGTGCGGGGTTTAGGGCTCAGAGCTTCGCGATGGTGCCGTGCGCCATGCTTTGCGGCTTTGGGTCGGGGGTGGGGGGTGCTTAGGGGCGAGTGGAGGAGTGAATCACGACATTTTGTAGCCATACGCGCTCCCCACTCCAGTCACTGACCCTTCTTCCTATTCAGCTGTTGGATGTCGTTCTCGTCGCCAGGCCACATGAACCTTAAACCCAACCCTGTGTCCCTCAAAGCCTTCAAAACTACGCATTTTGGCACATTTCATTTGAAGCACCTCAACTACTTCAGTCGCAATTGGTTCCGGGAGAGAAGTGCTCCAAGATATTCTAGAGAACAGGGACACGGCTCAAGTACTCCGAAGAAGGGTTTCAAGTTGCCATTCAGGCAAGGTTCGTACAGCACTGAAAAGAGCCTCGCAAGATGTCCCACGCAAACTCCACAGCGCCTCACGGAGAAAGGTGCTTGGTTTAGGGTTTAGGGTTTAGGGTTTAGGGTTTAGGGTTTAGGGTTTGGGGTTTAGGGTTTAGGGTTTAGGGTTTAGGCTTTAGGGTTTGGGGTTTGAGCGATCTGGGCCAGAACATGCCGCCTATACTTGAAGGCTCATGGGAAATATGCAGGGCATAAGATCCTCAAATCAAGTTACACCCAGTTGAAAGTATCGTACCCTATATATTCCAATCCCAGTTATAGCTTCCCATGAACAAGTAGTGTGTTGGGCATTGAGTTCGGATAGTAAGACTCGAGTGATTAGAACTGTCACTCGCACCACAGCCAGCTCTGAAGTTGGTCGAGAGGCTTCTGTCCACACGCTCCTTCTTCAGGACGCCTTGCTCGGTGTACCTGAAAACCTGCCGGGCTGCTGTATACAGTGAGATATCTCAAGCACGGCATGCTTCTGTACATCATGCAACCCCGCAAGCCTAGACTCATTGACCCAATCATACCCCATCATCATAGACATGCTATTCCCCCACTCTAAAGAAGCCCAGTCTGGCCTTCATGCTATCAGTGCCCAGGCACTGACACGTCACAAAGCAAAGTCCTGAGCTTCAAGCTCCGGGTTTAAGGCAAAGGGCGTCACCAAAGCCAAAATTCTTCAAAGCACATCGAGAACTCCAGAGGAAGTTGTGTGACATGGAGAGCAAAAGCCCCTGCGCATGCAACCCGTGCATGCACGCCAAAAGAACAACAATACGTAGCTGGTCCCGAAAGCACATTCAGTGGATGAGGTGGCATGGCATCTGAAGGATGTGAAAATGAGCCAGAGAATATCAGTTTGCATTCAAGTGGGCCATCTACGCCGACGCCATGCATCCCAGGCCGGTTCAAACAGCAAAGGACCACAAAGAGCACTCCTAAAACACCCTCAGCTCTCCTCAAGAGCACCACCGCACGAGGCGAAAGAATCCAAGAGCCCAGCAGAAAAGTATAAGTGCTTGCCCATGTTTTCGCGATTCCGAGCGACTCAAACCTGAAAGAGGTGCACGGGGGCCTACACAGGAGCGTGATTTGCGCCACGGAAGGCGAAAGTACGATTTGTCGCATCGGGCAATCCGGAAACCTTGGTTCTAACGAAAACTAAGGATGGCCCCTCAATTTTTTAAACATATTCCCAAATATGATCCTCTTAAACCCAATAAGAGAAACATCTAAAATATCACAAGGGCCTAACTAGAACTCCAGAAGCCTTCCACGAAACACCCCTCCAATACTCTGACCAGGACTCGTTCCAACCGACTCCATGAGGCGAAGGAGCTGGAAAATGTGTGCTGCTCGGCACCTCAATTGCCGCAGGTGGGGTTTAGGGTTTAGGGTTTAGGGCTAGGGTTTAGGGAGGAGAGTATTTCGGGTGCAAGAGTTTTGGCATTGGGGTGTAGGTCTTTTGGTCTCTCTTTTTGCCGCCCGTCTAGCGACTGGGCTCAGGGTGGTTTAGGGTTTCGAAATCCTGGAGAAACAAACAAAAGGGCGCTTGGGGTTGCAGGCTGCAGGTTCTATGACTGCGGCCCGTGCTGCAAAATACTCCACGGTGCGACTGCTGAGAGGTAAGGTCTCTTGGGGTTTGGCCACCCACCAAAGCAGACCAGGGTTGAGGGTTCAAGGAAAACCGGAAATCCCAAGGTCCTGCCTAGTAGAGAAAGGGAGGTGCACTGCGAATGCTCGAGTAAACTACCTGCATAAACGCTACATTGGCTTTGGGTCTGTCCTGAATTTGTTGCGGCTCATATCGTTTATCGACCCTTCTCCGATAGGACCAGTGTGAATCAGTGATCCAGGCTACCAACCGGATCAGCACCATAAACCGAAGCCCTAACAAGTGCAACAGAGAACAGGAGCAAACCACTAAATGCAAGCGACGGGTAATCCTTATCCCTGTCAAGCAAGCCTTGCTAACACCAGAATCTCAGCCTGCAAAGGAATAACTGGCCCTACTTGGAGGTTCATGGTACTTAATAACTAATTCTAACCATATTAGGACACATAAGGGGCTTATAAGTGGGTTGTCAGTGCAGATATGATTGGTTAATAAGTACCATGAACCTCCAAGTACAGGCCCTAGGCCCTGAAACCGGGGTCCACTCTCTGCAGCTTTGGGCTGGGGTCGGGTGTGCGGCCTTCTTCAGCAAACCCCCCCTTTCCCCAGTCCCCAGAGCCTTTGCGGGACTCCACCACGAGCATTGCAGTGAAGCAGGAGCAGTAGCCTCGAGCGAAAATCTTGGCATGCCCAGGCTGACTTCGTAGTACCCCCTAGTACCCCTAGTACCCCGAAGCCCTAAGCCCTAAGCCCTAAACCCTAAACCCTAAAGCTGGAAAGCTTCTAAACCCTTTGCGGTCCAAACCCTAAGCGCGCACACCCTGGAAGCGAACCCTCAACACACGAAGGGTCCATGCGCACAACATCTTGTAACCCGTTCTCAATGGTGCTTTGCAGAGCTGGGTTTCGATTGAACAACCTCTAGAAGCACCTGGAGGCTAGGCCCTAAACCCTAAACCCTAAACCCTAAACCCTGAACCCTAAACCCTAATGACGCAGGAGACCTTTCTTTACCTCACCACGGGGCCAGCGACACTAAGCTTCAAGCCTTCAGCCCGATTTCAACGTACCAGCAACCAGGACTGTTCTGAAAATGCTCATGAGGCGTCTGACAGAACTACCGCGTGAGCAGATCGCGCACGCTCTCTCCGAGCCTTCAGACCTGACCCAAATACTACTATTGACTAAGAACCCCAAAAGAATAAAAACAAATGATCGAAATATTCCCCTTAAATATTCCCCTTAAGAAGGAAGACTGTTATTGCTTTTAATTTTTTGGGGGGTTCTTAAGCAATTTGTAGAATACCCTTCGCCTACGTCTTGCTCCCTTCATCCCTGCTGTGGAGATTTGCCCTGGTCTCCCACTTGCACTTGGGGAAGCATGGGGTGCAAAGAAGACCTGACCTGATACCTGCCTACTGTCTCCTTGTGCTTTTGACTTCGTCCTGAAGAAACCCTAAACCTGAAACCTGTGCTTGATGACAGCCCGAGCTCCAGCAATCGAGTTGGTGGCGCACTGGTGCTGAATGCTGTTCTGCCTTTCACCAGGCGCTAAGTCGCGCACAGCCGGAAACGACCAAGCACAGCTAACATTTAATGCAAGTGACACAAAAGGCTACTGGTAGCGCTAGTCATAGCTGTGTCGGCACCTCGAGCATTCAGGCTTTCGTTGCATGTCATACTATATATGTTGTTTAAGTTAAATGCGTACATTTAATGTGCTACACATATAATACACTATGTATGCGTATAATTCATAGTAGCTACATGTCGTTACTAATACTCCTATGGGTTCAGATTGAAAGCCACAGCCCACAGCAAACCCTGCACGCAGGGCTTTCAATGGAGAACGGTCTCAGCTCTAAAGTCGCCACGGCACTGCGGCATGCAGCTGTACTGAGACCAGACCCAGTTGAATTTCAGACCTGGGGTTTAGTGTTTAGGGTTTAGGGTAGGTGTTAAAGCTACGGACAGAGGATTCTGTGTTGTAGAGATTTGTGGCAATTGTCCAAGAGAAGTCAGGCTCTGCACATTCCCTCTTATCCTCAAGCTCCACTACCCCGAACCACTCTTCGCGAACCATACGTGCGCTCACCGGACGGCACCCCCTCATTCCTGCGCTCTAGCTGGTCATCTTAAACCCTTTTGAGTCCCGGCCGCTTGTCCCAGCATCCTAAACCCCTTTCCCCCAAAGTCCTCATGAACCACAATCGATGACATGAGGGTTTACGATATTAGGGGTACCTATATTGGGGTCCTTATCTTAAGGGGATCCTGCTGTTTGGGGCCTGCTACGTGTTGCAAGGTGTTTGTCGTTCGGGTCATGCTGTTGAGCTTGACCTGCCTTCATTTGGGGTGCTCAAGGCCTCGAAGAGTTTGCGGAAAATGGGGAGGACCAACCCCCGGTGCACAATAAACTGCAGGCATGCGGCCGTACTTCTTCAAGCCCCTGATGCTAGTCACCATGGCCTGCGCAAGAGCAATGCTGCACTGAGAGGAGGGGGGTCATAGACACTCATACAGAAGCCATAGCTATGAGCATTTCAAATCATGGCATCAGCCTTGGCTGCACTTAGCAGGGTAGCTATAAATTTAACTTTTAGCTGCCTTCTTAAGAAACCCAATAAACCCAAAAAGGCTAAGGATGTAAAGTTACAGTAAAGCACCACAAAGAAGCAATCGTGCTGCATGCACCAGGAGCTGGAGCAACAGCTGCCGTGTGCCTTGTAGACGTCACCGTCCTTGTCAAAGGCGCTTTCGCTGTCTTGGTGATCTGTTCCCTCCGACATTCCCTCGTAGCTGAGCAGAAGGATACCTGCACTCACCGCAGTCGGGTGTGGGCCAGTTGTGATTTAGGGTATTTTTTTGGTCCAAACAGGAGTCTCGGTGGTAAGGGCGTGCGTGCTGAGTCTGCGTCGGAGAGTTGTGGACTGTGGAACTTGGCTGCTGCACTCATCCCCTCCCTCATATATTGAACCCCCCCCTACCCCCTATATATTGTTAAATACCCCCCCCCATTATAGCTATATTTTCGTATGTTGGTTTTTTTTATTAGGGGGTAGGAAGGGGTTTAATTTTAGGGGGAGGGGTTTAGTAATCAATCGTTGAAGACGGAATTTGTTTTCCTTTCAATTGCGTTGACTACGACAACGCAGGAACACGTTGACCTAACAGAAATGACACGTCAATGTTATGCGTGTAATTGTTGCTTATACTGCCCCCCCCCCCTTGTCTTGAAGTACAAACGTCCATTAATCTCCTTAACTGTCTTTTCCGACAATAAAGACAGAAGGCTCGGGAGTTGCTGCGCTGAGGGGTAACAATATGAAACTTTGGGTTCGCGGCCCCATCTTCAGAATCTCTGAATCAAGAGGCCCGGCCTTTGCCCTGCTTTTGTCACCGATCCTTAACCGTCCCAGCAAGCAGAAAGCAGCGCCTGAGTCTTCATAGTCACCACCCATAGCATCCCAGCACGAGTCCTGAGAGCATCGCGACGCGTGTCGATAGTTCTGCCTGCAAACGTCCCGGAAGGCGCCATATTTTGTTTTCGGCTCCTGCTATGTGTGCATCAGCCCTTGGTATGTTCCGTGCGACAGGGGCTGTGTCATGCCAGGGCCATGGGCGGCATGGTGTTTTTTGGCAGGTTGGTACATCATGGGCCTTCGGCTAGGGATGTGAACATGGCATGGTTACTGTACCCGTACAGTATGGACTTTGAACACAGCGCCTTAAGAAGGGTAAACGGCATCATCTCGAGGGCTATGTACTAACAGCGTTTATACGGCCTGGTCGAGGGAAATCACTTCAAATGCGGTTCTACCATTGCCAACCTCCCCTATGCCTTGAAAGGTCTCCGTATACTGCAGAACGCCCAAACGCTCCGGTGGAACTTGTTTCTTAAATCATGCAAAAGGGCCAACCAGACGTGCTTGCCCAAATTGCGGAGTTCTTCGTACGAAGGGTACGCCCCACACCTGCCGGGCAAGAACGTGCTCTGGGCTTGCCTGACTCTGCCTGGTGTTTCGCTTTAAAGGTCGCTGACGCGGATGGACTTGCAGTACTGCTACTATGCCTTCGGCTGGCTGTAGACATCACAAATTCTGAACAGTCCCATCAGTATGGCTCAAGGGCTTCAGAAATTACCTGCGAACAGCAGCAGCAGAACCCCACAACTCACAACCAGATTACGCCACAACACCATAACAAACTGTCGGCTTCCACACAGACCCGAAGACGAAACTCACGACCAGGACTTCAAAACAGTGCGCAGACGACTTCTGAGCCGCAGCCTCACTTCAAGGTCGCCCACAGATTGTGTATGTGTGTACCCTACACCCTATTTCAACCCTAAACCTAAACAAAAAAACCCGAAAACCGAAACTGAAGAGCTGACAGTCTAATCAGCAGCCATGAATCCTGGAATTCTGGGCTGATGTCGGGGTATACCAGGACTAGTTCGGGCTGGTGCCTTGAGGATGCTTCGGGTGTGGAGTCCGAGGGCCCTAGGGTTGATATCGGGGCTTTTGAGCCCTAAAGCCTACTCAGGCCCTTAACCCCAAACCCCAAACCCTAAACCCTAAGCCCTTATTCTGCTGCAGAAGCGGCTTCAGGAAATCATCCACCGAGACCAGGCACAGGGGAAACTGGAACTTCTCCAAGGCTTCCTGGCTGCTTTGGGAAGGGTTTAGGGTTTAGGGGTTTAGGGTTTAGGGTTTAGGGGTTTAGGGGTTTAGGGGTTTAGGGGTTTAGGGGTTTAGGGGTTTAGGGGTTTAGGGGTTTAGGGGTTTAGGGGTTAGGGGTTAGGGGTTTAGGGGTTAGGGTTTGGGGGTTTAGGGATGAGGCTTCGGGCTTTAGGGACGCGGCTCTGCGTTGGCCGAACATCATCAGCATCATCTCTGGCTTCGGCCTTAAAGAGCCTTTAAAAAGGCCCGTGGTCTTATAAAAGGAAGGAGTGTGTCCTCAATCAAGATTGGACAAACAATCCCTGGCCCCCGAACCCTGACCATGTTGGGCTCACGGACCAGGGCTGGGTTTAGGGTTTATCGGGCTTAGGGCTTCTTCTGCGGGAGCACAAGCCATGCTGAGCAAGTGCCAAACTTTTTGTTGTATCTGGACCCTGCCCGACCATAACCCCTGAAAACATTATCCTTGAGATTCAGGGCCATGGTTCAAGGGCTTTCGGTTCAGGCTCTGGACTTGGAGGGGTTTCAGGTGCGGATGTTTGGAACGGCTTTGGGTGAGGGAAAGGCTGGCACAGGGAGTGAGCAACGACTGATGGGCACCCACATCGCGCAACTGCAGCTGCAACAGCTTCCTCAACCCGCCCCCCCCCTTTCCTAAGAAACGAAGCCTACCACTCCTACAGTACAGTGGTTCTACAGGACTCCGCACGGTACACGCATGCACACATAACACATAACGCGTTAGACTGGAGGGGGCATGGGATCCGGAGGGCACAAAACGACAGAAGATCCCAACCTGCCGAGCTGCAACTGAGGCGGAAACTGCTTTGGAAAGAACATCGAAACGAAAATTCTGGACATTGAGCTTGTCCAGCGTGCGCTTCCGCAGACTGGCGATGACCTGCATTGCACATGGAGGACAAGCAGAAGACCTGCAAATTTGTGGTTGCGGAACTCGTAGTTGCATATGGGAAGCAACCTCCCCAAACCCTAAACCCTAAACCCGAAACCCTACACCCTAAACCGAATCAGTGCAGTTTGGTGTGCACGGCAGCTGAGTTGCGCTGATGCCCATTCCGACCCCGAAGATCAGCGTCACTGGGATGGCCACAAGGGCAGTTACCCACCAGTCGCTGCTTGCCTTCAAAATTGAAAATTTAGGGTTTAGGGTTCAGGGTTTAGGGCAAGGATGAAGATTTTCAGGTTTGCAGTCTTCGGCAACGATGCTGGCCCTCAGTCACGCGTTCCCAACAAGAAGTCCGAACCTAAACCCTAAACACTAACCCGGCGGCCCAATCTTTGTACGCAGAGTACGAGTCGGCGAGCCAAGGGCTACGAAAAACAAATCAACACCCTATGCCCAACCAGGTGCGTGGCAAAGATAGAGTATGCTCAATTTTTGGGATGTCCCTTCTTATAGGGGGCACTATAATCCCTCTTAAGGACTGTTAGTATAAGGGGGAACATCCCAATCAATGTTTCAAGTCTCAGCCCTTTCGCGTTTCTACTGCTGGACTTCGAGTGTTGTCGTCCCGAAAAGGGACGGCCGAGAATGAATCCTTTAGGTGTCGAGCAGTGTCAAGAGGTGAGACTGTAAGATTGAGAAACCCAGTTGTTTTATTATGGATTGTGGGTTGAAGCTTCGAGGGTCGAACTTGATGATGGACTCAATATCTTAAAACGCAGGCCCCTACCTGGCCCTGCAAATGGAGTGTTTCCAGGCGATTGACGTGCGGGAGAACCCTGCTTCACCATGCTCCCTGATGAAATCTTCAATTTGAGGACATCGTGTGGGGGGGGAGGGGGAAGGGGGGGCGGGGTCATTATGTCAAACAACCTACCATGTGAAAACGCGCAGCCTGTGCCACGAAGACAGCTCCATCTCTCTTTCCCTGAACGGTCTAGGTGCTCTTCCTCCAGATATTTGGAGGCTTCTCGAAACTATGAGAACGTTGCGACCCCGACGTAAACCCCGAAACTTTCCCAACACGCAGAATCACTCTGAAACCCTAAACCCTAAACCCGAAAAAAGTACAACTTAACCGACACTTCCATGCGTTTCATGAATGTCTCATGGTCATAAATGGCGGGCCGCCTGCCAGCCCACTGCGGGCACCAGGTCGAATCGCCATCTCAGCCCAATCTCAGGTACCTTCAGGGTTGAGGGTTTAGGATGGGCTGTGAACTGTACAGGCACTCGGCATTTCGGGCTTTAGGTTTTTTTTCTGTATGTGACAGCGGCGCGAAAGCTCTTGCAGCTAGTTCCACTCGTGAGGCGTACCTGGCTTTTCACGTCCTACCATGTGCCGAGCTGCTGCTGCGTCGACGCCAACCAAAGCATATGCTGCCGCACTTCCCATCGAAATCTGGGTCATGAGCCTGATTTGGGAGCTTCCGTTTTTAGGGGTGCCTTCTTGGGGTCTGCATTTTAAGGGAATCCTCATTTGGCTGCTTAGGATTTCGGACGCTTTCGGGATTCGAAGTCGCTTTTAACTCAGGAGCTCGAGAAAACCGCACTGCGGGCCATAGCTTATAAAACGGGTGACCATAAACAGGGAGCAACCGACCCGTTTCTTACCTTAGGGTTTCGGGCTTAGGGAATAGGATTGTTCACAACCTGTCGACAGTTAGGACTTCGATACGCGACCCTCGGAGGAGTCATGCGGATCAAAGGCAGTAAGTCAAGACAGGCTTCCGGTACCCTCTTTACATGATGCTTTGGTAGTATCATGTCCCACAATTCGGGGCCCCTTTGTTGGGGTTAGTTTGGTAGTACAATTAGGGGCCCTGTCGTCGCCCCTTTGTTGGAGGGTTAGTTTGGTAGTATCCAAAATTTAGGGGTCCCGTTGTCAGGTTACTTTAAGGAGATTCTGTCTGTACGTGCTTGGGGGGGGTACAGTACTATGCCGTTGGTCCTTGCCTTTAATCCCCTCCCGCTAGTATAAACCCCCCCCCCACCCCCTAATATTCAACGCCCCCTATATACTTATAATAATACTATATGACTATATTGGGGGGTATTTAATATCAGGGGGTAGGGGGTTTAATCTTAGGGGGAGGGGATTACCTGCTCGGTATTGAACTCTCAACCAATAAACCTAGCACGCTTTGTGCGATCACTCTTGCAGGCTCGTCACGTACACTCCAGCATCCGCGCAGGATTCTCCGCATCACTCCTCACAATCCAGGATGGCCCCTAAAACCCTTTGAAAAATATCCCTAACTATGATCCTCTTAAGCCCAATCCCTAAACCCTAAACCCTAAACCCTAAACCCTAAACCCTAAACCCTAAACCCAATAAGAGAAAATATAAAGTAGCCTAGCAATCTAACAAGATTGCTCTCCGTGTAGGTGCTCTGCCTCTCAAACTTGAGACCAGCGGCAGACGCCAGGCGAAGTGAGTGAATCCCGCCTTAGTCCATGCTCCCCTTAGAACCTTAATGAACATCATATTTTCACTATCCTCTTGGGTTTATAAAAATGAATAAATAATTCCTAGTAGTTTTTGTTAATGTTGCATTTGGGCGCCGGATCCGAACGTGCCCAGACTAACCACACGTCTCTTACGAGACTTGATCAGGGAAAATGACATGAAAGGTATTCATGCATCTTGATTTCTGAGGGTCTGAAGGGACGGGTACAAGGATGCAGAAGGATGTAGAATTTCAGCTTAGGATCTTGTGGGCGTCGACGTTTCAAGGTTCTTGATCAGGCAGCTGCATAGCTACAGTATGTCTTGGGTAAGTTGGGGACTCCGCCCCTCCGCCCACCTACCCTATCGCAGGCACATCGACGTGGTTTCTTCATGGTGTAACATGAAGGCTGTACTATCATGGTTGGTTCTCCAAATTATGACCCTGAGGGAGGCGCAGAGATTTGCCCGCAACGCGCCATCATGCGCAGAGAAAGGTGTGTGCGCGTGAGGGACTCGTGCATCGCGCACCAAGACTGCAGCAGCACAGCTCGTTTGAAGCGGGACCCCCAAAATAGACCCCAAACAGTAGGACAAAGTAGGACTCCCTTACAATAATAAGGTACCCCAAATTCCGAAACCACCATATCCCTAGTCGTCTACAAGCCCCAATACTGCATGTTGCATCCTTAGCCAGGGGAAACAAGAGTTGGCCTTCTTAAACACACCTCGGTTTAGAGTTTAGGGTTTAGGGTTCAGGGTTTCCTCTGTCTTCATCAACGGGTGCTGTTCTGTACGAGTAGCATGTGTTGTGACCTGCCTGCATTCGGGGAACCTAAACTGAAGCTGCAAGGCAACCCGAAATGAACTCGAAGCATGCGGCCTTACCTGGTCCCTGCTGCGTACCCTTATAGAGGGCCACCCAGGTATATCCGATAACCTTGAGCCCCTCTAAGCTTCCCACCCGCCCTTACACCAAGATGCCGCAACCCATCCACCAGCGCGATGCTCCAGCTCCTTGAGTCCCTCCAAGTCTGCAACATCCTGCGTTAGGATGAAAGGGGCTTAGGCTTCTAGGGCTGAGGCTTCAGGCTTATTAACTTAGGCTTGTAGGGCTGAGATGGGCTTAAGGCTGGCTTCTAAGGTTGGGTTTTCGGCTGTCAGAGGTACTCGTCAGTCGTGACGCCCTGCTAATTCTCCTCCCCCCACCCCCTCACCCCCTGTTTCTTTTTCCCCTCCAGCACAGCTGGGGTTTAGGGATGCTCCGGGCCCGGGAGGGGAAGGGGGGGTGGGGGAAGGGTTTCGGGTTTGGGGTTTAGGCTTAGGGTTTAGGAAGGTGGGGAACAAAGAAAATGCATTGGCTTGAGGTTTGTGGTCTTACTTGTTCAGGCGTTTCGAGGTTACGGCCTACTGAGGGGAGTCAGCTTTTCTGATTGGCTCCTGCTGCGAAGGTTTTGGGGGTTTGGGGTTTAGGGTTTTTTTTGCCACCCGCCTAGCTGATGCAGAACATCGCACTGCAGGGGAGTCCCTCGTTGCTCATGTGAAGGGTTTAGGGTTTATATAGGGTGCGTAAGAGCGTCGAAAGAACCCCCGAGCCCTTAACCGTCCACACATGTGACCGGACTCCGGCCACTTGCTCAATCGTCGACCGGGTCCCTTGTCAGTGCTCTTTTTTTTTTTTTTGTCTCAGGGCACCCCTTGAAGAAAGGACCATGTTCCCTAAGCCAACCAGAACAAGCCCCCCCCCCCCAAAAGAAAGCGCACGACCCGAGATTCGGCGGAAGCGGAAGTCAGGGTCTGAAGCCAGGGCGGCTTACTTCGGGTTTCGACTCGCAAGGATTCTGATGGTTAGTCGCCTCTGCAATCTAGCAAATTGTAGGGGTGGATGCGGCAATCACAGCTGTACTTGTTCTAGTTACGCCAAGACCTCTTGGCCCTGAAATGCCACTATTCCCCAGCCAGTAGGATGAGGACGTCGAGGGAAGACACGAGGAAAATCACGGGGGGGCTCCTCGAAGTTCGCCAAGAGCATGGCAAAGCCCCAGAAATGTGCCAAGTTACCTCCGGCTCAACTGATGCGGGACGGTGTTTGCTTTCTGGGGACGGTCTGGGGACGTTCTGGGTCAGGGGTTTTGGGGACTGACATGCAGTAGGAGCAACATGTGTTCAGGTTTTCGTGAGCCTTAACTCCGGAATATGCTTGGTGACTTAGTGGCTCCACCTCACCCGGGACTTGTCAGCTTCCAAGCCCTCCTAGACATGGCTTTCATCGAGCGCTCGTTTGCGCTTCTGGGGGCTTTTGGGATTGCGATGCCGTGTGGGTGATGTTTGCCAGCGTCTTTAAGTCCTGCAGTTGTCCAGGCACATCATGGCTCCACATTCAGCCTCTGTTGCTTTGGGAAGAAACCCCTTCCTCAGTCCCTAAACCCTAAACCCCTAAACCCCTAAACCCCTAAACCCCTAAACCCCTAAACCCCTAAACCCTCAACAGCAAGGGCTTCTCTCGTGGCCTGAGGGGTGCACGACGCCCGGGAAGGCGCAGGGATGAAGCTCGTCCATCGGTGCTGCAAGCGAGCAGTCGCCTGAGGGTTTTGAATATGGTTCTTACAGGACTTAAGCTTGTGGGGTCTAAGGCTACTGCAACTGAGCTCGAAGATTTCGGACTCTGGGCACGACCCCGAGACCCTGAAAGTTGAGGATGATCTGCCACTCTGACTTGCTACCTGGATGGCCAACACAACAGCATCGCAAGCAGAAGAAACGAAGACAGGAATCCAAATCTATTTCTTGGTGGCACACCCCGCAAGAGGAGACGAGAAAAGCAGGCTGCGGGCTAGGGAACCTGCACCATACAACCTCACAATCTTCAGCATGACCCACAACCGCAAGGCCCCCAGTCTCGACGGGCCGTTGTTCCAAGATTTGGGTATGGATCTGTGTGTCAGAGAAAGCGCGGGCCCTCTCCCTCTCCCTCTGAACCCTAAACCCTAAACCCTAACCCCTAAAATTAATCATTCTCAAATGTCGGCGACCGGTGACACAGTCCAGAGTCCGCTGTGGACATGCTCTTAAGACACTGCAAACACGATGCAGCATGCGTGCTGAAACTACTGCCTGTGCCCTGATAGGGCCAGTCGTGTCCAGTATACGTACCGAAACCCGTACGACAAGTACTCGCAAAATCTCAAGATACGTATTCTATGAGGTATAGAGTCTGCTATAGCGTGCATCATTGACCTCAATCATCGCGACATTTAGGGTTGGGGGTCTGTGGAGTGCCCTCAGTGTCCTCAGAACATGCCCACCTGCAAGACAGCACGCGAGCCAAGATGCGGCTGTAGTTCCGGCCATTATACGTCCACTCATCACTTGGCAGCACTCGGGCGGCAGACGGCGCGAAAATCGGATGAAGTACCTAGGCGGACAAGATGTGTTAGCCTGAGCAACCACCACTGGTTACATGAAGGGCTTTTGCAAGCAACACGTGCTTGTTGCACGAGAAAACAACCACCGCCAAAATCTGCGGGACAAGCATCCACCAACGTAGATGCATCAGCATCCCACGCTGTTGACGCCTGATCGACAGCTTTGCTGGAATGTGGTGGGACAAGCGTGCTTGGTGCTACAAACATCCAGGAGGAAATCTGCATCCGCAACGTTTTGGGGTAAGAGCATTGCAAGGGGACTATACAGCAGTGCAGGGCATCAAAAGGTTTCATGCGGGTGTAAGACTGGGTGGATGATGATGTAAGAGACAACATGACCTTCCCAAACTGCCAGGCGCTCTAAGCAGCAATTTGTTTAGTCAGGAATAGGCAACACCCAGAACCTAAACCTGAGCAACGCCCTGCACCCAAAAGCGACTGAATCCAGCACCATTCGGAACGAATCACAACTCTTCCACCTTGGAGCGTTTGCACTTCAATGACTTCAGGTGAAGGGCATTCTAGCGATACTTCAGGGCGTGTGGTGCGTTGTCGTTGTCGTTGCTCTAGTGAACTAAACAAAGGTTTTCACATGCATCCTTTAGCAGTCGGACCCACATGAAGCAGGGTTTATATTTCTGTTTTTGGTGAGTGTATATAATCAGTTCCTTTGTAATATTGATGAGTGTATATATTTGGTGTCCTTTTGGGGGGTACAAGAAATATAAACCCTACTTCATATGGCTTTAGGCTTCATCTGGTCCAACAAGTCCGACCCACCTTTGCTTCGCCCGAGAGAATGCTGTCGCGCGCTTCCTGCAACAAATGTCTGTCTCGCTGGGGTTCGCTGTGTTTTCGTTCCCTTACCCTGAACCCTAAACCCCAACCCCCAAACCCTAAACCCCAATCCCTTTTGAGCAACGGACTTTGGAGGCTGCCGGCAAACATGCAACTTCAAACCCTAAACCCTAAACCTCAAACCCCAAACCCCAAACCCTAAGGACTTCAGATTGCCTCAAGGACTGTTGAGGATGAGCCCATTTTCAGAGACAGCCAATTCGGATGCCAAAATCCAGAACCCACCCGCCAGGGCCTGCTGGAGTAGGTGCCTGAGTGGGAAGGTTCAGCCTCTAAGCCTGCAAGCCCCCAGACAGCGGTAGCTGCACTACCACCTCAAGCAAATCTGTAGGACTGAATGACAGTTTGGCCATCAATGGGAAAAAATCCGATTTCAACCCCCCCCTCCCCCCCCCTTCCCACGATGTTGCAGAGAAACTGCAACATCGGCCGGGGGGGGACGCATAAGATATCTGGAGTCTCTGAACCCTCAACCATGCAAGCCCAGCAAGAACGAGTCCAAGCCCCAATGAAATTGTGAGAAAGCCCGTCCAGAAAACATCAACCCTTAACCCCAAGCCCAAGCCCTAAAAACCCTATAAACCCTACAAACCCTAAAAACCCTAAACCCTAAAGCAAAGCGAAGCAAAGCAAGCGGCAGCAGTGGAAAGCCCACCAGCGCGGAGTTTGGATCTGGAGGATCCACCTCACAAAGCAAGCTGCAATGTCAACCCTCAACCCTGAAACTCTTCATAATGATGACGAATACAAAGCAATCAAGGAGCAATCCGCCTTGAGTTTATGGGAGTAGGTTCCTTTTGAATGGGGGGGCGCCCCTGCAGCAGCGCTTGAGATTCCGGGCATGCGGGGTAATCGAATCTGGATTTTGGACTCACGCTTTTGCCATTTTGCTTTCTAAGGCTTAGAGGCTTTAAGGGAATCAGATTTATAGGCTGCACGCGACATCGAGGCAGGCCTGTAAAGCCTGCACACCTCCAAAGCCTGCAATTGGACCTTGTGCGTCAGAACTTTCGAAGCTGCACGAATTCCCTGCGCCTGGCTGCAAAACTATGCCCTTCTTAATTGCAACATCACGTGCCACTGCTAGGGCTGGAGGGCTGGAGGGTGGGGTGGAGGGCTGAAAGGAAGATCGCAACAGATCGCAGTGGGACCGGGTCGGACAGTCGATGTCGATCGGTTCGGGTCGGTCCAGGCATGAGTAAGCCCTCACCAAAGTTCGGGCTTCGGGCTCAACTTGTAACTGGCCGCCTCCAACAAAAACAGAGCTCTTGAAACCACCATCTTACCCATAAGACCACCGAGCTCTGTCACCAGCATCCAGAAATGAATGATGCTGAAACCCTAAACCCTAAACCCTAAACCCTGAACCCTAAACTGGTCCCCTTGCATCCTTGCCAAGCTGCCGTCGAAATCACGCCATACTTCGCAAGGGCGAGACATGCGATGCCTTTGTACGTCCTGGCACGCTGGCCGACAAGGTTTAGGGTTTAGGGTTTAGGGTCTAGGGTTTAGGGTTTAGGGTTTAGGGTTTAGGGCCTAATTTTAGGGCAAATTTGCTTTAGCAACCCTATAACTTCTGGAGGGTGGTTTACCAACATCACTGCAGGGATGTCAACGAAAAACGTCAGGACACTGGTGTAAGTTCCAGGACTGCGGACCCTGAAGCTGAGCCCCCATCCACACCGCAAGATGAAGCCACGATTGTGCTTACTTCTATACTCCCCTTAGAACCTTAATAAACATTATATGTTCAATATCCCCTTGGGTTTTTAAATAAAAAAGATAATTGCCGAGGAAGATATAGACTTCAGGTGGTTTGATTGAGGAGCCCTGAGGTCTGGGACGTGGACATGGCGGGCTTAGAAACGCAGAGGAAGTCCCAACATCCTGAAGCTTGTAATCCTGCTGTGCAGAACTACCGTGGCAAGTGAAGCCCCATGACACCCAAGGCGTCAGAACTTCGCAGAAGCCATGATAAACCCTAAACCCTAAACCCTAAACCCCAAACCCTAAACTCTAAACCCTAAACCCTAAACCCTAAACCCTAAGTCAGCAGCCGCCGTCCGTCGAAGCGCAGGTGCAATCTGGTGGAAGTTGCCCTCCACAAAACCTCCAGAACAGCAGGGAGCCCCAAAGCCCGTAAGATCAGCCCCTATGAGGGTTTTGGGTTTAAACCCGAAACCCTGAACCCCAAATAGGGTTTGGGGTTGAGGGCTTAGACCGCAAATACCCTCTTTTGAACCTGGGCCCGCAAAGGTTAAGAACGCGTTCAGTCACTCCAGACCGTGTTAGCGCAGAATCTAAAACATGGTGGGTGGGTGGGTGTGGGTGCGTGTGTGCAAGGGTGGGAGCAACCCTCCAACAAACCAACCCAGCGCCGGCACAACGACGATGGCAAAACGGAGTCGTGCTCAGGACATCAGCAACATCATCCCTAAACCCTAAACCGTAAACCGTAAACCCCAAACCCTAACAGTTTGCAGCCATTGGTGTTTTGGAGCTCTATGGGCCCATCGGCGCCGCGTTCATTGTTAAGGGGGTTGTGACCGCAGCCCGAGAGCGTAGGGCGTCGGGGAGGGAGGGGGGGGGGGGGGGGGGGGGGAAGGCTTAGGGTTCAGGTCCTTCTCATGTCTTCTATATATATATATATGCATATATACATATATGCATATATATATATATATATGCATATGTACATGTCGCGGGAGAAAGGGCCTCATGTTTTGAACACGGTTGATATGGGAACTTGTCTTTGAAGCTGTTTACAGACCTGGGTATGACCCTCTGGGTCTCACACCCTAAACCCTAAACCCTAAACCAGAAACCCCACCAAATGTGAATAAAAGAAAATCTTAGTTTTCCGGTAACCTGGGGGGAATTAAAGGTTAACCTTTTGGGAATATAAGGGGATTCGAATAACCCAAAAAGGTTAAAGGTTACCTACTCTACTACTAGGGCAACTAGCCATGGACCTTCAAGCACCTGTTAAACACATAGGATGGGGTACCTCTGATGACGTTGACACTTTGTCAGCTATCTGTCTTGCGGCAGCAATGAGTTCCTACTGCGTACTCCCGGCTTGCTTAAGAAGGCGGCGGACCGTGCGATAACAGAACCTGCCTGGCTCGAACTGGATCATCGCCTGGCAAACGTACTCTGGGAGACAGGGGAGGCTTTGGCTGTCGCTTCATCACCTGCTTGAAACAAAAACGGTGCCATACGGTGCGACGCACATTTTGTTGGCTCATGGTGTGGCGCTTCACTTGTGCCCACTGGGTTGAAGCCGCTGTCCGACTGCGAGCAGAGCTTTTTTTTGAAGCCTTGCAAGGTAGTTGCGATGGATCGCTCCGCTGTGGCCCGCTGGTGGTTAGTGAACCATCTTCCATCCAAAACAACACAAGGATGAGTCACCCTAAACCCTAAACCCTTTTTTAAACGAGGACTCTCTGATCTCTCAAGTGCCTCGCCCCTCCAGCAGCCCCCCTTAGGCATGAGTGCTTAAGCCCTGCAACTCCATCCCTCACATCTTACATGAAGATGCGGGAAACCGACACGCATTCATAGTTAATAAGCAGCGGTTCGACACAATGCAAGAGGACAGTTCAAGCAACAGCTCTTCTCCGAAAACGTCAAGACAAAGTCACTCGTAGAAACACGAGCATGCGCGACAGTGGCCATGGAGTCGAAGGCAGGCAACCCACAGACCGAACCAATCCATTGGGATGTTCCCCCTTATACTAAGAGTCCTTAATGGGAATTCTAGTACCCCCTATTCTAGGGTTTAGGGTTTCTAAACCAGATTAAGGACTGTTGGTATTAGGGGGAACATCCCAAGCAATCAACCAGAGGAGGCAAAAAAGTCTCCTAAAGCTCAAAATCCAAACCTGAAGGGGGGGGGGGGGGGAAGTAGCATCATGGATTCCCCTACTACCCTCTACCCTACCGCCCCTAGGTTCCCCCATACTTAAGGCGACTTAGGGATAATTAACGATCATGAAGGCTATTTGAGGGGGCGGAACCTCTAGGGGGTAGTAGGGGAACCCTAAAACCCTAACCCTAAACCCTAAACTTTTGAGAACAACAGCCATCTTGCCGATCACGAACCAGGCCTCGAGCGTCTTCAAAGCGCCAATCGACTGTCGGATTTGCTGCGTGATCTCCATCGCTTTCATGCTGGCTAAGTTCATGACCTCAAGTGGTTTAGGGTTTGGGGTTTGGGGTTTGACCTCAAGTGGCGTCTGCTCGCGAGTCGCAAGTGCCGAAGTCGAAAGACGACATTTTGCTACCCGAAGGTTCGTGGGGAGCAGGCATGACATGCAGAATTTGACCACTTCCAGTGCCAAGTTGCATGTTGCAACTGCAGCTGCCCCTTACAAAGAACAAAAAACAACAACAACTGAACCTCCAAATTCTACGCAGACCGCAGACTGCAGATGGCCCCTCAAATCTCAAAACCAGGTGCCTCTGTAGAAGTAGGACACCCAGAGACTGAAAAAAACCCTTAGTTAAGGAATATACCTTAAAATCATATTGGGGTTCCTATTAAAATTCAAGGCACACTTCCTTAACTATGGGGGTTTGGGGTCTCTGGGAATAAGAGTGGCCCGTTGTGAGACTACAGGCCGAACATGCGGCACAACAGTTGTGCAGTAACACAACACAGCCTAACGCTGAAGCCTGAACCCATAGACCCTAAACCCTAAACCCTAAACCCTAAACCGGGCTGTCATGTAGGAAAGTCGCGGAATTTCGCTGGTAGTCCTGCCAAACGAACCTTGCGAAGAAGGGGCTTCCAATGGGCTTCAAATCCAGAAGTTTCAGAGTTTCAGAGTTTCTTAAGCAACCCTTAAGTGCAACCGAGCCAATCCCTGAGCAGGGGACGCTGCACCAAACCGACGCCCTCTGTGCTTAAGACGCCCTCTATCCTAGCCGAAACCCTAAACCCGAAACCCTAAACCCTGAACCCTAAACCCTAAACCCTATACGCTTTACCCCCAAACCCTAATAAAGCTCTGGGGGCTGGCAAAGTTTGTTCTCCACGCCGCTAGGGTTGTTTTTGCGCCCAGGCTGTGATAGCAACATGCCTGAGGGTTGACAGCGGAACCTTCCTCGCTGAACTCTAAAATGCCCAAAAAAGATTGATTCTGAACCGCCCCCGAAACCATGGAACTAGTCAGGGGAAGATGAGCATGTCTGTTGCAACTCCAGGTCAGGGTTTTGCTGTCTTTGCGAGCTGCTAGTGGATGGGTACAAGTATGCACCAGATCGTGTTGCCCCTCTTTGCCACTTCGAGGATAACCACTCATGCTATCCTTTCAGGATGTCGGCTTACCGTAAGGATTGGCAGATTGGCGCTCTTGGGATTTTGGTCCAGCTGAACCCTGAAACTACAGGGCGCTGCACGTGACCCAGCCCATCTTACATCTTTTCTGCGCACGACGGATTTGGGGTTGTCGATGGGGGCTTCTTGCACACCGTGCCGCCGGGTCAGAACAAGGTTGTAGATGCTTCCTGGGCTTTCTCAGAGCTGGGTGGAAGCGAGGGAGCAGCGGGAAGCTTTAGTTTTTCAGCTGGGGATGTTGCTCCCCGCATTGTGATAGAGCGCAAGCTTTTCTCGAAGCCTATGCCGGTGCGACCGCGAACCTGTCCAACCCCTGTGCCCCAACTGCTGCTGAAAATGTGTCGGGGGTGACCTGATCGGAAATGCCTGCTTGCAAAGCTTCCATGACGACTCACTCGCAATTCAGGCAAGGGGCCTGAGACCATCAGGATCATGACAACCTGGTTTTTGCTTTGTCTTTCCTGCCTAGCTGAATCAGTTGCACCGCGGGGTACCACTACTCGATTCAGGCTTTATGACTCTGCGGATTAGAGTCTAAAATACGAAAGGGTGAGTCACATCTGTCTTTTCGGTTCGCTTGATGAATGCCAGCGGACATCGCTAAGGTCCTATAATGCCCTGCAAGGCTGCCCGGGAACAAGCAAACACCAGAAGCGCGCAATGCGCATCCATGGTGGGAGACAGTGTCCAGGTCGGGCGCCTCGGTAGGGCCACAAACCCTAACCCCTATAAACCCTAAACTGTCAACCCTATAAACCCTAAACTAAGTACTGAGTACGGTTTTGGCGGCTTGGGCTTAAAGACCCTGCGGAGCAGCGTGCGAGCTGTGATGCTTGGCTCCTAGTGCCTGGACTTCAGCCAAAGCTTTTCCGTTGGTTTAGGGTTTAGGGTTTAAGGCTTAGGGCTTAGGGTTTAGGGTTTAGGGTTTACTGCAGAGAGGATCTTCGCCAGCGACAGCATCGGGTCCGACACCCGCAAGTTGTGACTGCTAAGGAACGTGGTCTGCTTGGCATCGTGACCGTACTTAGCAGAGACTCCAAAACCCTTAGTTAAGCAATATAACTTAAATTATAGCAGGAACCCTAATATGATTCAAGGTATATTCCTTAATTAAGGGGTTTTGGAGTCTCTGGGTCGTCTTCCGTGCCATCTCAGTCCAGGTCTTCGGCGGCTTGGAGAATTCCGACCCGGTGCATGTGGGGCATGCTTTTGTCATGGTCCTCTGCGCGCACGAGCTCGCATTCATAAAGGCTTGCGGGCATTCGTGCGAGCTGGCTCATGATCTCTCAGGGAGTTTGTACTTTGAACTCCCACTTTGTTTTTTCGAATTTGCCCGGGTTTTCTTGTTCATGTGGCACCTGGAGGACTGTGTATTAGAAGCGGCTGCAGGCGTAACCTGCAGCCCTTCTGATGTGTACGACGTGTACCCGGCCGACTTGGGAGCATCCAGGACTGCGCTCACCTGCGCTGCCGCCACTGCGCATGCGCTACCCAACCGCCTGTGCTGGTCCAGCCAGCTGTTTCGACTCCCTTGGTCCATACTTTGGGCGCAGCTTTGGATCTGTTTGCGTGTGCCCTAAACCCTCAACCCTGGCATCTTGCCCTTGAGGCCTTGGAGGATCAAAGGGGGCTGGCGATTCTGTCAATCAAGGTGTATCTAAAGGGGATAAGCCCTTTGAAGGCTCTCAGAAAGGCTTTATTTGCACCTGTCCGCTTCAACTGAGATAGCCCTCTGAAGTTCACCAAAACACCAACTCCACTTGCAGAAGGGGATGTTCTGACCTCGCCTCAAGTGCTGCTTTATCAATACCCTCAAGTGACCTCTCTGGGCCGCTTCTTCCCTCTGAGGAAGGCGCAATTGCAAAGCCCGGCTGTTGTGTCCGTCAAGCTGGAGCTACTACTCAAAGACCTCTCGAGACTCTTCAGCATTCTGGCTTTGGCGCGCTTGCGTGGTTTGTGGGGGAGGCTTTCATACGGATTCACATCGCATAGTATGCCTGTCCATAAACATGCGCATGGAAGTCTCGATCAAGCAGCATGTCTTGTCTTCTGTGCTCTGCCTGTTGCATGTATACTTGCATGATGGAGCGTATGTGTGCACGCATGCAAATACGGAAACACACGGACACTGGCAAACAAACACACACACGCACACACACACACACACACTCACTCACTCACTCACTCACTCACTCACTCACTCACTCACTCACAAAAACAAACGCATGCATACCGGCATGACGCAGGCATTTGCATACTTGTATGCATCTACATGCAGTAATGCACAAGCCTGTGCTTCGGCAGGTCTGTACTTAAGTGCTAGAATGACTGCACAAGCGGACGCGCATGTCGTCGTCCCAATGAGCCAACAAACCTGTGGCCTTGCTCGCGAACGCTTGGCAAAGGACTTCCGCCCAGAGTCAAAGTTGGACGTGAGACCTGGGTGTCACTGCTCGAGGGGTTCATGCAAGTTTGTAAACCGCTACAACTAGGCACAAGGTCCCAATGCATGACTACCCATGCCATGAACCTCCACCGTCTCACTGCCTGGCGAGTGCTGCACTGAAAGGCGGCGCTTCTGCACGTGTTTTTAGATTGAGGGCTGGTTTGCATCGATAGCAGAAGTTCTCCATTCGGGGATGTTTGACAATCCTGGGAGCTTGGCCAATGTCACAGCTCGGACATGTAAATTGCTTGTCCCGCCCATAGCCGTCCACTGATAAGACCAAAGCACGACTGCCCACACCCTAGAAGGCGATCTCCCCCCCGGCTCGTGGGGGATAAAAAGAGAATGAGGACCCCCAAGATCGATGCCCAAAAACTAGGATTCCCTTGAAACAATACGGACCCCACGAAGGCAGCCCGAATCTCGGACATCCCCATGTAGAAATTTGCTCCACGCGGCATCCAACCCCGCCGGGGCCCCCTCCCCCCTGCCAAGGCAAACTGCATGGAAGCCCATGTCTGACTTTTAGAGAGGTGCTTTCCACAAAACAAAGCCTCCACCAAGTTGTCCATGAACTCTCAACTCTGCAGCCTTGAACCGGAGTGAGCAGGCGTAGATTTCCCCGAATCTACTAGTACTACCACCGACTTTTACAACCCGTCCCCCCCCTCGCTTTTTTGTCAAGTTGTGCAAGCTTGCTTCAAGGCATCAAAGCATGTGTCATGCGAGCATCCCGCCCCCCCTGCCCCCGGCTTCTTTAACCCGTGCAAGCGTGCTTCCATGCATATGAATGCGAGCATTGCGTTTGCACATGGAAGATGCTTTTGTAAGCAAAGCTTGCTGGAAAAAAAGTTCGATTTTTTGGAACCCATCATGCGCACATTGTAAGCTTGCTTCAAAGCAAGTGAATCGTTTCGAAACCAATCATGCGAGCCTTTGCAAATGGGAGCAGCATTTCGGATAGAAATCCTGGAATTTCAGGGCCTCTGGAGCCGTGGAAAAATTAGACATGCTGCAATCAATAGCGTCTGGAGCCCTCTAACACGCAGAACTGCTGTTTTTTTCAGCATTTAGTAGAGATTGCGAACGGCCAGAGATGCTGACTGCAGAGTTTCATAGCATTTGACTGCTTACTCATTTCTTTGATGTCTATCATGTTTTCTTTAACGGCCCGGGGTATTTCTTTGTGATCTCTATCAATTCTTGTTGATCCTTCACCCCGTTTCCAGCCGAAGAGTGGAGCGGAATTCCTCCAACTAGACTATAGGGCACTTCCGCCTGATACCAACGTACACATGCAACGCCTTTGACAGCCACGGCACGCGTCTCTGTGACGAACGTCGGCCATGCTACCGAAACCTGGGCCGGCCGGTCCGCTGGAGAATCTGATCCTGCCTAAAACACTGTGGCATATCCATGAGGATGTCAAGATTTAGCAAGTCAGTTTTGCCGGTCGACGTCGGAATAGTTGGAGTTGCCAGAAAAGCCCTT